GCGCTGACAAGCATCCCAAGCATCCTTGGCGAAGGCTTGATTTCCCACAGATGCCGATCCCTGCCTTGGCGTCCCTGCTTCTCCATCGCGCGCGTCTTCAAGCAAGGCGGGTGTGATACTGTAATTTTGCCAAGAACAGGAATCATAAGGGGTCTTCATTTCCCGACTTACCATTATCGGGATTAACTATTTGTGCCCGCCCCCTTTTGCACTCTTTGGGCAGTTCCATGGTTTTGGCCGAAACTGACGCCTGCATTGTGAATTGTGCATCGGACCTGCAGCACGCACACGCCCGCATCTCCGGAGTCCGAATTACCTATCGAGCTCCAACTTTTTTCATTGAGGGCCAGTGAGTGGCTCAGTGAATGTGGGCGAGACATGTGAGGCGTTCTTTTCCCTCACTTCTCACTTTCTCAGGCCTCCCAAAAATCCGATTGATTCCATATCATTTGATTCCACCTCATCTAATACCCGGTCACTACGCAGCCGAGACCAGCTCTAGACTAGCTCGTGGCAGTGTTGACAGCAACAACAGCCACTGGAGCCAACAAAGGCAGACTGCACGCGTACGCACTCCACGTTCCGGCAAACTGACCAGACCAACGGGATTCGCGGCGGAGTTGGTAGGTTTTACTTACTCGCTTTGTGTCCTTTTACCGGAGTACTGGATATATAACTCACCGCCATAATTTAGCACCCCGATATCAATTCCCGCTTTACTTAACAACCCGACCGGTCTACTATTGCCAAGTAATTCTCGCAGCGATGGCGTCATGTAAGAACCCCAGAGATGGCATGGCCGCTGATCCTCCATCTATTGCGGCCTGGTACTAAACACAATAATAGATAACGCCTACCGCACCAGGATGCAAGCATCCAGAGAAGCCGGCCACAGCTCTCGTTGGAACTTCTTCTCTCACGGCTTGACCAGAAAAGAATCGATTCCACAGACATGGCAGGCGGGCAATGAGCTCGAAGGGCAGCCTCTCACCCCCGCCACCACTTCACATCCCCCAACCACGTCTGGGAGCGATGGAAAGGAAACAGCAACCGCCCATCCAGAACACCAACCCCCGAATACCGAAACGGGGGTGCCAGGCGTTGAGTCGGGACATACCACCACCATCACCCAGGGTGTTCTCCGCCGGCGAACTTCGAATAGAGATCGCTCCTCGGAAGCCACCACAGCACACGCGCAGCAGACCGAGAAGCCGAAGAAGCAGAGGACCTTCTTCAAGCACCTCACACCAAAGGAGCCGTTTACCGTGAGGAACCAGATCCAGCGGACTCTGTTCGGCTCATGGATCAACATCCTGCTACTTGCTGCCCCCGTGGGCATCGCCATCAACTACATACACTCGGTCGACCGGATCGCCGTGTTTGTCGTCAACTTTATAGCCATCGTACCCCTGGCCGCTATGCTTGGCTTCGCCACCGAAGAGATTGCGCTACGGACCGGCGAGACGCTGGGTGGGTTGCTTAACGCGACGTTTGGGTAATGCTATGTATGCCCTGAGATCGCAAGAGAAACCATACTGACTGTAATCAGAAATGCTGTCGAACTGATCGTGGCCATCATCGCTCTGGCCCACAACGAAGTCGTCATCGTGCAGACATCTCTCATCGGTAGTATCCTCTCCAACCTGCTCCTCGTCATGGGTATGTGCTTCTTCTTCGGCGGCCTGCGCCGTCAGGAACAGTACTTCAACACCACCGTCGCCCAGACAGCCGCCAGTCTCCTCGCATTAGCCGTCGCGGGTGTCATTGTCCCCACCGTTTTCGATATGGCCAGCAAGACCCCCCAATCCGATGTCGCCAAGCTCTCCCGCGGCACATCGGTCATCCTCCTGGTCGTCTACGGCGCCTACCTTTTTTTCCAACTCAAGACCCACTCCGCCGTCTTTGCCCAAGAGTCCCAGAAAGTCGAGGCCAAACCCTTCAGGACCCATAGCCTCAAGGAAGGCGCCATCGCCCAGGGCTTCGTCGCTCCGGCTGGTGTGATTGGCGGTTATGGCCTGCCATCGAGCTGCACCGATAACGAGAGGATGCGTAGCTTGCTCACCAACCCACCGCGCAAGAACCTGCAAAACGACGGTGGGAACGATGAAGAAGACGAAGGGGAGGAGCCCCAGTTGCATTTCAACGTCGCCGTGGCCACCCTTGCTCTCTCGACCGTCATCATCGCTTTCTGCGCCGAGTTCATGGTGGACGGCATCAGCGCCGTCACCGCCGGCGGCACCGTCTCGGCCGAGTTCGTCGGTCTAATCCTGCTGCCCATCGTCGGCAACGCTGCCGAGCACGCCACCGCCGTCACTGTCGCCATCAAGGACAAGATGGACCTGGCCATCGGCGTCGCCGTCGGCTCCAGCATGCAGGTCGCCCTCTTCCTCATCCCTTTGCTCGTCATCATCGGCTGGGGCATGGGCATGGACGAGATGGCCCTCAGCTTTGACCCCTTCCAGGTTGCCGTGTTGTTTGTCGCCGTCCTGCTCGTCAACTACCTCATTGCCGACGGCAAGAGCCATTGGTTGGAGGGCATGCTGCTGATTTGTCTGTATTGTATCATTGCCGTCTGTGCCTGGTGTAAGTCGTTCCCTTTCTTTCGTCGTGTTAACATGTGAGAATGGGTGCTAACATTGATGGATAGGGTACCCTGCGAAGGACCCCCAGTTGGGCGGAGAGGCCTGAGAAGAGCAGGCATGGATCACGGCTTTAATGGTTTACGCTGGAGGGGATGATTGGGAGGAGGGTTGTATGTACATATATCGATAGATTGTAATTATGGGAACAAGGAGGTATCGGGCGCGTTTGAGGCGAAGCAAATAAACGGAATTTGACACCGCCACATCGCTTTTCTTTTTCCCGATTTCTTATTTGAACTTTCCTCATTTTCGTTTTCATCACTATGTAAACCAGATAGATACCTGGGTGAGAAAACTCGACGTCAGAATAAGGGATAGAATACAACCTAGGTAGCCATGCATCAACCCATGCACTTCATCGTTTACCATCAAAAGGGGCAAATACAAGAACTGGTTTTCGATTTCTGTGCCGAATTAATTACAATACTAATACTCAAACCCTGTCTCTGAGCTGCCGTCTATCCCATTCCGTTCCAATCCATCCCATCCCATCCCATCCCATCCCATCCCAAAACCTAAAACCCAAACCATGCAATGTTACAAAGTACATATCTTATCTACTGTCCAAATGCTTCCCCATCCATGATCGAACGCAACGCGATCACCCAAACTTAAGTAGACCAAACCAACCCAATACATTCATTCTTCTGACAACACCCCCTTTCTACCCACCCCCCAAAACAGCCTAGTAGCCCAACAACCCAACAACTCCGTCATCAAATCACAATCAAAATCTCAAGTACTCCCCAAAATACTCGAATACGCATCCTCCACCTCGCCCGCCAGCTCCAGCAGCGCCACGATGACGATCTGGTGCGTCAGGTTGGGCAGCCGGTCGCGGTTGAGGCCGATCCACTCGAGCGGCGGGGTGGCCTCGCCCATGTCGCGCAGCTGCGGCGTCTCGATGACGGGCGGCTCGAGCGCCTCGTACTCATACCCGGACTGCGGCACCTTGACCTCGGCCGTGATCTTGTTGGTTCGCTCGTCCTGTTGTTTTTTGTCTTTCTCCTTTTTGTCTTTATTTTCGTCGACGGCGGTGGTTGTTGTTGTTGCTGTGGCTGAGGAGGAGGCGGCGCCAGAGGCGGGGAGCACCCCGGTGACTCTGATGGCCGTCACGTTGGGCAGCTCTCTGCCCCAAGTCTGGGCGAGCGTCTTGGAGTGGTTGGCCCACATGCCGCGGATGTAGCTGATGCGGCTGTAGTTCCAACCGACCTCGACCTTACCCTCAAAGGCGCTCTTGAAGATGTACTGGATGCGCTTCGACTCCGGCAGTTGCCAAGTCTGCATGACGGCCTCGACCTGTGGCACCTTGAGGATCGTCCCGCCGCGGGAGCCCGTCGCGCTCCGCACTACGTCCTCGACCGACAGCTCGCTGACCGACCTGGGCGCTCCGCTCTCCGCCCGGACCCCCGCGAGTCCTATGCGCAGCTGGCCGAGCGTGAGACCTAGGATGCTGTAGATGCGGCCGTCATCCTCGACGGAGGCAGCGAAGCGGGCTTGGGCGTTGAGCGCCTCCATCTTGAAGACTTGATGGTCTGAGAAGGAGCCGGGGAAGATGCCCAGATTAAGGGCTCTGAGGGTAACAACGACGTCCGTATCGAGCGAGATGGGCGATTTGAGGGCTGCGTCGTCACTCGTCGGTTTCGGGATACTCAGGCGCTGCATCACGCCCGGGGGAGCCGAAACCGACTTGCGCTGCATATACCGTTCGATCTCCTTGAGCGAGACCTCAAAGTTCGCCTTGCGCTCTTGCACCAGTCGCTGGAAAGCTTGGTATAGCGAGATGGCCTGGGCCGCAGAGGTCGTTGTGCCGAATACCTGGACAGCCTCACCGTCAAAGTTGGCCATTAGCCGATCTCCGCCCCCGTCTCTGCTGCGGCGGACGTTGTACATGAGGAAACCCAGTGAGGTGATGTCTGCAACGAGGAAAGCCTGGTAATCGAAAGCAGCCTTCACCCTGAACTGGCTGAACGTAACAGATGCCTGGATCAGAGGCGTCTCGCTGAGCGCTTGTTCCCGCTCCGGCCACTCTATCGCTGTCCGCAGCTTGAAATCATTGAGTGTGATGAACCCGCTCATCCTGCCGGCACTTTCAATACCGATCATGCTGAACCCGAGACACAGGTTCTGCTTCCAGTCTGATGTCTTCTTTGAAGAGATCCAGAAGTCGTTGATGGAGAATGTCGACCGCCCCAGCGCCTGACCAAGGTCCACGACAATCTTCAGCGCCGAGATGGAAATGCTGGCCGTCCAAGGAAAGGCGGCTGTCGCGGCGACCTGCTGGTAGCGCTGCACAAGATGCCCTTGGGATGTTTCCGTGACAAGTTTTGCCACTGGCCCAGCCGAGGGGTCCACGATCTTGCGCGGTAGCCAGATCTCGCGGAAGAGCAGGAAGTCCTGCAGCTGCTTCGCGTTGATTGACACCTCCATAGGACTGACCTTGAGAATCGCTGACACACCGCTGGTGCCGCTCAGATGCTTGCTGTTCAAGAATGAGAGAACGATCGACTGCACCCTAAAGCTGCCGGTGGATTCCCTCGAATAGACATGCTGCACCGACGCCTGAAGGCTCGTGAAGGCGCCCGAGATGGCGAAGAAGTTGCCCTGCTCCATCGACCGAACAGTGTTGGCCGTAAAGTAGACATCCTCAAAACTAGCCGTGGCCGCTACCCGCGCAATAGGCTGGCAGCTTAGCGAGAACTCTTGCTTGCAGATGCGCAGCCCCAGGTTGAGCTTCATGCGGCCCAGAACAGCCGTGGGGTCCGCAGTGAGGATGCTATCCTCCTCTGGGAGTCTGGGCTTGGCCGCAGCCTCTCGCGCTTGCGCAACTGGTTTGCTGTTTTTGGCGTCGCGACTGCTCACCACCTTTTTGATGTTGTTGCTGATGTCTACAACGAGTGGGACCACGGACGGATATAAGATATTGCTCGAGGCATCAATCTTGACCTCGGCATGGAGTGATGGGTCGTCCTTTCCGTTGTCCGTAAACTCTAGTTTCCAGGCGAGACCTGGCGATCTCAACGTTGTGCTGTCGGTTGCTTCGTCCAAACCCGGTTGCCCCTGTTTTCCGGCGCTGGACGGCCGTGTTGGTTTCGTGGCCGAGACTAGGTCCGCGGGGACCTTTTTACCTGTGAGATGCACCACGGCTCCAGCAAAATCGGCGTCCACGAGCAGAGATTCGAGTCTCTTTCCGCCGAGGATGTTCTTCCGTGGCACCTCCTGTGGCTGATCGGCGGCAGCCGGCTCAGGAGCCGTGACGCCCGGGTTCCAGTTTTGGGACGCTTGCTGAATGTTCTTAAAGGACAGACTGATGGAATCGTTCAGATGGGCTGCTGGTATGATAAAACCCGAGGTGAGCCGCACATCTAGGGGTTTCCCAACCGCCTGGAAAGCCAGGCGGCGGGCATCGGCCGTGGAAACGTAGGCGACGTTGAAAATAATCTCTGGCAGGAGCGCGGAGTTAGGGGACCGAATATTCTTGTCAGACGATGGGTTCGATATCTGGACCTGCAGGTCTTCGATGGTAAGCCTTGCCGAGTTTCTGGTTCGCGTGCCGAGCTCGATTCTCTGGAGTGAGAGCACGAGATCCTCCTTGCCAGCGGCCGGCATTTCGTCCGCTTTGTTGACCAACCAAGCCACCTGGATGTTACAGATCTCAAAGCTGTATGTGATGGAAGACAAAAAAGTGTCAATGATATCAGTCTCCTCTCCCGTTTCTGCGTTGTTAATAGCAATGCGTGGTTTGGATTGTCTGAGCTTCCGCAAGTACCCGAGCTCACGGGAAGTGTCGAGGTCCTTGATTTTGTTGCCCATGTAGCCCAGGACATCCACGACGGTGGAGATAGTGTCAGGGGATAGGTTCACCTCAAAGGCGTCACTCTTAACGTGAAAGAACCTCTTGTCCTTGCCATCCTCGCCGGCCTGCGAGGAGGCTGAGATCAGAGCACCGAATGCAACATTGCCACACGACTTCATGGCTTCAGCGCTGCCCCTTTGAATCTCAAAAGTAATACGGCGCAGGTTGACGTTGAATTCCGGATATAACAATACGGGACCCTGCTGTTCTAGCCGATTTGAGAGTCCAAGGTGGACGCTGCCGAGCGCAAAGGAGATGTGCGCCAGTGCCCCGGTCTCGGATTTCAATGGACTATTTCCAAATACCTCAAGCCCAGCAAGCGTCAGATGGATGGCGTAAGCCATAGTTTTCGGTTTTTTCTCCGTTGGGGCCACGGGCGCCTGCGGTTCTTCTCCGGTGACTTCCTTGACATGCTCCTGAATCGCTTTGACCTGTTGTTGCAGCTCATCGACGACACTGGAAATTTCAGGTCGGTTTAGAGCCGAGAGTAGACTGTACACGGCGGATGCATCTAGTTGTATCAACTCGACGGATGCAAAGACAGTCACAGAATGCTCTCCGTGGCCCATATGGCTTCTGATCCGTCCGTTGGTGGGTGGGATTTGCAGAAGCGAGATGCTTCTAGAAACATTATTGACTTTGACTTGCATATCATGAGAGTTCTCCTTGATGTCAAAATCGAAAATGATCTCTCGGCCGAAGTTAGCTGCCATGGCTGCTCTAGAAACTGTCCCATGGACTGTGTACGTGAGGGAGGGCAGGAGGGGCAGGCTGATGGTGTACTGGTCCATGAACAATGCTACGTTGACTCTGAAGGCGGATAGGCGATCCGCGAGCTTTTTGGAAGACGAGACAGGTCGAGAAGAGGGGAGCTGGTCCTTCAGCTTGTATAGCTGCGCGAACTCGTCCCGGACCAAGAGATCAAAGACCTCTGCCAAAGTGATGGGATCCTGCTTGACAATCAGGTTAAGATATTGATTGCTAGCTGCCGCCTTGATGGTATGGGAGTCGATTGTTTGGTTAGCCCGCAGTTCGTGTGAAACGAGGACGCTGGGCTTGTTTAGGATCAGCTTCGCAAGCTTCTGGTGGTTGCTTCGGAGGCTTGTGGTAGCAGAGTCGCAGTTGAGAATAAGGTTCGTGTCCGTCGTGTTGTTGGGCCCCTTTTGGATGAGTACCGACGTCTGAGCTCCGTGGATGAACGACGACGAGTAAATATTGACAGCCTCTAGGAGCAGCGACCCGTGACCGAGGGATAGGACACAGTGGATCGTGCTCTCTGATGATTGTTTTGGTGTAGCCAAGGTTTTGGGACCCGGAGACTCGGCCGGAGATTGATCGGATGCCCGAGATTGCATGTTCTTTGCCAGCCTCAGGATATTGTCTGCTAGCTCGCACAATTCCCAGTTCAAATTAATGGCGGCATCCTCACAGGAGACATTCAGGGTAGTCGAAGGGCCAGCCATTCCACCGATACTGTCCTTCTGTTTAGTTGCCGTGGCCGGTTTGCTCTGGAGTCTTGTGGTGAGGTCCGCTAGGGTGATCTCATTCTGCTTCGGTCCGGGATTGAGAGCAAGCAGGAAATGTTTGACCTTCACGACAGCAAGAGTCGGTTTTTCTTGGGCCGTAGGGTTGGGGCCTTCAGCCGACCGTCCAAATACCACGCCGAGAAGCATACTCTCCTCGATATTGTTCAAGTCCCAGCTCCTCCATTCTTGAAAGGCCGCGATCACTTCGTGTCTCAATTCCGCTGCTGGATTGGGGACTGGGACCAGGGAGTTGAGCATGATCTGCTCTGCTTCGGGTGGCCCCAGGACCGTCCACATCTGCCGAAGACGCATGGCCAGCTTCCAGGAGTCAAAGGTCCGCAGATGCTGAGGTGCGGAACGCAGGATCGCAGAAGGACGTATCAAGAAAGACGGATCAGGGACTTCTTGGCCCGCAGCGACAAGGCGGTGCACTAAACCTCGTACCATCATCTTCTCTTGTGATGATACTTTAGAGAAGAGCTCGTCGAGATCGGACACTAAGACGCTTGTGCGGTGAACCAACGACGCCAGGTAGTCGACCTTTCCGGATGATGTGCTGCCATGAATGTCGCCAACTTCCGCATCAAAGTATGTGACATCTTTGTTACCCAGGGAAGCTAGCACACTCTCGACTCGGATAAGAGCGTCAGCTTGGGAGCTATCCGTGCCACGGAGCCTCTCGGCAGCCGAGACCTCTACCGAGTCCAGTCTCAGGTGAAATGAGTTGCGAAACGCTTTTGACTGCGGCTTGAAAGCATCCTGCCAAGTGGTATGAGACCGGGATGTGAAGGAAAGCTTTGTGACTGAGACATCGTATTGGTCCTGCTCGTCGGCGGCCTGGTTCACAGAGTCTACTTCAGGAGAATTGATGAGCCGGAAGTTGAGGTGCGGCAGTTTAACCAGCAAGTCGTTAACCCGACCCTTCATTTTCTGGTTCTTTTGCGCATCGAAGATCTCTTTCATAGAGTCGATCTGCAGGGAGTCGAGGACGTCGTCTGGATCCGTTTGTTGGAGAGACGAAAGCAAGCTTGCCACATATCGCAAAGACGTAGGGTTGCAAAACGCGGTTAGGCCTGCCGGCAGTTCGAGAATGACACTGGAATAGGCAAAGTCTTCATTGAAAAAATTCGGATCAACGTCCTCCAGTTCGAAGCTGATTGAGTTTAAGTCAGCCGAGTCGCCATCTTGTTCTTCGATGCTCTGCATCATTGCTTCACCATGGCTGGGCTTGATGTTCTCAAGCGGGAAGTAAGGTGCGAAATATTGACTCGAGAAAGCAACAGTGTTGTGACCGGCATCCGGCTGCTCGTTTTGTTCTCCGGGCATACTGTAGAAGGCAGAATGGCGAGTTGATGGAGAAAATTCTCGGCCTTGCGCAAGCAAGTTGTGGCGTTCAGGGAACTTCCCTTTCCTACTCGATCGCCCCGATCTGAAAGGCTTGAGCACGCTGCTCTGTGCTGAACTAGAAACGGACAAGAACGACGATTTATGGCGCAGGCCGCGTGGCGGCCTCAAGCTCGTCTTGGACCGTAGGGACGATTCATCATCCTTGGAATTCCCCGAGAAAACCGGCATGGGCACCGGCGGTACACTCTGGGCAGGGGGGTCGACGATATCAGGAATGAAATCGTCATCCGCAAGGTTTGAGAGGACGAGAAACGGGGTTCTGTTTGTCCTCTGATCGTGCTTACGAACAAGATCTTGCTGAAGCTTCCTTTCCCCTGAGAAGTCCGCCTTGCGCCCAATGATGGCAACCCGCAGGCTGGTCTCTACTAGCGCGTCCGCCTCCACATCGTGCTGAGAGCGCGCTCTGTGCCTAGTAGCCAACTCTGCGTTCAAACAAGACAGCTTGATGTCTGGGATGTTGATGTTTGCTCTCCTAGAATAGTGTGACCGCGCCCAGTCGTTATAATTCACATCGATTGTCCCAGCTGAGAAGAGAAACGCAGCTTCTTCAACGTGGAGCCATAGGCGGACCGAATGGACGAAAACGCGAAGGAAGGTAACATCGTAAACAACGACCGAAGAAAAAGGCACCAGGGCATTTTCATCATCGTCAAACGTGAATGCGAAGGCCCTGCCTGCGCTGGTGAGGGTCGTCAAGAACTCTGTGGTGCAATCGCCCGTGATGGCGCCCAGTGATAGATCCCAATTGCACATGTAGGTTGGTTCTGCCGGAGGAAGGCCAAAGAGACGATGACCATAAACATTGAGGCCATCCACAAACATCTGGGTGCTCGATGTTGCGCTGATTGGGGTTTCTGCGCCGGCTTCAGTATTGCCCAACGAGAGGTTCAGTGGGGCCACCACCAACTCCAGGTCCATGTAGTAGTTGGTGAAACGCAAATCGAGACACAGACTTGCAGTATCGATCTGTATGTGGCGGTTGGAGGAGTAAAGATTGGCTGGAAGCAGAACCTTTGGATCGTCGGCCCTGATGCTGAGGATGACATCCAAGTCATTCGACTTCTTAGGTGGTGGCTTGCTGGCAAGCTCGGCATTCGGATCATTCTCCTTCAAGCGCAGCATGTCCTGGTATTCCTCCATTGTTCTGAAGTGAAGATCGTCGCCAAAGTAGTTGTCCTTGACCATGAGGCAGTAGCGGATGGTGAAACCATGGAGGTTCGCCGTCGGCGACTGCCCACTAATATTCAGGACCAGGGTGTCGGTGTTTGCAGACGAGGTGGTCGCATTATAATGGTAGGCACCCTGAATAGCTAGACTCTCGAGCCGCCCAACTTCCTTGGAGGTGAGGAACTGTGCATATGTGTTCCACGGCGGCAAGTGAAGATCGATCATAGCGGTGTCGGCACGGATGTCAAAGGGAACGTCATTTTCGCTTGGTCTGTATTGGTCGATTGGGATGCATGTTTCGCATCTGAGAAGCGGACTAGAGATGATGAGGTATGTGTTATCTTCCAAGTCGGTTGGATTGTTGACAATGTTTGCATCGTTGAGGTTCAGAAAAAGCCGGACATCCTGGAGTTGGAGATTGAGATGGTACTTGAAAGGAGTGAAGACTAAATAGTCGGTCAGTGGCCCACTCGTCCAGTCGTCCACGAGATCGATCAGGAGGAAGATATGATCTCGTAGAATGTAAAGCTCCAGGTCGTCGGCGTTGATATTGAAGTACCATTGACGAAGAGCGTTCCAACTCAGCGGCGTAGATAGATCGCAGGATATCCTGTGCCGGTTGGATCTCAACAGAAGCTCGTGGTTGATGCTGGTTGTCACTTCGGTGCTGGGCAGGTCCACATCGAGAGTGCTGGTGTACCCGGAGGCGCCGGCAATCATATCCATAGAGTAGGAAACAGTTGCGTTGGCAGGAACCTTCAGGTCAAGCCAACCGCAAGGTCGTTGGTGCAGTTCAGCAGGCGGATCTGACTTCTTAGATCGACGGGCCTTCCGTGTGTCATTGCCTCCTGGCTTGGGCGGAGCGGGCTCTTTGCCCTTCCACCTCCAATTCTTTGACGCCTCTCTTACCGGGATGCGGATGGTCGTGGCGTCGGTGAGCTCAAGATAGAACTTGAATTGCGTTGGCACCCGATATGCACCTGGGGCTAAGGGTCGGGCGGGCACCGCGTCCTTGCAGAGACTAGGGACGAAGATGCGCTGGAGATCTGCTCGATGCCTATCGGCCCAGGGGCCGTAGTTGACAGAGCCCCCGTTTACGGACAAGGTGATTGCCCAAGCAGGGGGTTCGGCGCCGTTGATATTGGGTGCTTGCTCCAAGATTTTCTCCTGCAGCGATACGGTGTTTGGTCTAACTTGGCTCGGCACGTCCCAAAATAGAGTCAAAGACGCCTCGGGGCTATCCAAGAGCGTTGGGACGGCTGCATACTCGGAAGATGCCCATCGAGACTTTTGGTCTTCCGCATCGTCGGAGAGATATCGTGACAACCCTTGCCATCGGCCAGCGCCAGGTATCTGGCTAGCAGAAGTCCCAATCTCTCTACTAGAGGGGGCCAGCGACTCGACAGATTTATTCCAGAACGGAATCATGTTCCTGAGGCCTTCACGAAGCCTGCGCCTTTGCCAATGGAGAAAAGACCGTCTGGGGCGGGAAAGCGACGCTTGGGCCTGGGCGGCCTGTTTATCTCGGACGGCCCGGTCGGGTTGCTCTTCTTTGAAATCCATGTTGTCTTTCATTTCAATAACGGGGTTCTTGAATTTGAATCGGAAGTATTGACGATAGGGATCGGGCGTCTCGGTCTCAGAAGCATCGATTTCACCTGATAAGGAGGTTGTTTTGACGATTAGAACAGCCTTGGTGTTTTCGTTGCCCATCACCATTGCCGCCTTGTCGCAAGTCAGGTATATCGGTAGAAGCTGCAGGAGTAACGGTAGGCTAGCATTATTGTCTGCACCTTCACCATGTTCGGAGTTGGACGAGCCAGGGCTAGGCGCGGGGTTCCTCTCCACGCTGTTGCCGGTATTGTCACCCGTGGCGCCTGATCCTTCCGGCTTGACTGAGAAGCAAGCTGGGGATGAAGACCTCGCTGGCCCCTGTTGCCGACCCGACTGCCTCCGACGCAACTGGACAGGTTCTGAGGCTGCCGACCCTGGGCCGCCCTGTCCTGGACCGGCATCATGACGGATCGCCGCAGAATCGGTAAGCCCGGAAAGAACAGAATCGTATGCAGGACTCCGGTTGTATATAAACCACTCCAAACCCCTGAGAGATACCTTGACACGGCATGGGAGCTTTGCAGAGGGTTCTTCCGTGGCAGCATCTGGGTGCTTTTCACCCCCTTTTCGTTCCCCCACATCCACCTCCCGGACCCTGCGCAGCCAGTACGCCCAGGTAATGTGCCCGTTTTGCACTAAAATCGTCTCGTTGTTGCCGTGGTATCGAAGACCCGTGAAGAAGATGCGCCCGGCGAGCAAGGATATTTGGAGGGCTTTGATGTCGATGTAGACGCCATACTGGTGCCATGTGTATGTTCTGATTCCCCAGGAAACGATGGATGCGAATACCCGGTTAAAGTATAACAGGGAAAATACTGATCTGCTATCAGTCAGCTCGGAAACGGCTATGTGAGGGCGGTCGGATTGGGGGATACTGACAGCACGCCACAAGCAATCAGGACCCCAAGGAACGGCCTGGAAGGAGGGAATATGTTAGAAATTGGACATCTTAGGAACTACATCGGGAATTGGATCGGAGTACATACGGATGGAATTCGATCCCATCGCGCGAGAAAGGGTCGCTGTTCGACATGCTCACCGCGAGCCGGAGCGCTGCTGTTAAGCTCTCTCTCTGTTCTTCCCGAACTGAGCCACCACGAACCTCCTAAACCACAAAGAGGTGACTTGGGTCGCCCTCCATGCCCCCGTTTGTAGTCGAAGAGGGTAAAAAAAAGAGAAAAAAAAAGAATTGAATAAAGGCGGTTACTGCATAGTAAATGGCGGGGCCAGAGCAGCGGATGCGAGTCACTTCGTCGAAATCACTTTCTCGTCCGAATTTGAAGTCGCGAACGGGCGCGCGACTGGAGCTCGCGAGTCACTGCAATTGGCGGCGTGCATGGAAGCTTCAGCAGAATGGATCAGAGGAAGCTGCAGGGCCAAGGCCCCACTGATATTCTGAACCGTGCGTCTTCAAGTGGGACAAGGCTCGGGGGGACTTATGGTGGGGCCGGGGAACTGCGCTGGTACTGGACACTCGGCTCCTTCAGAGGGACAAACCCCTGTCCATCCCGCACTCACGATGTTTGGCTTCCCGTCCGGGGGGTGTTGGAGGAGTCGTCATCCATTCCACCCTAGAGCCTCGTTTCCTCAACGATACGCCCCGCGCCGCCTAATGACGGCTTTCTGAACAAACCCGGATCTTGGAGTTTTGATGATCGGAGGCCCCCCAACAAAATGAGGGGAGGCACAGGACAGAAATTCGAGGCGGCAGCGACCGTGATCGCAGGCGTCGCGTCCCTCGTCGCGACGCTAATGTCCATCGTGTATGAGGCAGCTCTTTTCTTGGCTGACCGCCCTGTCGTATAAGTTTACTGACATGCTGGTCCATCTCTTGGAATAGCTCGATATGGCTGCAAACGTAAGAACAGTCCGATTGGGCCCCAGTGGTTCGCCTACTTATCGCAACTACCTTACAGGAAGAACTACCGGAAGCCCCTATTGCAACGATATGTGGTTCGCATCCTGCTCATGTATGGCCGCGAGCTTCACCTTTGTATTATCGGCGCGCTGACCTGCGCCTAGGATCCCCATATACTCGGTTGCTTCCTGGACTAGCATGGTCTCACGGACAGCGGCCGACTTCCTCAGCCCTATCCGAGATATCTACGAGGTACTGCCTGTTTTGGCGCTGTGACTGGCCGGTAACTGACTTGCCTAGGCTTTCACCATCTACACCTTCTTCCAGCTGTTGATCAACTACCTCAGCGGTGAACGAGCTCTCATCATCATGACCCACGGCCGGGAGCCGGTTGACCATCTATGGCCGCTCAATCATGCTCTTCCGCGCGTTGACATATCCGACCCACACACATTCCTCGCCATAAAGCGTGGTATTCTGCAATATGCGTGGCTGAAGCCGACCCTGTCGCTGGCGGCGATTATCATGAAGGCTACTGGCACATATCAGGAGGGCTACATTGGGCTTAATTCGGGCTACTTCTGGAGCGGCATAATCTACAACATTAGTGTCACCATCAGTCTCTACTCGCTGGGGCTGTTTTGGGTCTGCATGCACAACGACCTGAAACCCTTCCGGCCGGTCCCCAAGTTTCTGTGCGTCAAACTCGTCATCTTTGCCTCGTACTGGCAGGGCTTTTTGCTATCCATCTTGGTCTGGCTGGGCGCCATCCCAGACCAAGTCGAAGGCTACACCCCCGACAATCTGGCCGCAGCCATTCAGGACTTCTTGATCTGCATAGAAATGCCGGCGTTTGCGGTCGCCCACTGGTACGCATTCTCGTGGCATGATTTTGCGGACAACCGGATCGCTTCGGCCAGGATGCCTGTGTGGTATGCGGCAAGAGATGCTTTTGGAATCCGCGACCTCATTCAAGACTCCAAGGAGACCTTTTCAGGGGACAAATACGGATATCGTATTTTTGACTCTGGAGACAAGATTATGGCCCACGAGGCTTCTCGCTCACGACTAGCTCGGATTAAGGACGGGATGCGGTATGAACGAGGAGGCAAGGGGAAATACTGGATACCAAGGCCGGACGAGATCAACCAAACGACACCCCTCTTGGGAGCCAACGGCGAGCCAAGCAGGAGGAACGGGTCCCTGTCCCCACACACCAACAGCCATGAGGAGCCGATACTTGATCCCAGCGAGGAGCTTCTCTACGAAAATGCGAGGAAGCTTGAGTACGGAGACTGGAATGTGAGTGGTCAAGTCTCTTTTGTCGCTAGAACCTGGTCAACTAATAACATGCCCATAGTACCCTGTCATCACAGCCAGTGAGCCTGCAAGCGTGCGGTATATGTCGCCACACCCCAGCCTTTATCAAAACACGCCCACCGGGAGCTTTTATCAGCGCGCTTCGTCGAGCTCAGTTCCGACCCTGAATCCAGATGCCCCTCTAGAGAGGCGCAAAAAGCAGGCGCCGGAGGGGCCCCAGGCGGGCGCCGGAGACAGGAAGGGCAAGAAGAAGGAGCTTGCTGAAGCCCAAAACCCCGGCTCGACGCACGAAGCAGGCCTGGACCCCCTTGAGATCGCGTATGGTCCCACCATTGGGACACATACAGAGATTACCAAGGACGATTTCAACGTGGATACAGACAGCGGGCAGCACAAACCTCACCAAGAAACTGCGAGGCCCGCCCGGCAGACTCACGTCCCACGGGACGACAATGACTCGACAGATATATCCAGCGACGCGGAAGAGCAGGGGGAAGACAGCGGGATGGGTCGCAGCCCTAGGCCGAAATACGGCCTCGATGGAGAAGATGAGTTTCGGAATGTTTGGGGGAGGTGATAGGTAACGACCTGTCCGCTTCATTTTTTCGCTGAGCGCGGAGTTGTTTGGGGACGTCATTTGATACCCCGTCAGCCTGAAGAGGCTATACTTCTGTATATGTACACGGATGGATTGAGCATTGCACCGGAGTTGTTGTGGGATCTGCGGTATTATAAACGAGTTATACCGTTTTTTTTATTCATTCGCTACTGGTAAAGTCCGCTAGCACCTTCATACAAGCAAGGTATTCGCTCAACACCATTACGTTCCGTCTCAACATTCATGGCATCATGGTGTCACAGCGGCAGCGCATTACCCGCCGATGACACACTTGGGACACCCTTCCCCAGCGTCAGCGTCGGAACAACTTTTCGTCGACACGGCGTGTTTTGACGTTGCCAGTTTGGTCACCTGCCCAATCAAAGCCGGCTTCCTACGATCGAGGCGTGTCTAGATGCTCACTTTGGCCACCCGTCGGAACACTCAGCTAGGTCTAGCACACCGAATGGCTCATCACTCCCATGTGTTTTACCCATTCGCCGCCTTAAACAACGGTCTAGGCATCGACCTGGTAAAAAGAGGGGCCAATGCTTGGCCTAATACGTCAACCCGTCCATCCTGCACACATAACAGAGGCCCAAGCTCCAGTCGTTCGCAGAGAGCTTCTGCAGTCCGCAGCTCTGCCCTATAAACAGCGGCTCTGGCAGCCCCGTTCCTGCTTTCCTCAGCACCATCCTGTGCATACATTCCATCAATACCTCACACCCATACACACACAATTTCTTTCCAGCAAAGCTCAAGCATCTGCAGAATCAAAGTACACAGTAAGTGCATTGTTCCACAAAACTCTTCACTCCCAGACTACCCGCCAGGTGCGGGGTTCCTTTCTGCCCGGATTAGGTGAGGAGGGGCAAAACAGGGCTTGACCCTCGGCCGCCCAGTTGTAACAGCCGGCGCACAACAGGGGCCAATGGAGGGGCCGCAGATCGATATCGCATTGCCCCACCATTTCTTTACCCCTCCTTCCTCCCCACTCTGTTCACTTTTTTCCTCCCTCACAACCGCAATTTTAAAGGCTCGGAACAGCTGGCTTTTCCACTTCCACTGCCCTTCGCGCCTTTCCCTTCACCAGTCTCCTCCCGTTTATTGCTATCGGTCGAGGGCTGAGAGCTGATCCACTGAGCAGGACTGCGGGATCCCTGCCACACCTCTTAGGCCCGCCCAACTTTTTTAGCTAACCGACTTGACCTGGGGAAGAAAAAAATTCTCTCCTCTCTGGAGATTCTTCACCAGACATCCAACACACCCATTTTAGCAGGTATCCTTCAATACCGCCAAGATGGTGAAGTAAGTCCTGCTTCGAGCTCCCCTTGTCCACACCCTCGATCGAACTCCCTTGTCGCGCATTTGCATCGTTTGCGATGCGCGTCTTTGGCCTTCACTACCCCGCCCCGGAGATAAGACAGCCACCCGGTGGCGGCCAGAGTCGAGGGAAAAGATGCTGACCATGGCGCCTCAACAGCTTCACGATCGATGAGATCCGTCAATTGATGGGTGAGTCCGCGCAGGCCGACTGGCTCATGCCTCCGGATCGGTTACTGACTCGGCCACAGACAAGCCCACGAACGTGCGCAACATGTCCGTCATTGCGCACGTCGACCACGGCAAGTCCACTCTTACCGACTCCCTGCTGGCCAAGGCCGGTATTATCTCGTCCGGCAAGGCCGGTGAGGCTCGGGCGACAGATACCCGAGCGGACGAACAAGAACGTGGTATCACCATCAAGTCCACGGCCATCTCCCTCTACGGCACCCTTCCCGAGGAGGAGGATCTTAAGGACATTGTTGGCCAGGCTTCGAACGGTAGGTCTTCTTCCGGCACCGATTTAGGCAAGTGGCAGAATGCTGATACCTGCTGCAGGCAAGGACTTCCTCATCAACCTGATCGACTCGCCCGGTCACGTTGATTTCTCTTCCGAGGTCACTGCTGCTCTCCGTGTCACCGACGGTGCTCTCGTCGTCGTCGACACCGTTGAAGGCGTGTGCGTCCAGACCGAGACGGTGCTCCGTCAGGCTCTCGGTGAGCGCATCAAGCCCGTTGTCATCATCAACAAGGTCGACCGTGCGCTCCTCGAACTTCAGGTCTCCAAGGAGGATCTTTACCAATCCTTCTCCCGTACCATTGAGTCGGTGAACGTCATTATCTCCACCTACTTCGACAAGGCGCTCGGTGATGTTCAGGTCTACCCTGACCGCGGCACTGTCGCTTTCGGCTCCGGTCTCCACGGCTGGGCCTTCACTATCCGTCAGTTCGCGACCCGGTACGCCAAGAAGTTTGGTGTTGACCGCAACAAGATGATGGAGCGTCTTTGGGTGAGTGATTCGCCGTTTTTATACATGTGACCAGCTTCATCTAACAAAATGTAGGGCGACAGCTACTTCAACCCTGCCACCAAGAAGTGGTCTAAGTCCGGCACCCACGAGGGCAAGCAGCTCGACCGTGCCTTCTGCCAGTTCATCCTGGACCCTATCTTCAAGATCTTCTCCGCTGTCATGAACTTCAAGAAGGAGGAAACTGCCAGCCTCCTCGAGAAGCTCAACCTCAAGCTTTCACCCGACGACCGTGAGAAGGAGGGCAAGCAGCTCCTGAAGGCTGTAATGAAGACCTTCCTGCCGGCCGCCGACTGCCTGTTGGAGATGATGATTCTCCACCTCCCTTCGCCCGTCACGGCTCAGAAGTACCGTGCCGAGACCCTGTACGAGGGTTCTCCCGATGACGAGGCCTGCGTGGGCATCCGTGACTGCGACCCCAAGGGCCCGCTCATGCTCTACGTCTCCAAGATGGTGCCAACCTCCGATAAGGGCCGTTTCTACGCCTTCGGCCGTGTGTTCTCCGGTACCGTCCGCTCCGGTCTCAAGGTCCGCATCCAGGGCCCCAACTACACGCCGGGCAAGAAGGACGACCTGTTCATCAAGGCCATCCAGCGCACTGTCCTCATGATGGGTGGCAAGGTCGAGCCTATTGACGATATGCCCGCGGGTAACATTGTCGGCCTGGTCGGTATTGACCAGTTCCTGCTCAAGTCCGGTACCCTCACCACCAGCGACACGGCACACAACATGAAGGTCATGAAGTTCTCCGTGTCGCCCGTCGTGCAGCGGTCCGTGCAGGTCAAGAACGCTCAGGACCTTCCCAAGCTTGTCGAAGGTCTCAAGCGTTTGTCCAAGTCGGATCCTTGCGTCCTGACCATGACTAACGAGTCCGGCGAGCACGTTGTTGCCGGTGCTGGCGAGCTCCATCTCGAGATTTGCTTGAAGGATCTTGAGGAGGACCACGCTGGTGTCCCTCTCATCATCTCGGACCCCGTCGTCCAGTACCGTGAGACCGTCGGTGGCAAGTCCAGCATCACTGCCCTCTCCAAATCGCCCAACAAGCACAACCGTCTGTACATGGTTGCTGAGCCGTTGGACGAGGAGGTTTCCAAGGCGATCGAAGATGGCAAAATCACTCCCCGTGACGACTTTAAGGCGCGCGCGCGTGTTCTTGCTGATGATTTCGGCTGGGACGTCACCGATGCCCGCAAGATCTGGGCTTTCGGCCCTGACACCAACGGCGCCAACTTGCTCGTTGACCAGACCAAGGCCGTTCAGTACCTCAACGAAATCAAGGACTCTTGTTGTTTTACCCGGTTATCCAGATGGGGCTACCCGTGAAGGGTCCCCCGTCGCTGAGGAGCGCCCATCGCGCAGCATCCGGCTTCAACATCTCTTGATGTTACCCCTACACGCCGAATGCCATCCACCGCGGTGGGTGGTCAGGTCATCCCTACCGCTCGTCGTGTGCTCTTACGCTGCCGCTCTCCTGGCCGGAAGCCCGCCCTTCCTCGGAGCCCGTCTTCTTGGTCGAAATTCCCAGGTGCCCCGAGCAGGCCCATGGGTGGCGTCTACGGTGTCCTTACCCGCCCGGAGAGGGCCACGTCTTCAAACGAGGAGCAGGCGCCCCCGGTACTCCTCTCTTTCACCATCAAGGCCTATCTCCCCGTCATGGAAGTCCTTCGGCTTCAACGCCGATCTGCGCCCAAGGGCACCTCCGGCCAGGGCCTTCCCCCCAGTCTGTCTTCGACCACTGGCAGCTTCTTCCTGGTGGCTCTCCTCTGGATGGTACTTCCAAGGTTGGCCAAATTGTGCAGGAGATGCGCAAGCGCAAGGGTATCAAGGTCGAGGTCCCGGGCGTCGACAACGTAAGTTTTCACTTGGGCGTTTCCATCCAGCCGCAGCTGCTAACGCATTACCTAGTACTACGACAAGCTTTAAGCGGTGTCTTCCGATCAGCGTGTAAGTCGCTGCTTCACGCCCTCAGCGCCATAAGAGCCGAGTCGCTGGGACAACTTGTATTTTCCAATGGCTGACGGGCCCAAGGAGCATGAGAGCAAGCGAATACAGGAGAGACAATGGTGGTGAAGGGCAACCCACGGAGAGTCACTGGCACCCAAGCCTTATCGCCCCATTGATCCCGGCCTATTTGTAGTAACGGAGAAATGATTTATTACGGTTACCCAGGTCAAATAGCATCACATTGTTGATGGTGTGAAGTGACTTGACTAGTCGTAAATTGTGATGGTCTTGTGAAGTGCTTTTTTTATACCCATTTCCCATATCCGACTTCAAGCCAGCAAAGATATCTTCCCATTCATGGGGACCTATCCCCAGCGCATCTTCCGTAAATGCTTGGGGCATCCATGACACCAGCCCCGCTTCATCATAGTTCATGCTGTACACTACTTCCAAATCATACATGCATATTTCGCTCATTCTTTGACACTCTTTATCATTGCCAAACTGACGCCCGCCCACCCAGCCTAGTTAGTTTGTCACGCTCGTCATCTACCTCTCTCGCCCCGCCCTGCTCTGGTTGCGGTGGCAGCGGTGGCGGTGACGACGGCAGCGCTGGGATGTGAGGGTGCTGTACACCCAGCGAACGGAGGCGTTTGGAGAGGAGTCCCTCTGTTGCTGCGCCTGGTTCTGCACTTCCTGTGGTGGCGGTGGCGTTGGGGTAATGGTTGTCGTTGTCGCCATTGTTGTCGCATCGGTGAGTATTGTTGCTGGGGTGTGCGCCACGGACGCCGCCGTAGCCGATGTCGCCTTTGTTGAGCTTACTGTAGGTTGCTGTTTCGGGTTTGGACGCGCCCGTCATCTCTAGGCCTGGCATTGGTGTGGGGGTGCGGGAGTGGCCTTGTCCGGGGCGGGTGATGGGGATGGCGTTGAGGCGTCTGAATGGGTTGGGCTGTGCGTCCTGGGGGTGATGGTCCTCCTGGTCTGGGTTGGGGAAGGGGTTGTGCTGCTGCTGCTGCTGCTGCTGCTGCTGGTAGAGGGGGTGCTGGCTGTGTCCGGGGAAGCCCAGGCTGCGCCGACGGAAGGCCTGCTCTGCGGCCATGGTGGCGGCGGAGGGCATACTAGTACCAGTGGCGGTGGCGTGGATATTCATCGTCGATAGCGGGCGCATCACGCGCACTGGCTTGTAAGGGGCAAATCGGGGGTCCGGGTAAGTAACCTCGATGCGGAGCTTCTCCTTGCCGTCGGGGACGCGGTTGGCGAAAACGACGCGGATGGAGTTGTAGAGATAATGGCGCCCCTTGGAAGGGCAGCATATGTGTAAGTGGAGGAGGTAGCGTAGAGTAGGACGATCGGAACCGAGAGTCGCGGCGTATTTAGGGATTCCTGTTTCGATAATGGGCCCCGCTGAGTAGCTGCGCTGGCGGATGAATGTCTTGGTACCGGGCTCCATTCCTGCTAGGTCATACGGTATGAGGAAGAGTTTGACGGCGGTCTTGTTTTGGTTTTTGATGACAATCTGTAGCTGGCCCTTCTCCGGGATGCGGTAGCCTCCACCAGGGGGCGCCCTCGGTGTTCTGGAGGGCCGCTTAGACGTCGTGGTCTTGGAGGCCCCATCGCCGTCTGAAAGCTCGGCTGGGATTTCACGGGCCCGCGACCCTTCTTCTAGCGTGCTCTTAAGATCTTGGTACCGAGATTGCAGTTTCCTCTTCGCCCGCTGCGACTCTTCAGGGTTTGGCAACCCGTTTTCGAGATCAATCTGGCCAACGTAGGGACTTGGCCCGTCTTCCACCTTGTTTCCCTCGGAGGATGTGCTGGAGTAGTTGTAAAAGACGGCCGAGAATGGCAGCGTGACATGAGCTGGGCAGCGGAGGCTCGCTTTGCACTTTCCAAGACCGAGAACCCCAATCTGTGCCGTGAATTCTAGGGGTCTGGAGGGAGTGGTGGACATGCGGCCTCTGAGGATGCTTTCTTCGTAAGAACCCACCATAGATGCATGGTGTAAGAGGGAGGCTTCCGAACCGAGCGACGGCCGCCGGGACCGGAAAGGTGTGGGCGTTTGTGGGGAGGTCCCGGCGAAGACGAGATTTGGGGTCGAACTTAGGGACCGCCGGGGCTGGTGTGCTTGGTACGGATAGGTGCTCTCCCGACGAAGGGGTGACTGCCTGTGGCTGGCTGAGTTTGCAAAGGGCGAGTGACTGAAATTGAGGGTATGGCGCCGAGGGTTGCGAGGACTGCTTGCGTCTATGTTAAAATTATCGAGCGGCAAGGTAAAATCGAGGTCCTCGTTGCTTTCTGACTGAACCAGGGGGCTCGTTGGCGGCTGATAGGCAAAGCTCGAAGAGAGCGAAGAGCTCAAAGAAGGAGGGCCAGATCTGAAGGCCTCTCTTCGATAATCGGCTCTGCGCCTGGCGAAGTCGAACGCCACATAGTCCCTTGGGGGGGATGTGGCCGTCCATCCAGCGTTGGCAGAGGGAAAATGAATCTCGCTGTCCGGCAAGATAGTGTCCTTTGTGCCTCCCGACCGTGGAGACAGCTCTACCGGAGTGAAGTTTCCGCTGTGGAGGGCCGACCGTGGGCGTTCAATATTCAACCCTTCCTGCGATGGTGAGCCGATACTTTGCTGGCCCTGCTTGTCCGGGGTGATGGTGGGCGCAGGTAGCAAACCAGGAGAGCCCGAGCCTGCCAGCTGAGGCGTCCTAGGTGGTGAAGCGCCTTTATTCTGATGGAACAAAGATTCTAGCTTTTCTTCGCTCATCCACGAGGCACCGAAACTCGGCTGGGGTTCACGATGTACGTGGTGATTCGGGACCCAGGTCGGGCTCTCGCCTCGCTTCAACCGCTCGATGAGTTCGGCCCTATTGCAAACCGCGTGAGAGACGGCCTCCTGGGGCGTGGATGGTCTGGGAGGGCTATCTGGGACGGGCCCTTCACAAAGTTCGGTCCGGATGCTTTCTTCTGAAAGACGGCGGGAGTGCTGCCACCTGGCGATTCCCGGTGGTGTTTGTATCGGGACGGGGGCAGATTCGGGGCCTTGTGAGCCGCCATCCCCCGAACCCCCCCGGCGTATATCGTCTCCATAGAGTAGAGGCATTTTCGAGCTGTGATGTTACAGACAACAATGGTTATGGCTATGACGATGACGATGACGATGACGATGACGATGACGATGATACGGACTCCGGTCATGGAAAGGCGGAGGTTCTACGCCACCCATACCGGCCATCCATCCATGCTTCTTCCCCGAAGCGGCGAACAAAAAACGTGACGGTAGTTGAAGGCGGTGCAGTGGTGTGCTTTGTGGGAGGTAGTGGAAAATAAGTCGGAAACAAGTCACACAAGACCCAACAGTGGTTCCAGTTGGCGGGAACGCGGCCCAGCGGGCGGAAAGGTGCGAGAGAAGGATGCTGGATCCCGGTCGGTACTTTCTTTGTAGGTATTTTTTTAAGACACACCCTGCTTTTTCATGAAAATCTCATGCCACCAAAAAATGATAATATATAGTTGGGCGGAGATCGGGCAACGGAACACACAAGCAGTTTGTTAGTCATTTTTCCCAAATCTTTATTGTAGAGGGAGCGGAGAGAAGTCCCAGGTGAACTGGGTGAAAGCGGATGCATTGGTCTGAAGCGACCCATTCGTGCCGTTAAGCAGATGACTGCAACGTGGGCCGTGACATGGGGCTTGTTTTAGCGGGACATGGGGTTGATGACTGCCCATGCCCACACTGTATGGGGTAAGAGCCCACTGAAACGGCGCGCCTGGCATGTCTCGGGGGTTACAGAATCGGGATGATTCCCAGGTAGTTAGTCTTAATGATAGCAGTTTGTATCTTGACTATTTGTTTATTAACACACGTCTAGAATATACACTACCACACTATCTTGCTACAAGACAGTAACCAGCCAGCCAGCTAGCTATAGGAAATATTCGTAAGACTGTCTGTTGCACCAACCTGGAACTGCTGCCAAGGGGCGTCGGTTGGCCAATCTTGCCGAATTTGATCAGGCGCTCCATCATGCGTCATTGCCACTCGGGACCACCCGGAACCCCAGAACCTGCTGTTGGTAAATTTGCAGCCGTTAACCATTTATCAATCTATGAGTTTATCTAAGGGGAAGGAAGGGTATTGTACCAAATCTGCAAGCAACCTAGGCGTTGCACCCATTCGTTGTTGACCAGACACACAAGTATTTCGATGTTGAGGGTGTGGATGAAACCTGCAAGCTGAATGACGGAAACTGCTGATGAAGTTATGCATGCATGATTGAAGAAGGGTCCAATCAAGCGAGAGCATGGGTATTGGAGCTGTGGGGGTTGGTTCTCACCGCCCACCTTCTGGCCAAAAAAGTCGAACTCCCCTGGGCCTGGGAGCGGGGCCTGAGCGGGTCAACTTCCATCGTTATCGTCGCTTATCGCAGCCAAAAAATAATTCCGTCTCTGTCGGCGAACGACATCGCGGCTAACGAACAGAACAAAACATCCAGACACGATTTTGCAATCAACCATGCCTTCTAAGCGCCCCCGAGACGAAGATGCCGCCGTTGCTGCTGTTGCTCCTCCCACGGCCGACGATACCAGAAAACTAAAAAAAGCCAAGCATGGATTCCGCGTGGGACCCGAGAACCTCCCCGACGGTGCCTGGCGACGCAAAGGTACTGCCCCCTTGTCCAGACCATTGCCGGCATAAACTAACCCACTATGTACAGTGACCAAGATCAAGAAAGACCTCATTACCAAAGCCAAAGTAAAAAAGCAATACGCCAAAATCAAGGCAGAGCACCAGAAGCAGGCCTCAGCCCCAACACCCGAAGACCACACCAAAAACAACGCCGAACCCACCATCCACCCAGACCAAGAAGGAGAAGACAGCACCGAGCCAGCCCCCGCCCAGATCCACCCGGAGCGACAAGCCATGCTCGATGCACCCTCCTCCCTCTCCAAACCACCCGCACAACGTCAACAGCGACAACGACAACAACAGCAACATCAGCCCACAGACGAGACCGAGGCCGACCCCGCCCAGCCACACTCCCAAACCGACCAGCCAGACAACCCGCGCCAAAAGCGCAAGCACCGCCACCACAAACCCGACTACTACACCAAAGAGCTCGCCACCGCCGAGCGCGCGAAGCAGGCGGCGGCGGAGCGGGCGGCCGAGGCGGCGCGCCGCGAACAGGAGCGGCAGCGGCGTGTGGCCGACCGAGAGCGCTATCGCCGCGCCATGGCCAAGGCCAAGACGCCCGGCCGGGACGGGCGCGTCAAGATCGGGCGCGAGAGTCGATTGTTGCTGGAGAGGGTGCAGAGGGTTGTGGGGAAGAGCTGAATTCTGGGTGTGCTTGGTTGACATGGGGACTGCGGGAAAGGGTTGATGGGTTGGGGGTTGGAGGTTAGTGGCTGGGAGTTTGTTTTTGTTTGTGGGAGACGATTTATTTTATGATGGTAGATGATGATACCCTCGAGAGGCTAGCCTCTTGTTTTGAGCGAGGGTTGTCGGGTAGGAAGAGCATGTTGGAGTTGGACTAGGGAGGTTGTGGGTTGGGAAAAGGAATCCTGGTTTCTCTCCAGTGACACCGGGGGCTACTTCATAAGATCAAATCTGAGGCAGGCATGGTATCTTCGCATTCGGTGTTGAGGATGACGAAGGCTAAATAAATCGAAACAAAACAGAAAGCAGTCCACAACAACTGGGGAATCATAACCGTACATCGACCAACCGAGCTGAATCAGTGTGAAACCAAGCATTATCTTCGACTCCCATCGCCTCAAAACCGCAAATAAGGGCATCACATCATGTCAACTAGAACCGAGCCGAACCGAACCGAACCGAACCAAAGACTTCCTCGCTCATGCTCCAGAACCCGGCCAAAAGCCAGCATGATACCATGAGAGGAATGGCCAACTCGCCCGCCAAATTAACCACAACCCTCCCACGCCAACCAGAAAAGTAATTAGCAACCAGGCAAGGCAACAAACCAAACAAAAGGGGGTCTCTCAGAAAGAACAAAACAGCTCAAGGCTCAAGGTATATACAAATCACGCAGTTGCAACAAGACAAGAAAGAGCAACACGCAACAGGCAACACGCAAGTTTCGGTCCCCAAACCCAAACGCGCCACCATCCCCACCCCATCTTTCTTTCCCTCGTCAGTTTCCCATCACAAAACAAACGATCCTTTTGTTTTAGTGCCTCTTTTTTTCTATCATACGACCTGGACGATCCCTGGTAGGTAGGTAGGTAGGTAGGTAAGAAGAGCGCTTGCTTATGCCTCGCCAAAGATGACATGGCTGTGCTCAATGAGGAACTGCACGGCCAGGTTCTTGGCATGCATGTCGGTCATCTCCTTCTCCAGGCTGTGGTCTCTCATGATGGTGGGCGCAAAGACGACGGCAAGGTTCTTGGGAGACATCTAGAAGGAAGGAGTTAGTTGATGCCAGGGCATTAAGAGAGGTTGGATTGGGTATCTGAACATACCAGGTTCTCGCGCTCCCGGCTCGCCACCCGGACCAGGTGGAACATGAGGAACTCGAGACAGTCCCGATGTTTCGGAGGGAGCATGTTCACCGTCTTCCTCAGGTGGCTGCAGCGCTCTGTCTCATCTTGCACCGCTACACGAAGACATTCTTGTCAGCAGCATACTCTCACACAGGCATGGAAGGGCGCAATGAGGTGAGGCTTACTGTTCGACTCCAGGATCCGGTCATAGACCTCAAATGTGAGCAGTGGTGTGGGCAACTTGCGGAAGTACTGCTTCAGCACGCTCGTAACGGCGGTGATGTCCAGGGCAGGGTCCGAGATGTCAAAATCCTCCGTCTTGTCAAACCCTTCCCGGATTGTGTTGATCAAGGAGTTGCCACCCGTCTTGCGATAGATACCCTCAACGTCCATCCCCCGCAACTCCACCTCCTCAATGCAGCGCGTAACCACACTAGGTATCTGGCGGCGCTCAAAGTCGGCCCGCTCGACCAGATCGGAGCCAAACAGGGTGCTGGGCGCTTCGGCCGGAGCAGGTGTGCTGGAGATATTGGTGGCCGAAATCGACTTGGGCATGTTGTTACCCTGCTTCTTGCTGAAGAAGCCGAATCCCTGTCGCTGGCTCTCGGTTCCGACCCGGTTGATGGGCCCGCCAGGAGGGGCCATGGTGGTGACTGGCGACTCAACCTGGGCGACCGTCATATTATAAGGGAGGCCAATACTATCGCCCGTCAAGTTGTTCTGCTGTTGCGCCCGAGCTTGTTGCTCCTGTTGCTGGAAGGCACCTGCGGCGCGATTGATCCCCTTGGAAATGTTATGCGCAACCTTACTGGAACCCTTCTTCCAGTTGAATTTCTTCACTTGGCCCTTCCGCATGTTGACCACCGTGGGCCCCTCCAGGACGGGTTCCTCCGCATCGGTGCCGACCATGGTTGTCCCTGTTTGCAGACTGACAGCGTCCAAGTTGACAGACGCCGATGATACTCCCTTGGCGTGACCATATATACCGAGACCGTTGGGCGGCATCCTTAGTTCGCCATTGTTGATTTGTGATTTGAATCTTTCTTGAATCTGGTGCGTCAAATCATTGTTCATATCGGCCAGCTGCGCATTTTTGGACGAAAGCTGCGCAAATTCTAGTAGCGCTTGGTCCCGGTCCTCAATTGCCTGTGCTTTCTCTTCCAAGAGCTCGTCCCGTTCGGCGTGAAGTTGCTCAATGGCCACCGTCATGTTCTGCTTGACCTTGTCAAGCTTCTGCACGAACTCTTTGATTGCTGACTCCTCCAGCTCCCGGGCATCAATGGGCTCGTTGGTCTTCTTCGCGCGCTCCACATACCCGGCGAGTACCTCGATCTGACGGATCATGATCTCAGTCTGTGTATCCAACACGGAAACAGTCTTCCTCTTCTCGACGAGTTTCTTATTCAAACTCTTCAGGTCCTTCTCCGTGTTGAACTGCCGCTCGAGCTCCGCCACGCGTTGCTCCGAGCTTCTCAGCTGCCGTTTCAGGAGCGCCGAATCGTCGTGCCCGACCCCGGATGCCGAAGCGGTGCTGCCGGTATCCTGGGAGCCATCTGGATCCTCGGCGATTGGAGTGCGTGGCCAACGGGGGGATGCAGTTCCCCGAGTCGTCTCACTCACGCTCCTGCTGTGTCCAAGCCTGTTATGACTGTTGCTGTTGCTGATCGTCTCTGCGCTGTTGTTTCTCCCGTGACGGACGGCGTTCGAAACCCGCCGCAGGATCGATGACGACCCCTCGTCGGTGCCCAGTATTCTTGCCATGTCTTCATCCATGGTGAACTCCCCGCCCGAGCTCCAACGCGGCAACTTGGGCGATACTTTCGGCTCTGGCGCCTCATTGACAGACGTCGTCGGTTCCTTGGGGCCTTGAGACGGAGGCTGAGGTGGCGCCCTAGGCTGCATGTACGTGTCGCTCAGTTTTGTCTCGGGTACGGCTGGACGTGGCGGCAGAGCAGGGTTGTTACCATTCACTGATTCCGTATTCGTCAGCCCAACCTTTTCACTTTTAGCGTGTTCAGGCATTATTCGCTCACCATTTCGTGCCTGATTTTGAGCTACTTCCTTCCTAGCGATGGGCGGTGCGGCCGCTGCCTCGGACCGGGTCGAAGTCACCGAGTCAAGCGAGGGGCGCACCACATCATCATCCCTCCGTCGAGCATCCTGCGAAGGTCTCGGTGAAGGCCTCGGGGGAGAGGCCTTGTCCACCGCCCCGGACTGACGGGGGGGGTCGACGTTTGTAGCGTTGGAGGGAGCCTCCCGGTTTCGTGGAGGGGCCGGGGGTGCTTTGGCGGGAGTAGGCACATCCAGCGAGTTGCTGGACAAGGAGTTGCTCCTGGAATTACCAAGCCTCTTGTTCCTTGGGGCGTCTTGCAGCCTAAACTCTTCACTTGGCTGCGTCTTCGTGCTAGACCCCTTTCCGTCCTCGGCACCAGGTGAGGCCTTGGGGTTTCCGTTTCTTTTGGAAAGCTTCCGCCCCGGCCGGTCGTGTTGAGGTGGCTGAGGTGCCTCGTAATCCGAAGATGGTTGCCTCGGCTTTTCCTGGAACGCAATGTGCGGCGTCGACGCCTGGGAATCAGTTCTCTTCTCCGCAGCCGGCTTCGCAGAGGAGAAATAGTCCCTATCCTTGGTCCTCCTGTTCGGCTCGGGAAAGGCATCCGACATGGACTGCGGGGTCAATGCTGGCCCAGGGCTCGGGTCGAGCGCAACCGGGATGAAGAAGCCCCCGTCCGAGTCCCCGTTGTCTAGATTCCCAGCGAAGATGGTTGAGTTCCGGTTGTGCCTGTACGTTGACCCGGACGGTGCGAGGGATGATTCCTTGCCGGACTCTTGCCCCCGCTCGGGGGAACGATCAGGTCTCGAGCTGCTCCGAGAAGAGGACTCATTTATTCCATAGGCGGCCCGCGGGCGTGGAGACAACTCTGTTGGCGTGTCGGAGTCGGGGGTCGCCCGTTCGGTGTTGATGAACGCGTTGTTCGGGGGGACGGCGTTGGGCGGCAACGCGGGCAGCGATTTGTCTGTGATCATCGGGGAGGCGTCCTTCTCCCGTTGCTTCGCCTGTGCGGCTGCCTTTGATTTTTTGCGCCTTCTCGCCATCAGCGACTCATGGCAGTTCATGCAGAATATACCGTGCGACGTCCTAGCATAGCGCAGGTTCTCGATCTTTCTTTTGCAATTCCTACAGCGGAAGCACGTCGCGCAGAAGGCCTGGTCTCCGGTCAAGATGGCGAGGTCCTCAATCTTATTGTTGCAGGCGCTACAGCTGTAGGTGCAGTTGTTGCATATGAGCGAGCCATCGCCAAGTAGGAGTAGGTTCGCGTCCGAGTCGAGCAACGTGTTGCAGGTGTTACAGCGGAAGCAGTCCAGATGCCATCGATTACCGGCTAGGGGTTGGGTTAGTCCACGATACTACCACCTTGTTACGCACCGAGGTACTGGAGTCCATTTTGCGGGTGCAACATACCAAGTTCGAAGGCTTTCCCCTCCTCCAAAATCTGGAGCATCATGTCATCAGAACAGACTCAAGGAAACCCCAAGTGTGTCGAAACCCACCTCGCCGCAACCTTTGCAGGGGAAGACATCGTCCGCATCCATAGGACTATCCAGATAGTCGTCCATGGTGTCGGATATGATGGTGAGTGGTGTTTTCTTAGTTGTGGCAGTTAGACCAGCCGGAGGGGTATGTACACCGGCGAAAAAGCGACGGGCTGAGGCCGGGACGGCATGAACGTTTAGCGATACGAGAGGGGGTGGTCGGGAGGCGGGGGGTTATCGCATCAGGGGGACGCCTTCCAGCCCGGGACCAGCTCGATTTTTTTGCCTGGCGGTTTTTGTCCTGTTTCGGAGAGGGTGCGAAGGGCGGGGAGGGGGGACAAAGAGCGGTCCAGCTAGCTGTCGTCGGGTCGGCTGGGCAAGCTTGGCCCGTCGTTCGTAGCGTTTCGTGATTTGACTGGGAGCAATACTCGGTGACGGTGGGACGATGTCAAGTCAAGCGGAATGCCACCGTAGTTCGGGAATCTTGCCCTGCGAAAGATGGTGTTCAACCCGTTAGAAGGGAGGGGAGCCAAGCAGGGCTACGTGGGTCAGCAGAAAGCGAGCGTGTGTTTGTCGAGGGCGGGCGGGATGAGGATAAGCCCAAGCCCAGGACTGCGGTTCGGCAATCTGCAAAGTACTGTTTGCGTCTTGCACTACGCATAGGCTTGATGATGATGGGACGATGAAAGATAGTGACGAGGAACCGGACGGCTGATGTGGGAAAACGCACTGGGCGTTCTCGACCTATGCCGATGGGACCTCAACAGGAGCTCGAGAATGCGGACAATGCAAAAGACACCAGGGCGCTGGATCGGCCGTGCATTTGGCTGGCTGGCTTCTCAAGTCCTGGAACACTGTTTCTTCGCCAAAATGGGTGGTCCTTGCAGGGCCAGGTGCTCCGCTGTTCAACAGTGGAGGCCAAGACCAGGGGTTCAGAGTGTGGTCAGGGGCAGCACAGGGGTGGGGCGGGGAACCAATGGCAGCTTGTATGACCCAGAACAGCGACCAACAAAAAGCTCCATTCAAAGCCTCATCAGGAAACCCTTGTGTCCTGGTGGAATTTCGATGGCACCAGGGCACGTACGGACTTTGGTGTGAATGGATGGTCTAGAATGTCGAGGGAGCGCCCGTTGCTTCATCCCATGTGCCTGTAAAATTTGGTCCCATTTCCCAAAAAACTATTGTATCAAAATCCGACTACCCAGGTGGCCGCTTGTTGCAAACGGGCGGGTTTGAAACATGGGGGGAAACTTGAGACTGTTCTCGAAGCCACACCTAAGCCCGCAGTGTGTGTGTGTTCAACGTTTCTCACAGCCGGCGAAGGATGTATACCCTCCCCTACCCACCCGAAATATGTCTTGTCTAATCCGACCAGCCGGGTCCTGGATCCTTTCCAACAAACAACCATCACACCATTACACCAAGCTCTCTACATAAGACGCACCTCGTGCGCCAACAAACGCCGAGCCTGGTCGCTGACGCCGCCGGCTTACAGGACGTGGTGTTACACACCCGGGCTGTCGGGAAGATGGCGAGTCTGGAGCGAAGATGGATCAAAGGGTGGCTGCATGGTGCGATTTCGGGCAGCGACTGATGCGGCCCGGCTGATTGCTCTGCCATTAATAACCGTCTCGCGACCTTCCAAAGGCACGAGTGGAAGCGGCGTCGATGGCAAGAATAGGATCCCGTGTGTGAGAGTAAGCGTCAAGCGCGCGGCCACGCCACGAGCCACGCAACCACGAGGTAAGAGTATGTAGTATATACCCACCGATGGTGTAACTGACGGTTTGCTGCCGGCGGCTGCTGGAACCAACACGCCATGCTGGTCTATCTTCGTTGCCTCAAATCTTCAACTCCCGTCTTCCCCATCCTCCACGATGCTTAAATTGCTCTCAAGCTCGGGAGGGCCACGGCATTTGAAACTGCCGTCCCCAGCACGACGCTGCATGTCAAGTTCATCAACTCGGTGGGTAGGTAATGTACTTTCTGTGGAGGTATGTATGTACGGCACCAGGAGGTTACACCACCCCGCCTCTCCCATAAATGCCCTGCATGTTTCAAAAACCCGGCCATTGGATCGTCGAAACATTGGTGCCTTGGAATTCGATGGTGGTGCATTCCCGCATCGACGACTCGGTATTTTGTAACTGTGCGTCCGTCTAAGTGCATACACAGTACAATATCATAAAGGCGGGCTTCCATCCCTTCTCCTCAAATAAGATGCGCGGGGGGGCGTCGTCCTTTCGGGAGAGATCTGCAGACGGCCTTGCAGAGATCCCCTGGTCCTAACATCCGCCGCTTGGCGTTTCAGATAGAGACCCCCAGGCCATGTTCGATTCCAGGGCCGAACTGGTTGCGCTTCAGCATGCTGGAGTCTCCTGGGTTTGTGGGGTTTGACCGTCTCGTTTCTCCTTTGCAAAGCCCGATCTCTCGAGTTAGAGGTGGATCTTCAAAAACCCGTTCTCTTATTCTTGCCGTTTTTTACTCTGCGCGCGCACAGACGGCGCATGGTTTGGTGGGACCGGCTGTCAACGACTCGGCAGGTTGAGGTTGGGGTCCTGGAGTAGGCGGCCCGCCATTGTGAAAGATGGACGGTAGGTAGGGAGTTAGCGGCAGCCCGACTGTCACGGTCGAGGGAGGCTATTTCCATCCCACTTCCATCCCCCCCCCCCCCCCGGGGGGAAATCAACCCCACAAATATTTTATGAGAACCACCCGTACCTAGGTAGTTGAGATGAGATTGTTGACCAGAGAAGAAAAGAAAAGCCGAGAAAGACTTGTCCAGAACAACAAACGACAACGTTTCCTTCTCCAAATGAAAAGGCCCAGAGTAATTCAGGGGCAGACCCCGAAATAACTTTCTCAAACCCTTCAAAACAGCGATTGCAACGCTTATAATACTAAGTTAAAGGGGTTGTCCCCCAATTACCGCCGCTGAGCCAACCGAACCCGAGGTGGAATCTTTCCCCAGGCTTCTTTTTCGAGCCGGGCCTCTCCACGAGCTACGAAAGGGTCCAGACCTGCAGGTCGAAATGCCCGGGGAAAGGGAAGCCACGGAGGGCAGCAGTGGGTGATGAAATAAACCACCCGTTCGACGTTACAGCGCAGCGAGAATCACAGATCGATTGATCTCCAGGGTCCCTGTAACTAATCGTCAGGGGTTGCGCCGTTGCAGGCTCCTTGTCATCTCAACCAACAATCCCGAGGAACGGCCCCGCCTTTATGCTCGTCCGAACAGCACCAACAGTACCAACAACGGCCCGCATTCATCATAAACGCGTCATGTAGAGAACGAATAGAACGGGAGTGATTAGGGTATGTTCAACGCTGGGCCAACAGCCAATTTAAGTATGTTATCTCCAGAAAGCCCAGCCGGGCTTGGAGACCCTTCCCATCAAAAGAAAACAAAAACAAAATCGAACCGCCCATCCCTCCCGAGCTTCACCAGGCGCAAAAACCAACACACAAAGACGCCCGCGGCTCCGTTTCCCGCTTTTCCCGCCCTTCCAATCCCCTTATGCTGTGGGTATTAGTTAGTACAAAAAAAATAGAACCCTTGCCATCCGAAACGGGACGGTAGGATGGAAGCTCATGATGCCCCTGACGGCGAGCACACACCACCCACCCACTAATCACCACGGCCATCACAGCCACTTCTCCCTCATGCAGCCTGCCCAACCCCAGCCGCGCCAACCTCCCTCTGCCGCTTGACGATATAATACGTGATGAGACTCTTCGGGTCCTCCTTCACGCCTTTCAGCGCCTCCCAAAAGCGCGCATCTCCCACACGCGCATGCAGCGCCACACACAGCAGCACCGCGTCCATGCGCACCGCTGACTCGAGGCTCTCGAGACAGCCGCCCGCCAGCGCCGCCAGCGCGGCAAGCTCAGCATCGCTCGGCACGAAGGCGGCGCCGCGCGCGTCCAGCATCTCGCGCAGCACGTGCAAACCCATGCTGAGCGAGCGGCCAGCGCCTCCTCCGACACCGCCGGCGGCGGCATGGGCGGCGCTGTCGACGTCCAGGTCTGACAGCATGCGGCAGAGCACGAGAACAATCTCGCTGGCGTCGCCGAGGCCCGCGAGGTCGGCGGCCAGCAGCTCGAGGCCGCTGACGATGTGGGTGCGGCCTTCGTAGACGGCGCGGGCGCGCAGCAGGCTCTCGAGCCCCCGCGACACGTGCGGCTGGAACGAGGCCCGCGTGCGCTTGAGGAGCAGCTTGATGGTCGCGAGCACCTGCGCCTTGACATCTTGGGTTTTCTCGGGGGCGAGGTTAGTGAGCGGCGACTCCAGGAAATCGAAGAGGCCCGCGACCAGAGCGTCAAACTTATCGTCGGTCAGGAGCGCGGTGCCGGTGGTGGGCTTGGTGTCGCTGTCGCGGATAATGCCCTGCAGCTTGCGGAAGCCGTGGACGTCGAGGGACCTTTGTTGGACCTTGGAGATGCCGCTGTCGAGGAGGCGCTGGTTTTGTTTGAGCTTCTCTGGAGAGAGAGCCATTCCGTTGGCCGCACCGTTTTGTTGTTGTTGCTGCTGCTGCTGTTCTTGCTGTTGCCGCACAGCTTGTTGCAGAATCGCTGCGTCCTCGTTGACTGATCTGTCTTCTAAGACGGGCCCGAAGATGAGTTTCGGCGTCGTCAGCTGCTCCCGGGTCAAGGGATCCTCGTAAACCTCTAACGAACGCGAGGCGCTAGGCGGGGAAGGCACCGCAACTTCGACGCTTCGCAGGGGAGTCGTTATGGAAATCGGTTCCTCATCGACAGCCGCAACCGTTTGAGGCGGGCTGGCTGGCGCATCTGGTGAATGCTGACCAGGTTTAGAGGGAGTGTCCGATGGGCTCATGTCCATGTCCTCATCCTCGACGGGTTTCACGAATCTCTGTTCCTCCCGGGGAGGCGATGCACTACTTGTCATGATGGGCACGACCAAGCTGAAATCTTCATGTCTTTTAGATGGGCTGCTTGACGGCGGGGCAACGGTCGGCGGCACACTCCTAGAGGGAGTGGCCCGAGGCGATCCCATGACTTTTGGTGACCCGGCCCTAGTAGGCGTCGGGAGTTGGGGCTCTCCCGAAACGGTGGCCGACCGAGCCATCTTGGGGGCCGTCCGTTTTGGCGATGAAGTGATGGACTTGGGCGTGACGGCTTTCGGTTTTGGTCTGCTCGGAGGGCTTGTCTGCTCGGCTGAGGGTTGGTCGTGGCTTCTAACCGAGTACGGCCCCGCTGTTGCCGGCCGAGCCGTCTCGACCTTTCTCCTCCCAGGCCTCATAGGCGCACCAGAGATACCGCCTGTGGAGCCTAACATGGCAGACTCCGGCCTTGCACGCACAGTAGGGGCTGCCGGTGGTGGTTGTGACAAACTTGAGACCGACTTGGCGGGCGAGAAATGCGACATGGCTGAACCCGGCCGAGTTGGAACAGTTTTGGTGGTCATGGCTCGTTTCTGCGCCATCATAGCCTCCCGCACACTCGGCTTCGAGGTACCCATCGTGCTCTTGGACAACCCCAGGCCAGGTCGCGCACCCCCCTCCGGCTTCTTAGGCGATTTGGGGTTGTTGGGGTCATTCTGCAGCAGCCTTGCGGCAGTCGAGTCGAGCCCGTTCATGATAGCCTCCGCCTTTGCAGGCCAGACGCCCGCGAACATCCAGTATGTCGCACGCATCTTCTCCCTCACACCAGGATTGGCATCAGAAAGGCCCTTCTTGATGCACTTTTCGATCAGATCTAGGCCTCCAGTGTGTTCCACGTGGTTCTTGTGGTGAGCTTCCTTCGCTAGTAGCGTCCTTAACCAGCCGCTAGCATAGAGCCGCGGCTGGACGTTCTTGTCCTGGCACGCGAGCCAGACATGCTGCATGATCCGATTGTTGTAAGTAACCTTGGATATGATGGTGTCCACCGTAGTATTGGCCTGTGCAGATGCAATCTTCTTGGTCGCGGCGGTGAGCTTGATGAAGGTCTGCATGAGGATTTCCACCATGGGATCCATCGCTGGGCCGTAGGCCTTGGCGATTTCCTGGATTAAACTGCAGCCCTCCTTGGAAAGGCTGGTTCGGAGAGAAACGACAGCCTTGATTATGCCGTCGAGGAGCGCCCGAAGTCCAGTAAGAAATTGGTCGTGGAAGTCGGTCGCAGCATTTCCAGCTATGAGTCTCCGCAACTTAGTTACGCTCTCCTCCCGCTTCAGCCAGTTTTGCTCCGTCTCCTTGCCCTCGAAGTAACCATGCATCTCCCGGAAGATCTCATCGAGTTCGCGCGTCGTGTTAACGTAGGACGGCTCGACGGACTCCGCTGGAGGTTCTGGCAGCCCGGGGGTCACTGGGCGATGGGCGAGCGATGATACGCTCGCGCAAGGGTCGGGCGGAAGGCGCGTGGTCCTTCTTGACGATCAGGCTGCGAAGCTGGAGCGGAACTTGTTGGGTTGAGTTCCTTGACGATAGCCTGCTCAATGGCCGGGCGGACCTTGAAGTTCTTGAGTTGCTTTTTCAAATCTGATTTTGCGGGGCCGGGCGCGTTTCTATGTCTCTGTGAGCTTGTGCCATCCGACGCAGCAACAGACTGGGCCGCACCTGAACAATTCGATGACGGTTGACTTGGCTACATCGCGCACCATGCCGTCGGCATCCTCGAGGAGCTCCATCATGGTAGGGACATAGGCTCGGAATTGCAGGCCTTGTTCCTGGTGCATCTACGCCCCTAGTTAGCGCATCTTTGTGGGAAACAGCTCTGCCCCTGGTGCGTACCTGGAGTAGCCAATGTAGACTGGCCTCCTTTGCCCTCGCGTTTTTGCCAACCATGGCGATGTTGCGCACTGAGCGCTCGACTTCGACCGGGGCCACCTTGTAAAGAGTGGCCAAAGCTTGGGAGGCCAGCTGGCGGAACTTCTCCTTCTGGTCGCCCAACTTTTCGACGATCAGGGGTAATGCACGAGTGCCCTCTTTGGTCAGAGACCTGGGGTCCTGCCTCACTAGTCGGGTGAAGAGGTGATTGAGCGCTGTGAAGCCGGCATTGACGAGGAGGGCATGTTGAGAGCTAGAGGCTAGATGTAGAGCTTCGAATACCGGTACTATGCAGGATTCGGGAACCATATGCTGCTTAATGCTCGATTTCACCACCGTGACCTGTTGGACCTTGGTATCGATCGAGACATCGGCGCGGAGGAGGGCGATCAGGTTGGCGACCTGGTCGTCAGTGAGTATTTCCGACATTTTCTTCCTCGAAAAGAGGATGCCGATGTGGTCGGCGTCAAAATGGTGGTTGCTAGAGGAGGAGAAAAGGGGTCAGCCGATCGGTTGGGTTCTTGGTCAGACCCTCGGTCGCAATTTGTAGAAACGGGAAGAAAGAAAACAAAAAAAACGGATGCGACGGTGCACAAGGATGTCTCAATCGCCACCGCCAGAATTGGGAGGGTTGTGTACTAACGATTGTCAAGAGGCAATGCGCAACCACGTGAGGTATAGAGCTACCTCTGGGCGGCGAGAAAAGGAAATGGGATTGCGGTAATGGTGATGCTCGTCGTCGCAAATTAGCTCAGGCTTGGGTTTGTTCAAGACATTCCCTGGCGGCAGCTTGGTGATTATCAATTGCGGGACAACCCAACCCCTGTCGGCAGCTGGGGATGGGGAGGTGGGGCCGCCATCACCTTGACAACCCTGGAACCTGAGAGCTGATGTAACCTTGGCGGGCCTGGTTTGTCCCATTTATCAACCCCGCAACACCGCGCTGCCAATCGTGCCCCGCGTTGCAAAAGGACAGAAGGAAGCCTGGCTATCTCCAAGACAACAAACCTGGGAATCAGAAGGCAACAGAATACAATTGGATGAGAGGGGGTCAAATTGTGTCAACCTGGAATTTCACCGTTTTCTGATTTCGATTTCAACTCGCCCAATTTGCAGCAGCAGCTACCCATCTATCTTTTCATCCGTCACATGTCTCTGAGATAGGTTGAATCTTCGTTCCGCACCTCCTATCGACCCCATTTTTATGTTCAATAGCAGCCTATCCAGCCGAGCCGGCTTATAACCCTCATTAAACTATTATTCTGACGCAATGGCTATCAAGGAACAACCAAGTGTCCCTGCTCCATCCCCCATTCCGCTGCCTGATCGAACTCGGGATACTACGGAACGGGGACCGGGGCCGGTATCTGAGTCGTCGACCGGTCAATCATTCTCTAAGCCAAAGCTTCGTCTCAAAATTCAAGATCTTGATCACCCCGGAGCAGCTAAGTTCCTCAACTCCGTCAACTCTGCCACCGTGCTCTCAACCGCCGTAAACAACGTCCTACGGCTGCTCTACAAATCGCCCTCAGAGAAACATACCACAGTCCCGCCCACTCGCTCCGTAACCCTCGTCCTGCGGGATATGGGTGGCGTGGCATACACCACAGGGGTACCGTGACCCCGTTTTTCTCAGTGTCAATCTAACCCAACCCCCTCTCCTTTTTTAAACCCAATAGTTCTTACTTACACAACTCCCTCTCCTTCACCCAACTCGAAAGACCGACCTCGACAACGATCACAAGGAAATACACTTCTCCCTCAACTACATCAACTCGATCAACCCCGTCTCGCGGCTCACCCACGAGATCACGGGCGTCCTGACCCACGAGCTGGTGCACTGCTACCAGTGGGACGCCGAAGGGACGTGCCCGGGCGGCCTGATCGAGGGCGTGGCCGACTGGGTGCGGCTGAACTGCGACCTCAGTCCGCCGCACTGGAAGAAGGAGGTGGAAGGCGGTATGTTGTTTATCATATGGTTTTATCCTTTTGCTTCTTTTCGTTTTGCCTTCAGGTCGATTATTATGTCGTGTTTGTGGTTCACCCTTTCCTCCTTGAACGTAACAATATCATCGCTATCTAACACCCGTCCGTGTCATTTCCTTAGACTGGGACAGAGGCTACCAACACACAGCCTACTTCCTCCAGTACCTCGAACAACGGTTCGGGGAGGGGACGATCCGCCGGCTCAACGACGAGTTGCGGCGGCACAAGTACGAGTGCGAGGCCTTCTGGCCCGGGCTATTGGGCAGGTCGGTTGAGAAGCTGTACGGTGATTACGTCAAGAAGGAAAAGGACGACGGCCAAAAGTAGCCATCGACACCGATGAGGAAAATATGTGGGCGAGCCAATTTGATTTTAAGACGTAGAATATAAAATGGCGTCTATTTTGACACTCCACCTTACTGTGCAAATACCTGTATATGGCTCCCTCTCCGGGATCTGCGGTAAATAAATCCCCCAAGGCGGTGTATAACGCACGCTTGTCCGCGGCGACAGCTGGCGACTCGGGGAAGCGCAACTCCCATACCCTCATGGCCCAAATGCTATGCTGTTCCCCTGTTATATGTCCCATCCCGATATCCTAGTAACGCCAGAACCTATGAACGCCATGGAGGTTGGTGGTATCGCACATGGCCTAGCAAAACCTAAAACAGAAAACCCTCAATGGAACGAGGACCTAAGCCCGCACCGCACTCTCGCTCTCGCTGACCACACTCGCCACCTCGGACCAGCTACCCGGCGTGTGTACCCCACCATCCGATTCACTCATGACGTCGTAATCACGGCCCTCGGTCATAGAGACGTCATCATTGGCAACATCCACACCGGATCCAGCCATCGACATGGAGTCGGTCGGGGTAAGTTGCCCCTGGCTGATGACCTCGGGATCGGAGAGCGGCGTCTGGGGGGTGTCGGGAAGTGGCGAGTAGAAGCCCGGGTTAGACGAATTTTGTGCCCATGCCTGGATCGAGGCGTACGCCTCGGCACTGTTGCGGTCGTCCTGCCCAGCGGTCATGTACTCGTCGTCAGCGAGCTCGCGGCCGATGGTAGTGCTGCGGGAGGTGGCGGTGGGCGTGGCGACCCGCGGGGCCTCCTTGGTGTCCTGGTAGTCTTCATCTACCGCCGTGGCGTACTCGCTAGGGGCATTGTGGGTCTCAAAATCGAAGAGGACTTCGCTTGCAACTGGGACGGCGAGAGGCTGGACCTGGAGGGGGTGCACCTGGGGAACCGAAGGGGAGAGTACGCGAGGGGTGGCGCCGTAGATGTCCGACATGACTTCCGCGCGAGTTGGAGGAGAAAGCTCGGCGCGGTCATCCAGCTCGATACCATGCTCGTCGCTGAAAGGGTTGGTAACCATGGCAGCGTTCAGACCCCGCACGCCCTCGACGTTGCCCCGGCGGCGAAGGACGTTAAGAGAGTCGGAACCCCAAGCGTTCGCCCCGGTGTTGTAAACAAACGCGCCGCTATCGCCCGTCCGATCTGGCTGGAGGAAGTCGTCGAAGGTTGAGCCACGGGGTCGCTGCTGGACTTCGGGATGGTCCCGCTGTTGTTCCTCGCGGCGCAGATTCCAGTACATCAATTCCTCCCGCTGCCTCCTCCTCGTTTCCTCGTCGGCATCAACATCGTGAGATTGATAGAAGCCGTCAGCGTCTTCAGGCCGGTTGAAGCGTGGCTCCCTGTTTGGATCGAAATTGTCGCCTAGGGAGTGGAGGGCGAGGGCGATGCGTCGGCGGAGGTCTTCGGTTGCGCGGCGAACCTCTGGGATTTCATAGATGGCGATAGCAGCGGTCACAGCCACCGATGCGACGACGATGCCAACTGATGCAAGGGCAGCATGGTTAACAGGCGGCATTCTAAGGAAAGAGAAGGATCATGCAGTGGTCGATGCAGTGGTACGTGAGAGCTTGGGATTGTGGTATGTCTTAAAATGTCCCGAATGACTCGATGGGTGATGCTCTTCAAAAGCGAAGAATCCAGGGGAACGAGCAGGACCTGTCCGCCCAATATTGAGGCGACAAAGTCAACCCGTTGGAGAGACCTGGGATTGCGTGTTGTCCACGGGGCCTCGCCACTCCATCATGACAGGCGTCGTGATTCGCAACGCATGCGGGGCAGACAGGGGTAGAGGCAATGCGGAAACACAAATCATGAAGGATAGGAAGCGATCTTCACTCACCTTTGGCTGCGACCGGAACTGGCATGTTGACAGCGTCTTTGGTACTGGAAGCAAAACCAAAGTTGCTGGTGGGTGTGGTGGCAAGAGGCGGGGAAGTGCGTTGAAGGAACACAACGGTAAAGAAGCAGAAGGCGTGGGTGCATGTACCTTTTGTTCCAAGCGCCTTGACGAGGAGCTTACGTAGGCGACAGGTGTCGGGCGAGGCGGACCGTGGGAAGCCCCTCCTTTTGCAAGGGCACGGGGGCGCTTCTCATCTTTTTGTTGAAAGGCAGTGCTGCACAAGCTGGGGTAAATGAGGCCTGCAGTTCTGTGCTAGAACTGTGCCACTGTTTGTGACTGACTCAAAATCCAATCTTAACCGGCACAGACGTGTTGCAAATCAAAAGGATGTTCAAGTATCGTATGTTGAGGGCAGCGATTGCAAGGAGGAGAAATGCTGATGATGTCACGAAGCGACAGCTCGACCTATACCAGAGACAATAGTAGTTGTGGTAGTAAGCCCAGCTCATTCATACGCGATGGAGACGAGCTGAAACTCACACTCAGCCCAAGCCTCGTCCGACTTTCCATGTCAAAGAAACGATGCAGCTGCATGAACACATCAAAACATGACAGCTACCATATAGGGTTAGGGTAATTGGGGAAGATTCGTTTGCATAATGACGCCACTCTCTTGGCTCAGTGCCAAGCTTTGCCACACCCCATCTCGTTCTGGACCACAACTTTCAGACGAAAACGACAATTCTTCAGCTCTCATTTCTTCTATCACTAATAATTGATAATGAATCAAGCCGTTTATCAGGACTCGAGGGTAAGACCCGAGCATGCTTACGATCAACTTCACCAAGATCTGGTTAATTTTACAATGATAAATTTATACATTTCCATCATTTTGGCTAGACCAAGCCTATGTGTCTCGAAGAACATCAAACGATCCGAAAGACCGCTAGGGCAACGATACAGCATAGGTATGTTGATGCAACCTTCATGTTCGCCCGATAGGCCACCTATCATTTTTTATATGAATCCCTCTGCCACAGACTACAGTGTGTATACTCCACATTACCTATGGTCCCTATGCTACCCGAGACACAAACTCTTGAATGACCGTCTCAGAATGTCGGACATCGGCATCCAATGAACAACCGAGTCCCAGCTGAAAACCCGCTTATGTGATTCGTGCTGTCAATGGGGCAGACGGGACAAACAACGAAGCGAGTCCGAAACCTGGTCCGAAAGGAACGACTTGCATGTTGCTGTCAACCCCACCCACACCACATTGGGGAAATCAATACGGCGGAATACGCGGAACGGGAATTGCCATGTCGAGAAACCCGCCTCTTCCGCGGTCGGCCACCCACCCACCCATCATGCTGCCGAAGACGCCATCCCTCGCTGAACCAACCAGTTGGGATATCACCGCGGCATGTATAAGCCGTCACCTGCGTGAAAGAACGAAAACGCCGCAGAGTTAGGTCTGTCTTATCTGCTTGTCAAGGGCGGACGAACCAACCATGTGGCCACGCCGCGCCCTCCATCTCTCCACCAAAACTGCTTGACCAAAGAAAAACAAGCTTTCCGGGCGTTGCCGTCCTGCATGCTCATCGCCTGCAGGGGGGCGGTTCATTTACCGTTTCAACAGCACCAGAGCAACGGGCAGAAATGGGAAGCGAAGCAATCTATTCAGAAGTTGCCTGAAATCCCTCATCGTTGTAACCATGAATACTGTCCCACTTCGTGAAGCAATCTCATCAAAGAACGCCCAAACCATGATGGCGTATCCCACTTGATAAAATAATCACAAAAAAAAGAACTCCGGGTTTTGTCCTTCCCCGCCTGAAAACACCGAGTCGATAAGGGAAAAAAAAAGGAGATAGGCCGGAGACAGTCCGGCGGGCGTGGGGAAGCAGCTCGCTCGGCGTCGCGAAGCCCGAGGATGGGAGACCCTTACTTGCGTGTACGGGTCCACCGGCTGATCCGACTCCACCGCATATGATTACCCAGGTTCGCAGCTGCTTCCTTTCTTCGCCGTCCGCCGTCCGATCCGTTCCATACTGCGACCTAACCCCCCCTGGGGCTAAAATGATGTGCCGTACTCCGTTCCGGTAGGGTATATGCGCGAAATAGGGGGCAGGGACCACATTGTAGATGTCTGGTTGTGCTTGTTTCCCTGCCTTGAGAGGGAGGTTCAAGGCCCGGTTACTCTCCCTTTCCTCTTCAGGATATTGAAGTTGGCGTTTAGTGTGACTTCGTGCTCGAGTTGGACGACGTCGACGTGCTTGACGAGACCGACGACGTAGAGTCGGTGCGCTCAGCCTTGCGCCTCTCGCTGTGAGTTGGTTAATATCTCTGTCGTGTGGTTGGTAGTGTAAGCAGACTCACTGAGTAGCGCGGTCGAGCACAGTGCACTCCCACTTGGCACCACCAGCCTTGAGATGGAACTTGAGGCCCCTGGTTCTCAAGGGTGGATTTGAGGGCTTCGTGGTGGGCAGGCATTTTGGAAAGGGGTGATGTGATGGTTGAGAGGAGAGTGTAGTTAACAGCTAGGGCTTGGAAATGCGGAGGGACGGCGTGTGAGCAAACTTTGAGGTGTGATACAAAGAAGTGAGTGGTGGGAGGGAGGTCGGAGTTTGGGAGGGAACGACGGGGAAGTTATATAGCAAGTCTCGGAGCCTGGGGCACGGTATGCGCAAACCGGATCGTCCGTCTCAAAGTCCCAACCGCCGGTGTTACTATAGAACGCGGGTGCGCTTTTCTGGAAGGGCAAGTCGGATGTGGGCCGGCCGCAGGTAGGGATGAACCTCATGCAACCGGGAGCCGCTGCCCACATCGACAATGAGCCATTTCTGAGCATGCTGGATCCCACGCCCGTGCGAACCCCGGTATCCTTGACGTTGCAGTTGGTGTCAGAGCCCCAACCATTGGACCTTTGGGGCACCAATCCCGCGCGGAATTCGTCTAAGGGGGGGTGGTTCTCCTGCCTTGGGGATAACCGCATGGGCCTAACTCGATAGCAGGACGAATTGCGAAGGCTTCCCCGGATAAAGCATCGTGCGTTTCGCGTACCTGGATCGAGCTGCTTCCAGGTACTAGCCCGAGACGACGGATCCATCAGCCTGGCTTCCACGCGAGACACGGCTCGGAGCAAGGCGGATAAGATGGTTGGGTAGGAACCCGTGTTGAGGACGGAAAAGGCCGGACTGCACTTGCGTCTGTTTGCTTGTTCAGTCCCACGGTACCGCCATCGTGCTCCAAGACAACACCGCAAAAACGAAAAGAAAAACCCCCCAAAAAAAGAGTTTCAACTCTTGACAGCCAGAAACACTCCAAGTTTCCGAAGGTTCTAGCCCCCGGAGCAACCGCTATCGTTCCAGAACCTTCAACGCCAATGAGGAAGGTTGATCAGGAACGCCACAAAAACCACTCTTATCCGTTCCCACGCCGTGAAGCTGTCCTCGTGCTTTGGGGCGGCTGCACGGTAACGCAGGCTCTATTGTGTCACCCATCTCATTTGCTACAGGGCTTGGCGTCGGTGAACAAAGTGGAATACGTGCCGCATTTAGCTGCGTGGTCATTGCAGGATCGACGGCCGACGGTACGTTCAAGGCGACACGCAATGTGACCGGCAATAATGGAGGAATTGAGTGATTTTTTTTTCAGAGCCATACACATGTTTGGGTCAACAAGTTGTTTCATAATCGTTCGTTGTGTTACTGGAGGTTGCAGACCCCAAAAAAGATGGCAGGTCCATTTGTGGTGTGTGCGTGATGAATTTCCCGAAACTGATGTGGGGCCCCAGATAATTTTGGTTTTAGCGGCTTGTCATCCAAACCCCCAGGGTTTGGATCTAATCCAATCGCATGGCTGCTTCGTTCTCGGTTTGGTAATTGGCGGTGAAGCTTGTCTTGTTTGACCTTTGCCCAGACGTTCATCGCAACTCGACTCATCGAATTCAATTAACTCGGTACATCATACTCGCCCAACCTTTAAACCCAGGTACGAACATGACCATGACAATGATCATCGACTTCCGGCTGTTTCGTACGCCGCCATGATGCTGCATACGCGGCAAAGACATGCAGATCTTGGCGAGAACAAACCGCAATCATCAGCCATCCTGGATGGTCGCCACCACAAGGTATGTACTTCGGTGATTTGTGGGATGTGAACTCTTTCGGCCTCCTCTGCTTCCTGCATCTTCATCCCGCTTCCCCCCTTTCGTGAACGGCCGCACCCCTTGTTTGTTGGTCCGTTGCAGCATCAACCCCCGAAAGGGGCATAATTGCAGAACACGTGTATCATGTCTTCGCGGGTCTTCTCGCCTCACACTGGAACATTCTGCGAGTCATTCGTCAGGCGCTTTCATCCCGCTCTCGACTCCCCTGTCCCCTTGCAGCAGCCGAAGTTCAGCCTGGAGTCTCATATGTCCCCCCCAAGATCGGCCCGAGAAAGAGCCCGTCGGTCTTCAGTGGCAACTGGGACCATCCTGGTGTAAGTCAGCATCTGGGAATTACGGTCTCGCTTCAACGGGGTGTCCGATAATTTGGGTGGGTTAGAACGTCATTTAGTCCCACACAAGAGGTCGGGGTTTCTCCCGTCTTACCGTACAATTATTAGATACACTGGGACGGGACCGAGGATGGGAGGTGTCTCTCTCCTGATTTCCAGACTCTCAAATTACGATGGAACCCCCGTTCATGCATCGACTGTGCTACGAGATCCCCATTCTGGGGAAAAGCTCCAGGTTTGACACCCCACATTGGAGTACTTCCCTTGGCCGAAGCCTCGCTTTGGCTTCGCTTCCCTCGGTCCACGCACGCAGCGTGGACGAGACGACAATAGTTAAAAAGTACGTGATATTAGGTAATTCAACGGGCTTTTCGCTCGCATGGGGTCGATGGTGGCGCGAGCCAAGAGATCTTGGGGAAACAAAAGGCTTGGCTTCAGGAAACAGTTGTTCGTGGACCCCCACTTGCAACCATGGAGAATCTGCCATACTCTCAGACAAACTTGGCCGGCAGGGCAAACGGATCACTGCCACATACACATCATGGTCAGCTGGGGCCCATCGAACCTATCAGCGCTGATCCCGGAATGAATTGGTCGCTTGAGGTTGGCATTCTGGGTTGCAGGTTGTGATTGACGAGTGAGAAAGATGTGTTAGATGTGGGATGAAACCAGGCCTATCCGTTTCTTCCAGCTTGGCAAGACCAGAGATTGCGAGACTCTTCTTCGTCAGAGTCCAGCCCGGACCTTAAACGCACGCTAGAAGTACCGCACACAAACAGAGCCAAGCCAGGTGGCCGTTTGACACCAAGATTTATTGCTAGGAGGGGTGCTTTGGTGTTACTGGTATAGCTGATTTTGGCCATGGTTGAGGGACCGGTGCCGTGTAGCAGCGACGACACGCAAAAATCACAGTCCGACGTCCCTGAGTTAGCCGCTCTCCGTCCACTCGGCCGACAAGAGCCGGATTGGGCGGAGACGAAAAGCATGCGGGAAATGAGTGTACCCAAAACCATGGAAAAGTCATTATAATCGTCATCGTTAACAACCAGCCAGGATGCTATCAAACGTTGGCCGCAGTACTAGTACAGTCTATACATGGATATCATAGCTTCTCGATGATGGCCGCCGCATACTCGTGCGTCTTCGCCTTGCCGCCCAGGTCGCCCGTCAGGGCCTTGCCTTCGGCCAGCGTGTCAAACGCCGCCTTCTCGATCCGGTCCGCGTACTCGTTGAGGTCCATGTGCCTCAGCATCATCATGGAGCTGAGGAGAAGGGCGGTGGGGTTGGCGAGGCCCTGGCCGGCGATGTCAGGGGCGGAACCGTGGACGGCCTCGAAAATGGAGCACTCGTCACCGATGTTGCCGGAGGGCGTCAGGCCCAGGCCGCCGATCAGGCCGGCACACATGTCGGACAGAATGTCACCGTAGAGGTTGGGCATCACCAGGACCTTGTCGTTGTACGGGATGGGGTCGGTCGTCATCTTCAGGCAGGTGTTGTCGAGCAGCTCGGCGTCGAACTCGATATCCGGGAACTCCTTGGCGACCTGGTTGCCGACGGTAAGGAAGAGACCGTCGCTCATCTTCATGATGGTGGCCTTGTGCACGACGCGGACCTTCTTGCGGCCGATGGCGCGGGCGTGCTGGAAGGCGAACCGCAGGACACGCTCGCTGGCCTCACGGGTAATGAGCTTGATGCTCTGGACGACGCCATCCACCACAACGTGCTCAATGCCGGAGTACTCGCCCTCGGTGTTTTCGCGGATCAGGACGGTGTCGACGTTGTCGTACGGTGTCTTGTACCCGGCGACCGACCGGCAGGGACGAAGGTTGGCAAAGAGGTTGAATGTGCGGCGGAGAGTAAGGTTGAGAGAGACGTGGCCCTTGCCAATGGGAGTCTATATCGACGGTTAACAAGGGGTCCTTAAGTATTGGCGGTCCCGCGCACGTACGGCAAGGGGCCCCTTCAGGGCAATCTTGTTCTTCTTGATGCTCTCGATGGCGGCATCGGGAATTGCCGTCTTGCCATCCTTGAGAATAGGGTCGACGTTGATGGGCTCCCACTTGATCGGGGTCTATCTCGTTGTGTCAGCATCTCTGGGTTGTGGGCTGGGCGACGCTGGGCAACGTCGGGCGAGCGGAAGTTTGCGACGGACCTTGGCGGCAGCGAAGATGTCCTTGACGGCAACGGCGATCTCGGGGCCAATGCCATCGCCCTCGATCAAGCTGACAGTGTAGCGACCCTACATACACGTATTAGCCGCATTGCGCATCTCGTGGGGCTGTTGTTGCCCTGCGATGGTTGAGTGATTTTCATATGCCAAGCCAACCCCAATTGCGGCTGCGCACATGCACTCAGAGATCCGGGTTGTTGCCTACCTGCGCATCCTTCTGTCCGTTGAATTTGGCGACACGCTCTTGCGATGAGTACAGCCTCTGGTTCTGAAAGGCCTGGCTGTTAGTTTGAGGAACAAGAAATTATCGAGTGGAAGTTGGGGGAAGCTGTCTGGCGCACCTGCAGCGAGAGGGTAACGGCGGCGCGGGGAGCTGCACGCCAGGATTGGCGCTGCACCGGGGCAGCAATCGAGCGGAGGGCCAGCATTTTGACACTGTACCGTGACGGTGTACTTCGGTAAAGTGTGGTGGGGGATAGAGAGGGCAGAGGGCGGAAACTGGAAAGAACGTCGCAAGGCAACCACTTGGTAGGTCTGCTGGGAAAAGGATGTTTTGGCTGGCCGAGGAAAAACTGATCGAATTGCTGCAAATGGAACCAACCTGGAAACCCACAGTTGATGCAGGATTTGGCGACGGCACAACGGCAAGGCCCGTGCAGCGCAAGGATACTGCTTCGGTTGCCGTCGGTGGCAACAAGACCGAGCCGACGGCCTGACGTAGCCCTGGAGGTGGGTGCTGGCCCACCACAGCAGCCCACTTACAAGCTCACCGCCCGAATAATGCGGCAGAATCCCCCTCGTTCCAATTGTGCATACGGCGGTGAATGGCTGCTGCTCAAACATGTCTCGCTTGATTTTGAGGTTGCCAAGACCCCGCTTGACCCCTGTCCTGACCACCACCAGCACCTAGCTCCAGCGCGATAGAAGACAGTTTACGGGGGATGGCGATAGGAAGCAGAGGCGCATCCGAACGCGAATAATCGATTGGGAACACACGGCGCACCCGACGGCTGGCAGCGCATTCTTCACCATGGCCGATCTCGAGCGCACAGTCCTTGATTTTTACCAAATCTCGACACTCAACCCTGTTCAATGGCCGAGCGAGAAGGACAATGAAAGCGATGCGTCTGGCGATGAATCAGTCAAAAAGAAGGCCAACAGGAGGAAGTCAAGGTACCAGGCTCTGGAAAGGGCCGTGAGTACCAGAAGCAGTATCGTACCGGGATCTGAGAACTCGGGCAGCGGCGTTAGCAACTTGGTGCAGAAGGACGAGCCGGATCCCCTGGGCACCACCGAGAGCGTCGTGCGGACGCTTAAGCATTTAGGAGTCCCACTGCAGGATGACTTGCGTCTTCGTGAGTCTGATCTACCAGAGTCACATGGTTAGGCCGGCCAGAGCAATTGACACATACCTGTGGACAGGCAACCGGTTCCTCCTCTCCTCGACAACCTTCTCGCCTGCACTGTTCCTCTCCCAAATGCATGCGACAGCCGACACCCAATCCCTTATAAGCGGCCTCGATGTTCTTTCCAAGTCAATCGATCAGAAGTCGGCATCTCTCAAGGTGCTCGTGGAATCCAACTTTGAGCGCTTCGTCCGCGCCAAAGCGACCATCGACAATGTCTACAAGGAGATGAAATACCGCGGCGCGGATCCTGCACCTCCACGTGCCAGAGCCCATTCCCGCCATGCGAGCAGGAGTAGTTTCCGGAGTACCAGCGGACCCCCGCCTCTCACCAGTCCGCACACGCCCGCGATGGATCCCCGCAAGAAGAATGCGCTAATCAAAGAGAGCGAGTATGGTGTTTTGGGGGTGAAGGCGCCATTGCTGGACGTTTCGGCAAAGGCGGAGGAAGTTTGGGGCCCTGCGCTCGGAGGGAGAGAGAAAGAAGAGCATCTAAAGACGGTGGCCTCCTCGCTCGACCAGTACAAGGAATACGTGGAGACGAGCGCAGCAATAGCGGACTGCATCAAACGCAAGGACCACGAAACGCTGGTTGAAGAGTACATAAAAGCAAGGAAATTTGCGGATGAGGCAAAGCTGCTGGCCGAGGAGTTGAAATCGTCGCAGCCTACCGACGACCAGCTGTACCGGGTTCTATTAGCAGCACGGATGTGGCACGATGTTGATGAGCAGATTCAGGTTCTCAAGCGAGACGTATGGCGAAGGCTCATATCTCCTTACAATATGGCCAAGGCGGAAACACCAGGACAACGCGAGGACGACCAGCACATGGAGCTGATCACGCTTCTTCTGGAGCTAGGGGTTGAGGACAACCCCATTTGGGTCTGGCTACTGAGCCGCTACGATTATCTGAAGAGCAAGATTCAATCCACGGCTGATCGGTCCAAAGTGGAAATTGAGATCCTGCGGCGGCGACTGGCGAACGCCGAGAAACCAAATCCTGAGACCATAGCATCGCACATGCGGACCCTTGGACGGCAGTCCATCGAGACAATGTCGAAAACATTCGACTCTGCGGATGTCATCGAACTTTGGGAGATGAACGTTGGCTTCTTGAGCAACCTACTTTCGCCCCAGGGTATCCTAGGTGAGGTACTCGAGTTTTGGCAAACCGTACAAGGCTTCATGGAGGGCAAGACGCAGAAGAGCATGCCGCTTGGCTATCAGGGGGAATCTGAGAACCACCACCGGCTTTCCCTGCAAGGCACAACAGACCTCCAAAAGGGCACCGTGGAATTGGTCAGTATGATACGCGACAATGTTCTTCTATTCTTTGCCGGCCCGCCGCCAGAGGACATCTCACTGCTCTTTTCCCCAATGCCGCCGCAGTCCCCAGGGACACCGGCTGCCACCTCTATTTCCGGCTCTCTCACACCACGAGACCCCCGCTTCAATCTCGACCCGAACAACCCACCGCCCCCTTCGCCTAAGAGAGGGGAAGCCTGGGAGAAATTTGCATTCTGGCCGCCTTGGTCAAACTCTCTGAGTGGCGTGCATTTCTTGTCCAAGATGCTGGCACTCGTGGGAAGTGGGGCGTCAGACATGGCATCCATCAGTCCTGTGGGTAAGGGTGATGTTGCTGAAGTAGAGCGGGTCAAGGCATTAGTGGGCGCTTCCAGGGAGAGGTGCGTTACCGCACTCTGTGCTGCGTGGAACAGGGATGCGGAGAACATCAAGTACGTGGAGGATTGGAACCGGTCACCAGACAGCCGGGACGTGACCAAGATGCCGACCAGCTTCGCCGCATTTGAGGGTGCGCTTCTCAGTGGCATGCAGAAGATCCTCCTACATCTCTGAAGCCATGTCGAGGCCGGGGGCTGGGGATATTGTCCTCCCTCCGCCGACGAAGCTGCTGCAGATGGTGCGGAGCCAGTACGTGACCACTCTCTACAAGGCTCTAAGCGGGATGGTCGAGAACGCCGAGCGGTTCCCCAAAAAGACCGACGACGAGTGGACTGTCGAGGTTGACGGCTACGCGCCGGTGAGCAACCCGACGATCACCCAGCTCTCAGCATCAACACTGGGCGGGGGCACAATAGATGCAGCTGATAGGGTAAGCCCCCTGGTTAAATCCCCTTTCCCCGGTCAGTGTCAACAACGACCTCCCACTAACTAATCTACTACCCAACCCCTAGAACGTCCGCATGCTCCTAACCCTCAGCAACCTCCAAGCCCTTCGGTCAACCGTAGTCCCCTCTCTCAACACCCAGTTCGAAAACGCCTTCTCCGTCAAACTCACCGACGAAACCAAAACCATCCGCGACGTGCTCAGCCAAATCGACGCCCGCCTCTTCCAGTCCTACACGCGCCCCGCCATCGAGACCCTCCGACGCATCATCCGGGCCGGCGTCTCCGCCCCGGACTGGGCCCCACCCGCCGGCAGCAAGCCGCGCTCCGTGCGCCCCTACGTCTACGAGGCCCTGCTCGGCCTCGTGCTCGTGCACACGCAGGTGTCCACCACGGCGTCCTCGCTCACCAGCGAGGTGCTCTCGTACCTGCTGGAGCAGGGGTCGCGGGAGCTGCTGGACGCGTTCCGGGCGCGGCCGCGCTACGACCTGGAGGCGCTGATGCAGGCGACGCTGGACGTCGAGTTCGTGGCGCAGACGCTGGGCCACTACACGACGGACCGGGCGTCGGAGCTGCAGAGCGCCATCTACCAGGAGCTCGACGGGCGCACCGACAACGACGCCCGCGCCCGCCTGCAGGCCGAGCTGCCCGAGATGCGTGCCGTGCTGAAGCGGCTGCGCGAGGCGAGCAAAGGGGAGTTTGCCTGCTTTAGGAAGCCCAAGAGGGCGGCTGCTGCTGCTGGGGGCGCGGCGCCTGGGCCTGGAGCTTTGGAGAGGAGGGACACGGGGGGCAGCGTGGGGAGTGATCGGGAGAGGTGATTTCAGCTAGCGAGCACTTTGTTTGGTTCATCGTTTTCAGGTTTCTAGTCTTCATTCAAAGAGACTTTTTCTGATTTGTGGAAAGAAATGTCGTTGGTGGTTTCTAGAAGCCAGAAATAATACTCTGGCGACCGGTGTCCGAGTCCGCTGTGGGGGTGGGGGTATTTTATCTATCGTCTGAAAATCAAATCCATTTTCTCCAGAGACCGTCCAGAGTGTCTTTTTTTCCGACAATTTCTCAACCAACACTACCCCGCCCGCCCATCATCGGCCAAACACGAGGGGCACATTAAATCATTAGTGAAGCCATTGCTGCATTCTGGGGGTCTCCGGCGTCGGAAAACCTCATAATCGTACATGGCGTAGGCGGTCATAAGCCATGGGCCGCCGCGGTCCAAGTATGCCGCAGCCAGTCCCACAGCCAGAATCGAAGTCGAAGGGGAAGAGCCTGGTGCTCTAAGTCATTGCTAACAAGGATCGACTCGATCAAGAATCTGAGTTGGGAAGAAGGAGGGTAGAACAAAACAAGAGCTCGAATGAGCGGGAATCGGTGGGCGAAAAGGTAGGGCGCTCCTGCTTTGCCTTGACCTGGGCGACTGTAGCAGAATTCTGGTTAGATGGTGCACTGGCGCAAGGTTTGTCATGGCGGGAACTCACAATCAAGGTTGATTGCCTCAAAATAATCCCTGATCGCCGGGTTTTCCTCCTCGGTGACAAGTTTACCGTCAATCTCCCGGCGCGTAGTCCGGGGAAGGGCTTTCCGAATGCCGAGGAGCATGTGTAAGAGGTTCGCAATCACATAGCCTTGCTGTGCAAAACTAACCGGCTCCTTTTCAAGCGGCCAGAGGTGCCGCAGGTTTTCCTGCTCCCAGGCCTTGAAGGCCCAGCTGGATTTCTCGACGCAGTTCAACAGGATCAGGACGGCGAAGTACATGTTGAAATCGATCTTGACTTTGCTGTCCTGGAGAACGCGCTGCATTCCGGTGAGGAGGGCCTTGCTCGTAGCTGCGGCCTTCCTCTCGGCTGCGGCTGCGAGCTGCAGGCAGATGGTGTTGAAAAGCTCGCCATCTGTATCTTCCTTGATTAACTTGGCAGGGGTGTCCTCGGCCCAAGTTTTGGCACTGATAGTCCACTGCCGCTCGCGGTCTAGTATCTCTACAAGACCCCACAGTTCAAGCGACTTCTTGAGCAACTCGTCGTTCGTCTTGCTTGCAACGTCGACAGCGGTTTGTAGCGTAACATGCATGAAGTGAGAGGGCTCTCGCTTGATCATGTCGGGCAGGATCTCACGCATATAGGTCTCAACTCTAGCGGGGGCGTCCTGGTTGTCATTGTCGAGCATGACAATGGGATAGTTCGACGGCCTGTCGTCCACAATGGTCGCGTCGACAAGCTTTCCCTCCGACTCTCGATCGGAATCGCGCTGTAGCACTTGAAGCTGAAGGCGAGGACCGCAATCCGGGAAATGGCAAGCTTCAATCAGGACGCCATGACTGCCGAGATTCATGGTTTGCTTGATCGAGTTAATTCGGGCTTGTGCAAGCACGATTTGCACACCAGCAGAATACAGGTCCAGCTGCTCTGAGAACTTTGTGCGAACACAACCCGAGCGCCAGACCCGGGGAGAGAGAACTTTCCGGCAAGTGTCACAAGGTGACCCTTGAGAGCAGGTCTTCCTGAGAACTCGGCAGCGAATGCAAGCGCCGATCTTGCGGACCTCCTGGACCTCCTTCCGCCTGGTCGCGTTGAACCGCGCCCTCGAGTGGCGAGACTTGGCACCATTGGGGCCGCCATCCAAGCGGAAAACGCCCTTACCGAGGGGCCCTGCCGTGGTCTGCATGGGGCTGTTGTTGTTTACGGTGGCTTGGAAAGTCTCGGTCGCGTATGTCAGCTCACCCCAAGGTGGTGGCACAGTCGGCGTCGGCATCGCGCTTGGTGTCGGCATCGCATTCGGTGTCCCCATGGTGCACGGGGTGGGCATCGCTGGATGGATCGTTGGGGTGCTGGGGGTCGCGAGGGGCTCCTCTGTTCCGCTCATGTCGGCCACAGGGAGGTTATTTACCACGGCGGCAGCGGTGGCCGCGGCATTGGCAGTGGCGGTCGCAGCGTCGGCTGCCGCCGCGGCCTCTTCCCCCAGTATCTCAGGGTCGAGAAATGTGGGATGTAGGCGCGCTGTGGCGGCGGCGGCCATGGTTATGTTTGCTGAGTCCGACTGCCCGTCTTCAACCCGAAGGATTTCTTGGAGACGTTCTTCCGCGGTGGGCGCCCGTTCTGCCTCTTCCGGCTGCTGTTCGCCTACACGAACGTCAACTCAACGCATACCTCGCCTTGCTGCCAACCGATTACGTACCCTTCACTGGCTGAAATGTGCCACTATCCTGGTGCAACGGCGGATTTTCGATAATGAATTGCTCTTGCAGCTCGAAGCGCTCCGCGGGCTGCCCATCGGGCGGCGAAGGCCCTTGTTGGACGGTACCATTGGGCTGGCCGCGGTCGTCGTTCTTCTCGTTTAGGTCGATCTGTCGCGATACTTCGGCGAGGACTCCGAGGGCGGTCCAGTCGCGTTGTTGTATCATGGGTAAGTCGACCGGAGACCCATTGGCCTGAGCACGCGCCTGGGCCTGCTGGCTCTGCTGGAATCGCTGTGATGCATGGCTCATGCCCGAAAGAGCCAAAAGCGCGCTGACTCGTTCAGACTCGGAAATGGCAGGGCATTTCTTGGTCAGGTGGCCCGTCAAGCTATCGAGTCGGCCACGAGGGAAGTGCTCTCCGCATCTGTGAGGGAAAAGTGATTCGATTAGCGACCCGACCTATTCAGCGACTCGCAGAAACAAGCGGTGGGAAACGGAGCCCGGCTATGGAGTAACGGAGCAACGGGGCAACGGGGTAACAAGAACAACACAGGAAAGAGCAAAAGAGTAAAAGAGCGGTGGCTCACGCTTTACAAGTGTGGGGATAGCGATTGCTTTGATCCTGCAGTTTCGGGCCCCGCTCGAAATACTGCAAGATGAGTGCATTCGGCCGTCTCCCCATTGTTGTGATCAGAATCCCGGGTGTCGCATCGACAGTTCGGGAGCTGTGCGGTGAGTATGTCTCTTTCGAGGTGCCAGGGGGAGGGGTCTGGAAATGTGAAAATACTGCCGGCTTAATTTGGCGGTCAGTCAATCATGTCGTCGTCCAGGGCCTGGGCCAGCGGTGGGTCGATTTCCTCACGTGAGTGGTCAGGGCGGTTTGCAGTTCAACAAAACTCCAACAAGCGGCTCGAGAGCGGGTCCCGGCTGGCTGGGTTTGACATGTTGTAAATTACAGAACACGGATACGGCCATGCAGTACCTACATGGTACGAATACCACTCGGTCACTTCCATTCCGTTTGCGGAAACCTTTCATCAGAGAGGTTGTTAATTACCTAGGTACCTACCTAACTACAACCTAGGTAGGTACTTATCAACTACCTTACCTGAATGCCTAGGTGGAAAATGGTCCCCCTCTTTATTTTATTCCACTCTATCCGATAGTTATGTCAGACGATATCTCCCAGTATTGCCTGCGATCGGTGGGTCAATACCTCTCTTCTTTGGGAATTTCCCTCGCATAAATGGTTTGTCACACACCTTTAAATACGGGCGCGTGCTTCGTACCAATGCGGAATGTTGTCGCTTGAGCCCGAACCGGCCAACATTGGTCCAAAGTTTGCTCTCCGACAAACCAAGCCAAGCAACAGCCAAGAGAATCAAGCTTTGATAGGTAAGCTGGCTCGAGCGCCTCGGACTCCCTCCTCTGCCAGCTGGGTGGAGAGTGGATTGGATTTGTGTTGTAGCACAAGGTCCAGCCTTCGCTCAGAGGTGCAATCCTTGAGTACGCGTTTCGTCTGTTCCTTCGACGCATCCTAATCCTTGCTAACGTGAGGCACCCGCATCCATCTTAAAGCAACCGAGATCAGCAGTTCACAGCCTCTTTCATCACTCAGCGGTCTATCTTCTCGGAGGGCAATTCATCGAAGCAGGCGCGGGGCCGACTCCAAGTGACGTACATACCATACCATGTCCACTATGGGATAAACGCTCCGCCCGCGGCACCATCGGCCCCACCAAAATCCCCGAGCCCGAACCTTGAATGCATTCGATTGTTCTGCCTGACCATTACTCTAGCCGGCCCGCCGCTGCTGGCGCTCTTCCCCGGCACATGAGCCCCTGACATCCATCTCCATTGCATCTCCACGATGCTGCTCCTTCACCAAACCGGCGCCGTCAGGATCGGCGAGGTGGTCCGTTACACCGTGACTTACACGCCCTCCGCCGACCATATCCTCCCGTCCCCCGAGTTCCTATATCTGCGTATCAAGAACACCTGCGCCATTGCTCTTCGCGCCGCCTTTGTCCACGGACCCTACACCCTCGGAGTCGCCGCATACCCGTCAACCTTCAAACCCTTCGAAAAGTTCGACAACCCCCGTCGTTATGGCGTTCCGGAATTCGAACCTATGCTCAAGGCCGGCGCTGTGTGGAACTGTCACCTGGTCGTGCCCGACAACATCCGTCAGAGTGCTGGCGAGGGCAGCAGCAAACATGGACATTTTGGAAGTGGACCCGAGCATGATGGGGATACTGTGACATGGGTGGTCGAGGTTTCCTCTCAGGTTGTCTTTTCGGCCTCGGCGTCGGTCAACTATGAGATCCTGCTTGCGCGCGATGAGAAGTCGCTAAATCTCGGCTCTGTGGTGCCTGTTATTGGAAACCATGCGCAGGTTGCCCAACCAGGCCGGGTAAGCGACTTTCAACAGAGTTCGGGCTCGTCCAAGCACCACCCGGCTCAACCGAAGGGTGTTTTCTCCAAAGCCATACACCTCAAGGTGGAGGACACCGCAGCTCTTTGGAACACTCCACAAATACCAGGCTGGGATGATAATGGATGGCTCCGGGCTAGGGAGGCTGAGGATCCCCCCGCTCCGGTTCGACCCGGCACGGAAAATGTTAACTGTGACGAGGCAAGGCGGCAGCCGAAGCAAAAACAAAAGAAAGTCCATCTCGTTGTGCTCACTCACGGGTTGCACAGCAATCTCGGTGGTGATATGCTGTTTCTCAAGGAGAGCATAGATGCGACCGTGAAACAAGCAAGGATTGATGCGAAGGCGCGCAGAGCAAGGGTGCGAGCAGCAAGAAAGAGTGCGCGCGCAGGAACAGATTCATCTGTTGATACTTCCGAAAACAGCAGCCAAAATCCTACTCCAACTCCTGACCAGGGAGTGCAAACCAGCGGGGATGCTTCTGACCAACAAGGAGATTCTGACGGGAAAGAAGACCTCACTGATGATGAAGACGACGAAGAGGAGGACGTCGTTGTGCGCGGCTTCTCGGGAAATGCGGCGAAAACGGAAAAAGGCATCAAATGGCTGGGCAAGCGGCTTGCTAGGTACATTTTGTCCATGACCTACCCCGATCAGCCATGCTTGCCCACCGCCAAAGCAGCTTCGGATGCCATCACGCACTCGCTCAAGACAGGCGCACAGAAAAAAGCCATCGAGGAGGCCCATAAGCATAGCTCCGTCCACCAGGCGACGTCTCCGGGGGGCAAGCGACTGTACAAGTTCACCAAAATCAGCTTCATTGCCCATTCACTTGGCGGCCTGGTGCAAACGTACGCCGTTGCGTACATCCAAAAGCACTCGCCGCAATTTTTTGACCTAATTGAACCCGTCAACTTCATTGCTTTGGCATCGCCATTTTTGGGACTCAACCATGAAAATCCGCTCTACGTTAAGTTTGCGCTGGATTTTGGTCTGGTAGGGAGGACAGGCCAGGACCTTGGGTTGACATGGAGAGCGCCAACTATCGCACGGAACGGCTGGGGCGCACTCATGGGGAATCTCGGGGAGCATGCCCACAAGCGTGTGTATGGGGAGCATCAGGCCGAGTCTAAGCCGCTGCTCCGGATTCTGCCCACCGGTCCGGCCCACAAGGCACTTAAGAAGTTTAGGAACAGAACAGTGTACTCCAACGTGGTTAATGACGGCATCGTACCACTTCGGACAAGCTGTCTTCTCTTTCTTGACTGGCAGGGACTTGGCCGGGTCGAAAAGGCCCGGCGAGAGGCAGGTCTGGTGGAAACCGTCGTCGGGTTTGGCTGGGCTGAGCTGACAGGAGCCAATGTCACGACTCCCAGGCTCGCACCTTGGTCGCCAGTCGAGCCTGAAGACAAAGACGAGTCTGGTGGCACGGGCAAGACAACCCCTACCGGCCTCGGTGACTCTCACCAGGTACCCCAACCACCGACCAACGCGATGCTAGAAGACGATCGGCAGAGTCTTAGGTCGATTACTAGCCCGTACCGAGAATCGCCCTCGGAATTCCAGCATCTCCAAAACTCAAGCACGACCACATCGAATCCCCTTTCCGGCCTTTTCAACTTCTTCCGTAGCGAAACGCCCAAACCTGTGCCCCCGGCGTCTCCCAAAGTAACCAAGATCTACCAACGGAGCCAAACGCTGAAGCCAGAGCAGTGGTCTGCTTTAGACTCCGCCGCCACGTCCAGCTCTCGAGTGACGAGCGGGAGTGAGCTCACTGATGAGCAAGAGAACATGTCAGCGCCTCCAAGGACGACCATCTTCGAGTCCGCCGGCGACCTACTTAACCCCAAGTTGCCCCCGATGGAATTCATAATCGACCCATCCAAACGCCCCCGGACAATCTTTCATGACCGCGTTTATCATCCGACTGACATCCCTCCGCCACCCATCAAGGAGCGCTCTTCCAGCCCATTGACTCTACGGCGACGGACGCCCACAGCAAACTCGTGTAAAACCAGTCAAAGCGATACCTCCTCGCCACTTGCCAAACCAATCGAAGATAAACACACCGCCGTCTCTCAACAATCCCAGAAGCCTCAATTGCCCCAAACACCTAAGCAAACCACCATCTCAGTCAACAGCGAACCCCTGACAACTCAGCTCTCCTCCCCTAACACGCCACCCGGGGCCACCACGGACGATGTCATCGAGCTCGAGATTGACAGCTCGCAGATGCGCGTCGAGGAGAAGATCGCGCGCGCCTACCACCGCGGCCTGTCCTGGCGCAAGGTTCTCGTCAAGCTGGAGCCCGACGCGCACAACAACATTGTCGTGCGCCGCACCTTTGCCAACGCCTTCGGCTGGCCCGTCATCCAGCACCTAGTCGACGCCCACTTCTCCGACGCCGCCACCGCCCGCTGCCCCGACGAGGATGAGCCCAACGCCGAGCGCGCCAAGGGGGTCGGCCTCGCGCCCAGCACGGACGGCCGCGAGACGAAAGAGACCGCGCAGGGCGCCAATGCCCGCGGGGAGGGCGTCAGAATCCGCGAGGGCGGTGCGGGCGTAGCGGCGAAAAGAGAAGAGGACGACGACGGACACGGCGAAGAGGGCGACACGGTGCCGGAGCTGCCGCGGAGCCCGAAACCGTCTCCGTCGCTGCCGTCCAGTGCCGCCGCCAACAGCAATGCGCTGGGCGTGTTCGCGTCGCCGTCGTCGTCGTTTGATAGCACGACGCAGGCGGGTGGGGGTGGCGGTGGTCGCACGCCAACTACCCCGCGCCCGCCGTTGGATCGGCTGGATTCGATGACGATGGAGCGAGCGTGACTGGTTGGATAGTGAGAATGAGAGTGACGAGGGGGGGAGTGAGTGGAAAGAGTGGGAAGAATGATGGTGGTGGGTGGGAGATGGTAGCAAATGGAAAGGGAACGGGCTAGGGGTCCCCCTTTTGCGGGCGGGCGAGCGGAGTACGAGTCCGTTGAATTGGAACTGGGACTGGAGAAGATTGTGGGAAAAGGGGGGAGTGGGGCGGTCCAAGTCGCCGGCTGGCAGTAGCACCAGTTCTGCTGCGAAGAAGTCCAGTGTTGATAGTTTATATCGTGTGGCTCGTTGGGGATGGTCTGTGGGTAATTTGGCGCCCGGCTTGTTTGCAGAACTGGTTGTCACCATCGTTGAATATGGGTAGAGTAGGATAGAGGTGTATATATCGAAATTGAGCTTCTCATTTGTTTATCGATTTGCATTGTGACTTGTTTGTTTTGTTGACTCATAATCAGCCCGCTTTACAAAATGTAGTTCTCATCATAACCATCCATGATGCGTCGCCGGCCTTGCGTGCCCCCAATACAAGTTGCTTTTTTCTTTACCTTCACTCTTCCCCCCTCCCGCCCAACACACACAGACACACACTTTTTCGCTCTCGTATACACATATACACACTCCTCATTTCTTTCTTGTCTTGTCTTGTCTTGCTCTCTTCGTTCTCTCCTTGTCCCCACCAGTCTCGTCTCTCCACCCACTCTAGGCTGTTCGGCCCATTGACAAGACCTGGTACGGCAACCGTTAAGTCATCAACCAATCAAGGGCGTGTGGCTCAGTTGGTAGAGCGTTCGCTTAGCATGCTTCACTGTATGCGAAAGGTCCTGGGTTCGATTCCCAGCTCGTCCAAAGATTATCTTTTGCCATCCGGGCCGGCCGGATCACTTTTTGTCCCACTCCCCACGGAAGACGGTAGTACAGGAGGGGCCTTTCCCGTCACCCTCGGCCCGTTGTCTTGTTGTTTCTCTTGCTTTAGAGTGTCGTTCTTTGGCAGCCAACCGGGGGAGAAGAGAGTCGGACGGCCCGGAGACAGTCCGGTCACGCAATCGTGGTGTGGCCGACCACGGCAGCGATGCGGGGCTTGCTTCTTGAATGGGTATGTCCGCTTGCAGTGGGGGTACCCACCGACGGGAGAACCGGGGAACGAAGACAGGGTGCCGTTGGTGCTTGACCGGGGTTACGTCAGGTCCCTTTTCCGTCCCTGTGTGATTCCACAAGTGTCTGGCCGCCTCCTCTCGGAACTCTTAGAATGTTACGGGAAGCGGTTTGTCGGGTAGTATCCGCAAGGGAACTGCTCAGGGCTCGGGAACGCGGGCTGTTGTGCTTCCCACCCATCACCCATCTCGCAACTCTGGTGCCTTGAGAGGAGAGAACGAGAGTCGACCGTTGACCGCTACTTGGAAAGTCGGTCGGTCATACCGTATGAAAGAGACAAACACAGACACCTTGGGTGGGTAGCCTCGCTGTGCTTTGTTGTCATTGTTTCCATCCTCTGTTACATGGCCACAAGGCAGTTTTCCGTCGTCAAGCTGCAAGTTCCGCTGGCACATTAATTGCTTGTGCTCGGTGTTGGCTACTTCTCCCCCAATTCCCTCCGAGTTGCGGGGCTGCCAGATCAGTTCGGGGTCCTCAAGGTCGGAGGGGGAAGGTGTGGTGGGGATTCGGGGGATGCTTGCAGGCGCGATCGCAGTGGTATTGTCCAATAAGGACAACTCCGGTCCGGCGAAATTCTGTCTCTCAAGGGTTGCTCCTACCTACTCTGCCTTGCGCACTGTGGCTGTAAAAGCAGCAGTTGCCCCGCGGTTTTTCCTTCCTTTGCATTTCCAGGTTCTCGCCAGTTTTGTCGAGTTGTCTCTTTTTTTCTGTTCTTGTTCTTCTCTTTCCCATTTCTCCAGCCCCGTGGCCGCATCCTCGGAGCATCACCGGCCAAACTCCAAGGGCACCACGGCGCACAGGTGGAGAGGTGTAGACGCTGCTTCCTTGTCGCCCCCCAGGGAGTGAGCGAGTGTCGATCTGCCCTCCGAGATTGTTGACCACGTATGACAATTCCATCTACCCAGCTCCTTCTCTCGTCGATTGCACCCTGCCTGGTCTGTTCCGCGACCTGGTGAATCTGGTTTGGTCCCTGGATGACTCCTACCGTATCGTCTTTGTTCGCTTCGGTTGCTCCTCTAGCCGTCCTAATTGTCTAAATCCTCATGTCCTAAATGTCCGAAAAAAGAGCGACAAACAGGCTAACTAAAGAAAAAAACGTTCCCAAGAGCAGTCGTATCCAATCCACCTTGCCATCATGCACATCCGGGAGATGCTGGCGGAAGCCGAGAGGACCGGCAACCCGTCCTTCTCGTTCGAGTACTTCCCGCCCAAGACAGCCCAGGGCGTACAGAACCTCTACGACCGCATGGAACGCATGTACAACTTCGGCCCCAAGTTCGTCGACATCACTTGGGGCGCTGGCGGCCGCATCGCCGAGCTGACCTGCGAAATGGTGGTTCAGGCGCAGACCTACTTAGGGCTCGAAGCCTGTATGCATCTTACATGCACCGACATGGGCGAGGAAAAGGTCAACGATGCGCTTCGGAAGGCGTACAAAGCTGGTTGCACCAACATCCTGGCCCTTAGGGGTGACCCGCCACGCGAACAGGAGAAGTGGGAGGCTACCGAGGGAGGCTTCCAGTACGCCCGGGACCTCGTGGGCCACATCCGCAAGACATATGGCAACCACTTCGACATCGGCGTGGCCGGATACCCGGAGGGTTGTGACGATAACAAGGACGAGGACTCGCTGCTCGACCACCTGAAGGAGAAGGTCGACATGGGCGCCACGTTCATCGTCACCCAGATGTTCTACGATGCGGACAACTTCATCCGCTGGGTTGGGAGGGTCCGCGAGCGCGGTATTACCGTCCCCATCGTGCCTGGCATCATGCCAATTGCCACCTATGCCAGCTTCTTGCGCCGCGCGAACCATATGAATTGCAAGGTGCCTGAGGAGTGGATGGCGAAGCTCGAGTCGGTCAAGAACGACGATGTGGCAGTCCGTGATATCGGCAAGACGCTGGTCGCTGACATGTGCCGCAAGATCCTCTCCGCTGGCATCCGTCATTTGCATTTCTACACCATGAACCTTGCTCAGGCAACCCGTATGGTTCTGGAAGAGTTGGACTGGCTGCCATCGCCCGACCGCCCGCTCAAGCAGGCGCTCCCTTGGAAGCAATCACTGGGCTTTGGGCGCCGCGACGAGGATGTTCGACCTATTTTCTGGCGTAACCGCAACAAGTCGTACGTCGCACGCACCCAGGATTGGGATGAGTTCCCCAACGGCCGTTGGGGTGATTCAAGGTCGCCCGCCTTCGGTGAGCTGGATGCCTACGGCGTTGGCTTGACCGGCAGCAACGAGCAAAACCGCAAGAAGTGGGGTGAACCGACCAGCATCAAGGACATCGCCAACCTCTTTGTTCGGTACCTGAACAAGGAGATCGAATACCTTCCCTGGAGCGAAGCACCGGTGGCCGAGGAAGCCGACCTCATCAAGGACGACCTAATTGAGTTGAACAACCGTGGTCTTATCACTGTGAACTCACAGCCAGCCGTCAACGGCGTCAAATCAACCCACCCAATTCACGGTTGGGGCCCTGCGAACGGCTACGTCTATCAAAAGGCCTACCTCGAGATGCTCATCTCACCCGAACTCTTCCCACAGATCAAGAGCCGCATCGAGAGCCATCCTGATCTGACCTATCACGCTGTGACCAAGTCTGGCAACCTTCATACCAACGCGCAATTTGAAGGGCCGAATGCCGTCACCTGGGGCGTGTTCCCCGGGAAGGAAATCGTTCAACCCACCATCGTAGAGAGGATCAGTTTCCTCGCCTGGAAGGACGAGGCATTCCAGCTGGGTATGGAATGGGCTCGCTGCTACGAGACCGGCACCCCAAGCCGTTCCATCTTGGATGAGATCATGAACACTTGGTACTTGGTGAATATTGGTAAGATGATCACTGAAAGTTAAAGCCCAACATCGTCAAGTCTAACATTCATTCAGTGAATAACGATTTCCACCGAGGCGAAACCATCTTTGAGGTGCTGAAGGGCCTTGAGGCCCCGGGGCTAGACCAGGTCCCAGAACCTCAGACGAATGGCGCGACGAACGGCGCAACAAACGGCGACCATAACGGCGTCCAGGCATCAACGTAATGCCCTTTGACTCGTCTTTCAGTCGTGCCGGGCCGCTCAACTTGGCTAGCCGACTGAAGACGAATATTTCTTCAACACTTTTGCATGGCCGCAATCCATTTCAACCTCCCAACTTGCACAAACACACATCACCTTTAATATCCATCTATCCATCCGCAGCCTGGAGCGAGACGGGGCCGGGCCGGGCCGAGGGAATGACGCAGTTAACGACGCACGCAACTTTCGGCATTATTTAACATACAGCATGCATATGGGAAGGCGTTTTCGAGTGGACGGGCGAGCAAAACAAAATGCGCATCACAGGGAATGGGCATTTTTCTCCCAGGTCGGGTCTTGATTTTTCAACAAAAAAGGAAAGGCAGGCGGTGTTGGAATAGGCTGGATGGATTTCAATCATCAACTGGTAACACATTAAGAGGACTGGGCTGGACAGGAAGGAGGTAGTTGGGGGTGGAGGAGTAGACGGTCCAACCCGGTTTTCATGCATCACCGAGATCTCAACGATACCCAGGGGAAATTAGGCAGGATTTGGCTCAAGTACGTTTGACTGCCTTCTTGAGTAAGGCGGGCAAACTTCAACTTCAACAGTGGTTGATACAGAGAAGAACAACATAAGAACCTTGCAGTGTGCGAAAAGTAGCAGTGCTAAAATGTGACAACGAACGTGAGTGGGCGTACGAATGATATGTGATGAATGATCTGCTCGTTTGTAATGATTCAACAGGGTATAATCTGTAGTAAGTGCGCTGGTGGTCTGTCTGTTACCCAGGTAACTAGCACTGTACCGAGTTGAAATAATTCTGCCAATGCCAATGTCAACCTCTCGAGTAACAATGAATTATTCTATTCTTTTAATGAATACCCATCCCATACCCTACTACGTCTTGTTCTTGGAACCGTTTTATGCATCCCTGGGTGAAAGCCCCAAGCAACTGTGAAAACCGATAGTGCTCTTCTTCTCTTTCTCTCTTATCGGGACAACAAAGTATCTCACACATTTATTACACAGCCATTGACTAGCCCCCCTCCCGCCACCTGGTCTGCCACATCCCTTGATCCCCCACGACTATGGCTATCCCGCCTCAGAGCCCTTAACCTGACTTGACCTGACCCAACCCAACCCGACTCACTCATCCACAGACAGTAATGGCGGCGGGTGCACCACCGCACCTGTTCCCCGCAAGCAGTCAAAACCCACCAAGCAAGGCCCGGGCTGGTATTACTAATACCCCCACTGCTCCTCGTCCGCTACCTCATAGTCCATCTGATCCCGCTGCTGCTGCTGGGTGCTGTGGTGGTGGTGATGGTGGTGGTGTTGATCGTCGTCGTCGTCGTCACCCGGCGGCCGCTCCAGCAGAATGTGCACGTCCTTATCGCTGCTATCGATCCCTGCTGTCGCACCCGCCGCGTCCTCGTCCTCGTCCCCGTCCCCATCATCACTCTCGTGGTCTTGGCCGTGACCATTAAAGATTGTCGTTGTCGTTTTATCGCGTTTGCTGTTCGCGTTGCCGCCGATCTTGCCTTGGGTTGTACCCGGGGAGCCGGGAGCTTGATGAGGGGGTTGTGGTGCCAGCGCCTGGCGTGGTGGGTACGGAACCGGACGAGCCGTTGGCGCCGGCCCAGGCGAGGTCCAGGGAGGGGGCGTCAAGGCCGGGGATTTCTTTGTTGGCGAGGAGGACTGAGTTGAAGAATTTCTCGGCGGTTTTGCGGTCTTTGAAGGTAATCTCGGCGGAGGTGGGGGTGGTTTGGATGTCGGTGAACTCGCCGATGCCCTACACATTGAGTTAGTTATGGGGATGAGGACTAGTGACTGTTAAGGGGGCTTTACGAAAAGGTACTGCCGCAGCGTCTCATCCTTATCGGACGCAGTAAAATCCATTCCGGTGAGGACTACTTTTTTGGGGCGGTTATCGAGCGAATAGGCGGCATATGCAGCATGGACGTTAGTCCGGCCGCGGTAGCTGCCCCGGTGCGACCCCCGCGGCGTGTATGGAGATGATGATCCTCGCCAACTGCCTCTACCCCGTCCGTAACCACCCCTAGGGGGCCATGGTGCTGGTGCGTCAATAACGTCCGGATCGAGCCCCATCTGCCGTGCCTCCGCCTCCAACGCGGCTAGTTGCGCTCGGAGGGCTTCACTCTGGCTCATGGGTTTGTTCGAGTCACTTTCGCCATCTTCCGATTTGACACCGTTGTGACCCCCGAGTTTGGCGTCCAGTTTTGCCTTCTCCTTCAGCTGCTTCGCGACAAGCTCCTTCTGACGCTTCTCGAGCTCCTCGCGCTGGCGCTCTAGTTCCTCTCTCTTCTTGGTCTTCTCCAAGAACGCTTTTTGCTTCTCTTCTTGCTGCCTAGCGAACTCCTCCATGTCCATCTCTGGCTGAGAACCAGCATCGTGACCGTCAGCCGTGGATAAGCCATGCGTGTGCCGTGGCTTCTTCGCGCCTGGCGCACCTCCCGCGAAGGGTGTCGAGGCCGATTGTTTCGACCCCTCATCTTTGTACCAGAAGACCTTAACAAACCGGTTATCAAACATGACCTTCGGTGATTGGTAGGCTGCGTTGGCGGCGTTCCAGTTGTCGAACTTGATAACAGCTAGCCTCTTGTATGGCTGCATAGAGATTTCCTGAATGTTGCCGAACTGAGAGAAGAAGTTCTTGACCTGGTCTTCAGTAAAATTCTGCTCCGGGATGTTTTCTACCACTATCGTCGACTTTGTCCGGTCGAAAATCGGTCCATCCGCCGAGAATGGCGCTCTCTCACCCCGCCTCGGGCGGTTCTGATGCTTGCCGCCCTTGTGTCTTGGTGGTTGGTTGAAATCGAGGATGGGTGGCTGCCCCTGAAACGGACCTGGTCCGTTGAAAAGGTCGGGCATAAGAGCGTTAGCAGGGTCGTACTCTGCGAGCTGGTCAGCAGGCTTCGCGCCCCAAATCACGGGAATTCCTGCCATACCTTCTACCGGCGGAGGTTGTGACAGCCCCTGCATGCCGCCGAACTGGGACCCGGGCAAAGGAGGGTAGCCGGGATCGTTGCTATGCGCAAACATACAGTTCGTCCCACGAGGGCAATATCCCTTCTTCTCCCAATCGCGGCACTTCTTTCTCTTCTTGGCGGGGAATTGGCCTCGCAACAGTTCCGGCATCGGATGGCCGGCGGCCAAGTTCATTCCGAACATAGCATCCATCGCGCCCTTGGGGTCGAAATACCCAACTGTTGCCGGGCCGGGAGGGCCCTGCGGTGGTAACTGTCCCGGTATAGGGTAAGGAGGCATTCCTGGCGGGCCGCCTCCGAAGGTATTCGGATCATCAGATCGCGGCCCTCGAGCTCCTCGGCGAGGTTGCTTGAACGCCCTCCCACCAAACCCAGCATCCCTCCCGCTCTGCGCCATTGGGTCGTCCCAATCGTTGTACGCTCGCTTCCTCGACCCATTCTGAAAGCGCGCCGAGTACGCCGGGGCTGCGGTCATCTGATCGTCATCGTAGTACAAGCTCGGGGGGAATTGGCCAGCAGCGGTGGGGGCCGGCAGTGCAGCGTGCTTCGGAGGCGGGGGAGGGGCGCCGGGGAGGTAGGATCGGTAGGCGAGTGCTTCAAAGACGTCATTTACAAAAACGGGCGAGTCTGTAACAAAAGCCGGTCAGTGGAGGAGTTCAGAGGGGCATGTGACCGCTGCGTGGAAAAAGCCCACCTTCTTTGAGGAAATCTGGCATTTCCTCCTCGCAGAGCCTGCGCACGCCGTTGATGTCACCATCGTGGCGTAAGAGAGCTAGGACATAGTCGGCGAGTACGTCGGGATCGGCATCAGATCTGTTGCAAACGAGTTCCAAAGGTTAGCAAGATGAATTACTCGGCGCATACATCCATCACAAGAAAGGCAAAGGAAAGACGGACGTATTCTCGAGTCGTGTAACGATCCATGTCTTCAAATGAGCAGTGTGCTCCTCGGGGAATAGCATTTCGTTTGAATGTTTTGCCTGTCGATATTTCCATGGAATATATTGTGGGAGGAGACTTTGCGTTGCGGTGAAGAGGTTAGTCAGAAATGCTTTGTCAAATGTTCTCTCTGCGCAATGCGCTTTCTCGACGAAGCTAACTCGGTAGGTAATTATTTGCAGGTCGCGTCACGAGCAGGGGCGTGCCGCGATAAAAATACGCTTTTTTTTGGTTCCCAGTGTATTGTGACGAGATGGGTAGGTAAATATTGTTACGGGATACAAGGCATAATTACCGAGCCACCTTTCCGCTATCCAATCCTATAAGCAGACATGGACGACAACTACATGCACCATACACAAGTACATACATATTATACAGAGTACAGTCGCTCGCCATTGCGTCTCAATCATACATATTCCGCCTTCAAGTTCTCGCCCTATCACTGACCGTCCCCGTCCTTTAAGGCGTTGATGATATCCTCCTCCGACAGGTCCTGATCCCCCTTTTTAATCTGGGATGCGTCTCCCACATTCAGGAACCCGCCCTCGGACCAAACCTGAGGCTCAGGGCGCTTCACTTTCTTTTTCTCATCAGTCCTGATCAACCGGCCACCCTTCCATGTCGCCTCATCCTCTTTCCTCTTCTTCGCCACGCCCTCCTCGCCGTCCTCTCCCTCACCACCTTCCTCCTCTTCCTCATCTTCAGGCTCCGGCTCTGGCACCTCCTCCAAGCCCTTCCTCCTGGCCTCCCCAAAGATCTGCGCCTCTAGCCGCGAGCCGGAACGATGCATGCTTGTAACCGCCCTCACCGTCTTGGTGCAGCTCTCGTTGATGTACTGGAACTGGCGGCTCGCCTCGCGCGACCAGAGCATCATCTGCTCCAAATCCATATACTCCTTGGCCAGAACGAGCAGGGTGTGGGCGATGGGCCGCGGCCGGTGCGGGTTGGTGCCCGCGCGGCGCAGTTCCAGCGGCACCTGGTTCTTGACTTGGCCCTCGGCGCGCACCGCGTACCAGCCGGCCCACTGCGGCATGAGCACCTTCTCGCAGACGGTGAAGGCCTCGCGCCATTTCTTGAGCCGCGCGAGAGCTTGCACGTGGTAGTTCCAGTTCTTGCTGTCGAGGTCGAACCCGCGCTGGCGGACCGTGGCGACTAGGGCGAGCAGGCCGTCCGGGTCCTTCTCCTCGAGGAACAGTCGCTGCATTGTCTTAAGAGGGTCGCAGAGCCGGAAGCGCTGTGCGTAGACGACCGGTTTGGAGGGGTTTTCTGGATCGTCGTTCTCGTCTGGGTTAAGGTGGGACGAGGCGGGCTGGTAGCGCTTGCTGGTGCGCTTGAGGATGAGAGCCCACGTCTCGTGGACACGCTGGTACTTCTTCTCGAAGAAGTCGGCGAGCATGATCTGGTGGAGCAGTTTGAGTGGGACCGTCTCCTGGGATGCACGCGCGGGGTAGCGGGTGTTGTGGAGGTTAATAAGTTGCTGCACCGTGGCGTGCTCGCGCATCTGCGTCAAGATAAAGAGCACCTTGGAGTAGAGACCGATGACGGAACGGATGTCGTCGGGCGCGCCTTGGTCCTCCCGTTCCATGGCCTTGTAGAAATCGTGGAGAATCTTTTTCAAAAAGTGCTCGGCCCCGACGCCTCGCCGCTTGCTGGACGGCAGCTGTTGCCATCTCCCTAGCGCGTCAATGACTTTAGTCATACGCATAGCTGATTGCGGGAAATTCATTTGGGCCATCAGTTGGTTGGTCTTCAGCGTCATGTGTGGCTCGCCGCTGTTGATGAAGGCCGCCATAAGGAGGACGAAGTGATCGGCCGTAGGCTCGAATACGCCTTCACGATGGGCGACTCGTAGAAGATGCATGGCATGATGCGACTGCCGGGCGTATAGCAGGGCAAGAAGGAGATGACTGTATGTCTCCTGGTTGTAAACGACCCCCTGCGAGGACATGAACTCCAGCAGCCGGTTGACGGTGGACAGGTCTCGCCGCCTCGCGTTGTGTTGGAGAAGCGTGTTCCAAAGCAGGGTATAATTGCCGGGCATCTCCTTTTTCTTAGTAACGCTGACACAGAGCTTTTCAGCTTCGGCAAACCGGTCATTCTGGCAGTACGCCTCAACCAACGCCTTCACCATGGCCGAATCTGGCTGTACGTTCCGGTCCCTCGCAAGCTGAAACAGCTCGAGCGTGAACTGCAAATCACCGCGGAAGCCAGCCATGCCCATCATGGTTCCAAAGGTGTAATCGTCCGGTTCGAGTTCTTCGCAAATTTGCGAGAAGAGTTCAATGGCACCTTTGTAATCTCCAGCCTTGGTGTGGGCGTTCATCAAGATGTTCCACTGCTTCATGACTGGTGCCTCACCTGTCCTCTCGGCAGCATCCACCATGACTTGGCGGGCGGCTTCGGGATCGCCCCTGACAGCATGGGCCTGCATGAGTGTGTTGATAAATCTTGGCTCATCCTGGGGATTGACGTTAAAGTGCTTGGTATATTCCTCGACCAGCCGTGTGATGGACTTGACATCACCGCGTCCACCATAGAAAGCCATGTACTTATGGTACGCTCTCTGGTCCAACTGGCCATAACCACGGTACCAGTCCTCGAGGAGTTGTTCCATCCCCACAACATTGTTTGGGAAAAAGACGTCAATCATGACCCGAAGAACGGATTCGTCCACCCGCACGCCGGGGAGCGCCCTGTATTTTCTGTACAGATCGCCGGCAAGCCGCTTCCGGTCCTGCTCCGCGCTGGAAATTATGAAGCGCTCGTAGGAGCGTGGATCCTCGGCACGGTGGAGCATAAAAACGACGTCGGAAGCCCGGAACAGCTCCAGCGAGTGTCTGACGAGATGCCTGAGAAAGGAGTCGACGAGGGCAGTGCGCTCAGACAGGGTTTCGGGGTTGTTCTCCAGGAACTTGTACAGCTCTTTCACTTTGGCCTCAAAATCTGTCGCCGCCGCCAGAGTCGGGAATCCAGACCCGTTCCCCGGCCGTGGTTCTTGAAGCTGCCCAACCTCCGAGCCAGGATCATTTGTTTCTGTTTGCTCACCTGTTGGCTCCGACAGAGCTTGGGGTTCTTGAACAGCCGATGCTCCAACCCCTGGATCACCATCTGGTATCTGCGTGCCACTTAACCCATCCTCCTGTGCAGTCCCTGGCTCAGGGGTAGAATCGATGCCGGCGGCCTGCGTCGACTCAGCCCCTTGACTCATTTCATCTCCTTCTGGAGACTTGGCAGTCTCTCCGATAACCCGAGCCGATGGCGCATACACCGGCTCCTCATTACCCTTGATGCTTAGGTAGAGCTCCCAGGCTTCGAGAACGAGGTTCCATGACGACAGCTCGAATCCATAGGCGGCAATGTAATCTAGAGCCCCCCCGAGGCCGCGCTGCTCCAGGGCAAGTCTGTAAATCGCCATGGCTTCCGGAACTTTGTGCAGCGTGAGCTGCGCCTTGACTGCCGCGCGGACAAGTTCCTCGGTCCACTCGTCGAGCTGATACTTGGCGAATAGATCGTTGACTCTCCACGCCTCGATCGGCCGGGTTGATGCCGAGATAGCAAGCAGCACGTCTGTGGTAAAGTCGCCCCTCAAGCTCGGATCGAGTTTCATGTAGTGTTGGAAAATTTGATCGTAGGCCCCGACGCGGTCCGAATATAGCAGTTTACGCAACATTCCAGGAGTTGCAAAGGCGGCATTTTCTTTAGCATCCTCAGCCGTGGTCTCCTGTTCGTGGTCTCGTTCCTCCCCGAGGCCTTCCTCTTCTGCCTCTTCTGCCCCTTCTAAGCCGGCGGGTTCATCGGCAGCGCCATGCTGTTTCGAGGGCTGATTGGACCGACGAGGAGAGGCGGCGGACGTAAAGAGGCGCGACAGGTGGTTTTGTGGCCTCGATGCCGACTCCAGACGCACCGGGTGGATCGGATACGGCCTCCGCAAGAGCGCGGCGGTTCCACTAGGGTACAGGAAGTCGAGAAGGAGGCCAGATGTTGACATGGCTTCGGCTCTCTGGTTGTGTTTCGTTGGTATCGCTTGGTTCTTCGACTCGGCCGGGGCCTGCCGCATGAGGGCCTGATAAGCGTCGAGGAGCTCAATTTCGGCAGCACCATGGTGAAAGAAGGCGATATGAAGCTTGCGGCGGTTTTGCAAACAGGACCTGGCCGAGGGGAGAGCTCGCTGGAGGCTGCTGCTGCACGGCTCAATGCTCGTCGCAGTCCTCTCCAGCATGGCGCTAGAGGGCACGACAAGGTGGCGACGGTGCATTCGATCCCAAGAATAGCTCGGACAACTAGCCGTGTTACTGCCGCATGATCCGCAGCGATGTCGAGGTAGCTGCCGTGTTGACGCGATGAACCTCGAAGAAGCACACACGACGACCGAGAGTCATAGTGGACCTACAACGGTATCCGGGTGGTGTCGGGGGTACAATCCCGCAACCATGAGACGGAGAACGGCTGTCGTTGAGTGGGAGGGGAGGGAAAGCTGCCCGTGAAATTTGTAGACGAGGGGATGTTGATGTTGGTCCCCCATTGCCCACTGTGAAAAAGCAACCAAGAAATTTTGGTCCCGGCCGGCACTCGGCGGGTGGAGCAGCTTGCACCGGGCTCCGGGTCGTGCGACAAAAAAGCAGGTGGGATGAACCGAACAAGGTAGCGAGGGTCGGTATAATTAACCCTAACCCTGTTCTGGCAACCTCTGTTCCTTGCAGCGGGGGATGGATCAACCAAAAAACAGAGCCCCACATTCTTGAGAGCTCTGGTGTTCGAAGCCGAAGCACACGACAAGGGCTCCGACAAGGAAAGGCACCCGCTCGAGAAACGTCACCGGTCCCAGTCACAAGCGACAATGGATATCACCAAATTCGTGATCTCTCTCAGAGAGAAGGCACTGCTGTACGGTGACTACTCGACATACTGGTCGCAGCTGTCAGGCAAGCTGCTCAACAGTCGCAAGAAACTCAACATTGCGACCAAGAGTCGTGGGAAATTCAACCCCAAGGCACCCCTCACCCCTGAGCAAATCGCCGAGAATCATGAGTGCGTTATTATGTGTTTTATTTTTTGGTTGCCGTTGACTAACCGTACCCGCCTCATAGATACGTTTACCTCCAGCTGCTGACGGCCGAGCGGGCATGGGCCCACGCCATGTCCATGAAGGCTTCCCACACGGCCGACACCAAGGGCATGACGGGCAAGGCTCGGTCGCACATTGTTTCGAGGCTCGAGAAAGGTGCCCGCACCGCCGAGCGGCTGGCCCAGGCTCTCTCATCGAGCGCGAGCGGCGCATCCCCCGCCAACACCCTCGACGCCCGTGCCTACGCCGCCTTGCTCAGGGGAGCGGCCTTGTTTGAGAAGCAGAGCTGGGATGCGTGCCTCAAGAGCTACGCGGTATGCCGCATCATCTATAGCGCACTTGCGACTTCCGCGAAGGGCGACGTCTTCAAAGATCTGCTGTCCGAGACCATCGACCCGCCTCTACGTTACGCCGCGTACCAAGCCAAGATCCCACGCACGCAGCCCATCCCTACCATTGCACGAAAAGCCTTTGAGTCCGCCGACCCCGAACTTGCAGACCAGATCAAGGAATTAAACCCCGCCGTTCTAGAACACGGCGACCCTGATGCAACGAAGGGGGCTGAGGGAGCTCCGACCACCCTGACATGGCGGGGTAGAGAGGTCAAGATCGAAGACGCCGCTATCGCCGTCGCCTGGGCTGCCGTGGGCACGGCGAGAGGTCAACTGTCTGAGAGGCTGGCAACAGCAGGGACGCTACATCCAAAGGACATGGCCGCAGCCTACGACGAGATTCTGATTGCGAGCCAGGACGCCGTCGATGCTACTAAGCAGGCCATTGACGAGCTAAGAGCTGAGGGTGTCACACAAGGCGATGCGCGCATGCAAAGCCTTCAGATTACGCGGACGGCCGTGAACTACGAAATGATCAGCTGGCGTATTGGCCGCAACAGGGTCTTGGTGGGCGAAAATGACGGCGTGAAGATGGAATTTGGACCCACCTCGCGAAGGAAAAGGCAGACGGAAGAATCAGAAGCAGACAGAAGCAGAGATGAAGCACCGGGTCGGCAAATCGCTAGGCTAAAGGAGAAAGTCGTGCTGTACGACGGTATCTTGCAGAGTCTGGAATCCATCAAGGAGCTTCCCGGCGTAGCCAACGATCAAGACCTATCCGGGCGGCTAGAAGCGACGTCGCAGTATTTCGCTGCCCTCAAGTATGTCCCCCTCTTTTTTTACGCCCTCTCGCTTTCACCAAACAGTCAACTAACCCCCCAAAGATCCCTTACCATTGCCCGATCCCACGCCATCGCCGGCAACACCGTCAACTCCCTCGCTCTAACCAAGCACGCCCTCAACCAAACCACCGCCGCCACCCCCTCCATCTCAGGCCCCCAAAACGACGACGCCGAGGACGACGCCTTCACCCCGCGCAACATCCAAGTCTTCAAGCGCGACCTCGCCCTGCTGCACGACACCCTTACCGGCGAGCTGCAGCGCGGCCGCGCCCTGGTCGAGATCTTCAACTCGGCCAACACCAAATCCGCCGCCCAGCCCTCCACCACCACCACCACCGGCAAACCGCCGCTGTCCAGCCGCCTAAACGACTACCCAGCCGGCGGCGTCGACCTCGAGAACATTGTGACCTACCCGCCGCGCCTCGAGCCCTTCCCCGTGAAGCCGCTGTTCCTGGACGTCGCCTGGAACTACATCACCTACCCCGGAAAGGGCGGTGCTGACCAGCAGCAGCCGCAGCAAGTAGGCGTCGCGGAGAGCGCTGCCGCCGCTGGCGGTAGGGTGCAGCAGCAGGAGGATGAGGGCGATGCCGGTGCTGGCGTGGCGGAGTCAGAGGCCAAGCCGCAGAAAAGGGGATGGTTCGGGTTTGGGCGGTCTTGAAGTGAGAGAGGAGTAGAAGAAGCCTAGGGCGGGAGATGTAGATCAAGGGGGGTAATACAAAATTATGTTCCTCCGGCATGACGCTCATGAACTAACTGCCTTACCTGCCGAGCGAGTCATGGACGTTGTTTGTTGTATGTGTGACATCGCCAAGCGTTTGTACAAGTTTCTTATAACTCGATAGTCAAGTATGTACCTCTGCCCTTGACAGTTTAAGAAGTCTGCCAGAGTTTCAACTTGAGGTTACGAGTTCCATGAGAAACTGTATCACAATGCAAGCAGGTGGCACATTAATTTTCGTTTAACATAAGCCTAAGTGAGGGGGGATTTGGATCATATTGTTTTCGTGGGCGCGTAACCACTGATACACGCATGCACCGCTATCCAGCCCCCATCCGATTCCTGCCCATCATCAAAAATCGTGAGAGATGACCCTGCCCATAAACGCAGCAGTTTTGATGCTCAGTAACGCCAGCCGCCGTCTGCATATTAAACATTTGGATAGCCCCCACGGGCCTCCAACACAAGATATGAGTACACTGAATATACACTGAAGACCGCTCCAACCTAGTCAGACACATGCGATAAAATCAAAATACGAGGGGGTATAGGCGTGAATGTGGAAGAGACTCGTTTAAGCCTTGGGCTCGTCCTTCTTCTCGCCTTCGGCGTTTTGGGCCGGCTCGCCAGACTCGGCACGCGCCTTGTGCATCTTGTCGAAGAGGTTCAGGCTGGCAACCTGGAGCTCGTCCGTCTTCTCCTTGATCTCGGCAGAAGTGGCGGTGGCCTCGCCAGATTGGGCCTTGGCGACGAACTCGCGCAGAGAGGTGATCTTCTCGCGGATCTGGTCAGCCTCGGTCTTGTCGAGCTTGTCGGCATGCTCGTTGAGCGCCTTCTCCGTGTCGTTGACAACGCTGTCGGCACGGTTGGCGGTCTCGATGACGGCCTTCCGCTCCTTGTCGGACTCGGCATACTTCTCGGACTCCTCAACCATCTGCTGGATCTCAGCATCAGACAGACCGGAGCCAGAGGCAATGGTGATGGACTGGTCCTTGTTGGTAGACTTGTCCTTGGCATGGACGTGGACGATGGAGTCGGCGTCGATGTCGAAGGTGACCTCAACCTGGGGCACACCACGGTGCGCAGGGGGGATACCGACGAGCTGGAAGTTTCCGAGGAGCTTGTTGTCCCGGACGAGCTCACGCTCACCCTGGTAGACCTTAATCTCGACAGCGGTCTGGAAATCGGCAGCGGTGGAGAAGACTTGGGACTTCTTGGTGGGGATGGTGGTGTTGCGGTTGATCAGGCGAGTGAAAACACCGCCGAGGGTCTCGATGCCGAGGGAGAGGGGGGTAACGTCGAGGAGAAGGAGGTCCTTGACCTCACCAGAGAGGACGGCACCCTGGACGGCGGCACCAATGGCGACAGCCTCGTCAGGGTTGACAGACTTAGCCGGGTCACGGCCGAAGATGCTCTTGACCGACTCGGAGACCTTGGGCATGCGGGTCATGCCACCGACAAGGATAACCTCTTGGATGTCCTTAGCCTGGAGGCCAGCATCCTTCAGGGCCTTGCGGACTGGCTCAATGGTCTTGCTGATAAGGGGGTCGACCATGGCCTCAAGTTGAGCGCGGGTGAGCTTCGAGTTGATGTGCTTAGGGCCGCCAGCGTCGGCAGTGATGAAAGGCAGGTTGATGTCAGTCTGGAGGGACGATGACAGCTCAATCTTGGCCTTCTCAGCGGCCTCGCGGATTCTCTGAATGGCCATGCGGTCACCCGAGAGATCGATGCCGGACTCCTTCTTGAATTGCTGCACGAAGTGGCGGACGAGGTGGATATCGAAGTCCTCACCACCGAGATGGGTGTCACCGTTGGTCGACTTGACCTCGAAAACGCCGTTCTGGATCTCGAGGATCGAAATATCGAATGTGCCACCACCGAGATCGTAGACGGCGACGACACGGTCAGCCTCCTTCTCCAAACCGTAGGCAAGGGCGGCAGCGGTGGGCTCGTTGACGACACGGAGGACATTCAGGCCGGAAATTTGACCAGCATCCTTGGTGGCCTGGCGCTGAGAGTCGTTGAAATAGGCGGGCACAGTGACGACGGCGTTCTTAATGGGCTTGCTGAGGTAAGCCTCGGCAGTCTCCTTCATCTTGTTGAGGACGAAGCCACCAATTTGGGATGGCGAGTACTTCTGACCGCGGGACTCTACCCACGCATCGCCGTTGGTGTGCTGGACGATCTTGTAAGGCACCTCCTTGATGTCACGCTGCACCTCGGCGTCGGTGAACTTGCGTCCAATTAACCGCTTGGTGGCGAAGAGGGTGTTTTCGGGGTTGACGACGGCCTGGCGCTTGGCGGCGACACCGACGAGGCGCTCGCCGTCCTCGGCGAAAGCAACGACTGAGGGGGTGGTACGAGCACCCTCGGCGTTCTCGATAATCTTAGGGGTCTTCCCCTCCATGATGGCAACGGCAGAGTTGGTTGTGCCTAACCCCGCATGTAAGTACATGATTGATCTGTGACGTAGCCGGCCGAGACTTACCGAGATCGATACCGATGACGGATCCCTTGACCTTCTCCTCCGTAGACTCGAACCGCGCGAAGGCGGGGGTCCTCCGAAGCAAGCCCGCCGAGCGGGAAGCTACTGAGGTTGCCCTGGGGAGCTATATCCGGCTGTCAGTAAAGAGCGAACAAAGCATGCCATGCGCCATACTCGGGGTCGGAACTTACGGCACGAGAAAGGCGTGTTGCCATCATTGTGAAATAAGCTAATTAAAAGAAAAACAACACCCTTCTTTGAGTAGGATGGGGGAAATCACAACAAAAGCAGACGACGGGTGGCTGGGATGGTGAAATTGATGGAGATTGAGGGAAGAGAGTCGGAGACGGCAAGTCTTCTTAAAAAGTATGGTGAAAAAATTTCAGTGCATTCGAACCTAGAAATTTCGAGAACCATTGGTTTGCAAACATGTGGGGTTCGTGCACAGACCAGTCCTCAGTCGCAAAGAAGCTGAGTGTGGGAATCGCGAAAGTCGCGCTTCCGCCGACGCCAATGCCGGAGGAAGGGGAATACCCACGTGATGGACAGGGTCATTTCTTTACCAGTCCACCAGGGTTCTTTCAGCGGCGCAGATGCAGACAACAGTTTGTTGGCCCTGGTGCCAATGTTTCTAAAGAGGTTTTAGCTGTTGGTGAGACTTAGCTACCTTAGTTATGGCAATCTGCATATATTACAGATTACAGGAACCCGGCCATCATTGCGGAGAAAGTCATTAAGCAGGTAGCGATGACGAATGCTCGTTTTCTTTCAGGTCTTTCTACACTACATTACTAGTACAGTACTTGGCAATGCTGCATCTCGGCTCGCCTCCCAACTTAACGGTCGAAGCTCTTCTCCACCTTTTTCCGCAAGTGATGAGCATGTCCTGACACACCCGCCGCCCGCTTCATTGTCTTCGGTATTTCTCCAAGCCATCGCCCTAAAAACCCAGAATACAGCGGATTCTTCTGGATAATAAACCCCACTTCGAAGGCGGCTTTATCGTCCTTGGGACTCTCGAGGATCATCAAAACGCAACTGCAGCATCGTCTCCTCGGTGATTCTTGATGGTCGCATCGCGCTGACCGTCGACGCCAAGACATCGGCACAATGGCCGTCTCGACAAACCTGTACGCCTCACGAATCTCCCACGGACCCAAAGGTGGAAAGTCATCGTACATCCCGGCAGCTGACATGGTCTGATCGCACAGATACACCCCGACCGAGGACCTGATTTTAGCAAATCCTCGCCGACGCTTTGAGACCGGGGTTCGTTGGCAGTACGTTTGAGCATCAAGGGTGGCTTTGCCATCCCCCATCCCCCTCTTGCGCGTTGCGCCGCGTGTCGTCATCGTCTAATTTCCTACCCCTAGGCATTGGCAGTTACGATCGCTCATTGGTACCGATGGCCAACACTTCGTCTACTTCCCGGTACCAGGGAGCGACAACCGGAGTTGCTCGATCCAGAGGTTAAACGCCAAAACCCGAGAAACCGAAACGATCAAACGATTACATTTTAACCCGAGGTGTCTAGTGGCACGGAATGGCTGGGTTTGCTGCGGAGGCGAGTCGGGCTTATTCAGTGCATTCCGGGTGGACGACCGGAATCCGCGGGACGGAGCCGAGAGGAGACCCGACCTGCAAGCCGACGACCGCCTTCCACTCTCTCTCGACCTTTTGGACGCCACTTCGTCGGCACTCGCAGAAACCCGAGCTGAAAAGAACCTGGTGGCGCAAAGTACTGGTTTTGGAAAGGATCGGGTGAACTGCATTACCCTCTGGTTTCCCCCGACTGTGGTCGAGCCATCGGAAGGGGCGTACGACCAGGATGTTGCGGTTCTGGCCCACAACGACAGCTCAGTCGTTGTGGTGAGTCTTCGGGACCAGAAGGTTTTGGATAAGATCACATACCCGGATTACATGAACCGAGGCGTCATCTCTCCCGACGGGCGGCTTCTCGTCGCTATTAGCGACGACCCGTACTTGTACATCCACGAAAGGAAAGAGAAGCGGCCTGAAAACGGCACAACAACCCGGGCCACCGGTCGCCCTGTGTACGAATGGGATTCATGCGGGAGATTCCAACTCAAAAGCCAGAGCAAAGACGACCGCTCTGATAACAGGTTCACACTGCTCATAACTACCTAGCCACCATATATCTGATCGCTAACCTTTGACAGGGGGAGTTTTGCGGCATGCTTCTCTAGCACGGGTCAATACCTCGCCGTGGGTACCCAGTACGGGACCATCTCGATATTCAACGTCGCTGCCCTCACCGTGTCGAAAGCAAATGCGTTGATGACGGCGTTCAGTGCCTCCCGACCGAATGCGGAATTTGGCGCTGTGAGAGACATGGCATTTTCTCCTGGCCCAGTTGATCTCCTAGCCTGGACTGAGGACCGCGGCCGTGTGGGCGTCGCCGATATCCGTACCGGCTTCGACTCTCGGCAGATCCTCTATCTCGACAAGGACAATGATTTCGAGGGCCTGACTGTTATCGACCGGGGGACTATTGATCCCCGACTCCTGGAACAGCGGACTGACCGAAATGAGTATTCATTGGAAGGCTTTTCGGCCGCAGCAGGTTCCAATGCAGAAAATCAGGCATCTCGCTCAGAAGACCAAGCAATCTTATCACGATACAACATCCCTCTAACCGCGGAAGAGACGGGTGTTTTGGAGGCGATTCAAGATTTCCGCCGACGACAGGATCAGTACGGCGCAGCGGGCAATCGAACAAATACAGAAAACAATGGCAGTAACACCAACAATAACCCCAGCAACAACACTAGCAACAACCCCAGTAACAACAGCGGCGCCGCTGGTGGGTCGGCCACTAGCTCAAGGCCACCTCCATGGGCAGAAAGATCGGGGCGGGCGGCGGAAAACGCGCGTGGGGAGCGTACAGCGAGCGTGTCGCGCACCGTCATCGAGATCTTGGAAAACATTCGGGACCAGAGAGAGCGGATTCGGGATACGCATGAGCGTCTGCGGACGCGGGAGGACAACACTGCTGAGAGACGCCGGTATGCAGCCAGCCCCCTTTCTGGACTTAACACGGCCCTGGGGCCCGCGGGATCCGGAGCCGTCGGACGAAGCGCGCTAGTCTCGCGGCTCATGGCAAACACTACAAATCCCGCTTCCCCGGCCAGCTGGGACAACGTCGAGGCTTTGTACGACCCCTCACCCAGTGGGAACGTGCCTCGCGAAACCGTACCCTCGAGGACTGTTGACTCTGGGCCCTCTGCTAACCCGGTGCGGCGGTATAGAGCGGCTTATCTCATGCGCGAATGGGACGAAAACCCCACCCGGCGAACGCTTGGGTCCTACATGACTGCGCATTCGCGACCTGGGCCAAATGACACGGCCGGTTTGTCGTGGAGCGAGAATGGGCATAGTCTGTAAGTCGACCTTAGCTTGGCCCCCCTGCCCCCTTTTGAAGGAATCGTCTAATATCACTCGCAGGTTCGTGGGTGCCGAGAGCGGCATTTACGAGTTCAGCGTCAATCTGTTTGGTCGGAGGCTCTCTCCGACTATCACTTTCAGTTAAGTCTGATATTTGGGATGTGTATTGGATGGGCCGTAAACATTGCATGGTAAAGGGCGTCATGGTGTTTGAGTAACTGTGGATGACCGAGACTGTCACTAGCTCTGGTATCATCGGGATCTTTTTGGATATGGCGATGTTATTTCGATGGTAAAAAACTCGCGGTTTGGTTTGAATCGGCTAGGTTGGTCTAATCACAACATAATTAGGCTCGGGAGGTATACGGACATAGCAGCAGGGACGGCGTGGTTGGCTGCGCTCTTCACACAAACTGGCTATCAACGGGCAGAGCGCGGGCATAGGATTGGATTTAAGTATATAAAAGCTTTCTCACCCTTTCTGCTATGGCCAGACAGCTTGTGAGTCCCGGACTCTCGATGTTCAGGAGGTTGATCCACCCTTGATAACCTTCCTCCTTCTGGATCACAAAATCCACGAACCCTTTCCCTTGTGCCACCGCCCCTTGCTTCCCGAGCTTGGGCCTTATCCCAGCGTAGTCGGGCTGCAGCTGCATCTCGTCCAGCCCCGGGAGATACTTCTTCACCTCGGCCACCGTCTGTGCCCGACGCGACTCGGTCACGGCCAAGTCATCAGGAGAATCAACCCACTCAACATCTGGCCCAAACTTGATCCTTCCGCCCAAGTCCAGCGTCAAATGCGTCCCCAGCCCCGCCTGACCCGGCTCCGGCGCGGGATACACCAACGTCTTCACGCTGGGACTCGACGCCCCATACGAAAAATAGTTCCCCTTGGCATAAAACATCTCCCTCCGTTGCTTAGGCGGCACAATCATATTATTGACCGCCACCGCCCCCAGCCCAGCCGAATTAACAATCGTCTCCGCCGTCACCGTCGACACCTCCCCGGTAGCCCCATCCCGCACCGTCAACTCCCATCCGCCACTCCCATCCCCCCCCAACGGCACCACCTCCTCCACCTCACTCCCAAGCGCCAGCGTCCCGCCCGCCTCCTCAAACTGCCCCAACAGACACATCATCAGCGCATGGCTATCCACGATCCCCGTCGTCGGACTCTCCAACACGCCACTCTCGGCGCGCACGGCGGGCTCGCGGCGCGCGGCCTCGTCGCGCCCGACCCAGCGCACCGGCACGTGCAGCTCGCGGGTGCAAAAGTCGTGCAGCCGCTGCAGGGCGGCGCGCTGCGCATCCGTCTGCGCCACGATCCATTTGCCCGTGCGCCGGTGCGGGATGTCGTGCGCGGCGCAGAGGTTGTAGAGCAGCGCTTTGCCCTGCAGGCAGAGCGTTGTCTTGAGCGTCCCCGCGCCGTAGTACAGCCCTGCGTGGATGACCTCGCTGTTGCGTGAGGAGGTTTCTGTGCCGACGGAGGTGTGCCGTTCGAGGAGAAGCGTGGAGCTGCTGCCGCCGTTGTGGGTGGAGGAGGAGGAGCGCTGGGCGAGGGCTCGCGCGATGGCGAGGCCAACTACCCCGCCGCCAATTACTGCGTGGGTGAAGTCGGCCCCTAACTGGGAGAGGTTGGGTGTAGTTTGGGAGAAGGGGCGGGTGGCAGCGGTGATGGTGTTGTTGGTGGCATGTTGACCGCGGAGGAGGAGGGGCAGCCTTCGACCGAGACCGGGGCGCATCCTGGGCCGAGGTTGATTTAGAATCACGAGCGCCTAGAAATTTGGCAGAGAAGGCAGCCGCCTCCTGACCGACTGAAATCGTTCCGGGTGGCTGGTAAAGGAGCTGACCCCGGGTCCGGAATGGGTGTGGTGGTGCATGTGTGCGGTGTGCATCAATTGAGTTCACATTGTGTTCAATCTCTTTGAACGGTGTGGAACTCATAGTTAACAGGGGTGTCAACGGCAGCAAGTACGCATGTGTATGTATGTAAATTTAGTAAGAGAAAGCAATGCTCGCTCACGAAAAAGAAGATTCAACAAAAGGGAACTAAAATAATCTGAAAGAGGTTCTTGAGTTTTGATGGCTATGACTTCTACCAAAATTAGCCTCAAGACAGTGTCTCATGGCCCCCAGGGTGTATGTTGTAGGTGAGTTGGTCTAAGTGGTGTGAGTGTCTGATGTTGGAGGCTCGGCAGAATGGATCAACCCATGACTCTCAACACCGACACATGGTAGTTCGGGCTGTTACATACAATAATGCCCTTGACAAGCCGAAACCTGCCAAATAACTCAGTCAGGATCAAATCAAAACACCACACGTTATTTCAGTGGTTCCATCGACGTCAAGCGTCAAGCGTCGTGCAACGGTGATCAACGGGAGGCTGGGACCACCCGTTTCATCATCGGGTCTCCCTCTGGCCAAAAAAAGCCGAACTCGAAATGGGAGAAGAAGTCAAGAAAAGAGAAAGAAGTACAAAAGAAAACGAGGAAAAATAAGTAAAGGAAACTGAGCAAAACTAATCAAATAAAAGGGACCCAGGAAAGTAAAAGGCAGAGCTTGGTCTTCCAAATGGCCTGTTTTTTTTTTTTTTTTTTTTTTTTTTTTTTTTTTTTTTTTTTTTTTTTTCGTTGCTTTCGTCAAAGGCTCCGTCGTTGCCCACACTTGGAGTTCGGCTTTTTTTGTCCATAGGGCAAGGGTACAGGTGGAATGGCGCAGAAAGAGAGAAAAAAGGCAATGCCTGTGCCCCACATGGCGCTAACAGGAAGTCCCCAAACAAGGGTCCGGTGCCGGTTGTTGCGTCACGCGTCACGCGTTAACGCCTCTGAGCCGTTGAAGCACCCCACCACCATTCCATTCTGCAGAAGGTCGGAATGAGACAAAGCATGCCACTAATTTAGAGCAGGCCACAGCCGTTCACCGTTCTCGACCATGCCCCAAAGACCTTGATGATTTTCTCACGGGTTATCGTTTGATCAGGCAGCACTCTCTCATCGGTGAATTATTGATTCAGCCCCGAAGAATAATTGCTCAGAGTCAGTCACACCCACAACCCACACCGTGGCAGCTCAGCTGTTTGCACCGGGACCGACCCTCGTTAACCAGGCTCCAGCTGCAGCTACCAATTCCGGCATTCTCCCAGTTCAGTCAGTCGACTCGCCACCACCACACCACCAACCACCACCGAAGTCCCCTATCTTTGGTGATATCTGCCCATCCAGTTCGTGGCTAAAGCTGTGCTTTCCAATTCTCACTCGACAATTTCGGTCACGAACAGCTTGTGCAGCCTTACTACTCAAGATGGCGCCCGATGGTGAGCTCTCGAGAGCTCTGAATGCAGACAACCCTCTCTCATCCTCCCCTGCGAGACATCCGTCGATCTCTCTCCAGGCTGCGGCAACTCTGAACGCCGGGTTGCAGCGAGAGTCACCCACTAGGGGTAGGTTATCATTATTGTGAACGACCTTGGTACCATTGTGCTGATATCGAGCCATTTGCCCAGGGTCCCCAAATAGCCCCTTGTCTCCTCGCAACCAATCACCGAGCACTGGCCGCCGTCGTTCCCAGGTCCTCATGAACCTCCAAATGGCCAACCCCTCGATGCCAGCGCCCGGCGAGATGGTCTCAGAGAGCCCGACAAACGGCTATCACAATGGCATCCCGGGCCCCGTAGCTGCTTCTCCCCGCCTGATTGCAAGCAGAACGCCCCACCACAACCGGACTCCCAGTCTTGGTGAGCTTCACCAAGAGTTGGAGAACGAACAAGAGTTCCAGGTCAACCGGCTGCTTACCCAAATCCGCCAGCTGCAGGAGCAAGTCCAACGCCAGCAGCAGCAGGCTGGCGTTGCTGGCGATGAAGCGTCGGAGCGATCTGCGCCGGGCCCTGCCCCGGTAGCGGTACCCGTCCCGAACATGACGTCGTCCCCGCAGCCCATGTTTCCGAGCTCCGGCTCCCTGCCGCGGTCTCCTGTTTTCCCGCGCAGCTCGTTCGATATGGCCCGCGCCGACTTGCGTCACCGGTCTAGGACCCCCAGCCGCAATGCCTCGCCCAGGCTGCGCTCCACGTCCATCAGCGCCGACAGCGGCGAGCCGTGGACCCTGGCCGGTCGTGACGAGAGCGCTTTCTACCAGGCCGAGTCGCAAATGCTGATCCGAGAGAATCAGATGCTTCGGCATCGGATCCGCGAGATGGGTGAGTTTCCCTTTCCCTAGTTCACAGTGTCTTGAGCCTCGCCAGTTATTAAGTCGATCGAACAGAGCGCCAGCTTTCTGAGCTGCAGGGCACCAATACGTCATCGCTGGCCCACGAACCGTCCCAGTCTTCGCACTTGAACCACTCCGTGTCGGCCTCTGAGGAGGATGCTGCTAAGATCGCGTCCACAGCCGCCACGCAGGAGCAGACGGTCAAGGGGGAGTGAACGCGACAAGCCGTCTTGGGCCGATGGCCATGCCGCCGCGTGGCTGAGAATCAAGTGGGTATGAGATGGCTTCGTAACGGTGTTTTTATTAGGCTACGTTGCTTCCCTAGAGGGATTTCGCAAGATTCTTGCCGCATCGATCGGGCGGCTTATCGACTTGTTCTGGGAGTTTGGGCCTGGGCTTTTTGTTTTTGCAAGATTTCGGCGGGTCTTTTGCCTCGATGAGTAGCCCTGTTTCTGGGATTTACCTCCGGGCTGAAGTATACGGGATTTACTCGTACTATCTGGGATTGGTAGCATATTTAAGGAACGGAGGGTGGCGTTCAGTGGTGGTGGATCTGATAGCTATTGTATGAGTAACGACACGATGATGATAACTAGGTGGCGCTGCCGCGGGTTTCTTATTTGCCAAATAGACCATCAAACTTCTCTCGGGCCTTGGGCACTCTCTAGCAGTTATGAAAGCGACGAAACAGAAACACAATTGCAAGAGTCTCATTCAGCACATTGACGATTTGTCGACGAGCTGGGCAGCTTGGAGACTCGGCAATGGCCCCCCGGCAAGCCCTACCGGAATTCGGTGGAGTTGCCCACCGGCCAGGGGCCCGCCTGAGCTAAAATAGCCGAGCTCTCGGCTCTTATGTACAACCTTGCACGGTCATTACCGGGGGTATTTGATTGTTGACAGGTTCTTGGTCAGCTCGTACGCGTTCGTTACTTGTTTGTTCATCAAGACCCGCCAACCCCCTTGACGTGGCATTTCCGACGATGTCTTTATTCTCCGTGAAGTGGGTTTGACGTTTCTCTTTCGAGAAGATGTTTCCGTGATGACCAACTTGGCGGGCGGTCAAATCAACGTTTTGGCCGGCGTGGCTTGGCCTACCAATTTCGATTACACATGGCGCGAGCTAATGCAGGAACCAAAAAAGAAGGAAAAAAAAAAAGTTGGTCGAAGCTTGCAAGCCCCCGAGTTCCTTTCCTCGTCTGGGCGGGTTGGCAGGCAGGCAGGCAGGATCGCATCGCGGCGGATGGGACTGCCGCCCGTCCGTCACTAACTCACACTAGTGTTAGGGGACGGGTCCTGTTTCTGTCTCTTCCCTCCCCTCCAGGTCGGGGTCGCCCTGGTTGATCTGTGTGACCGTTATGTTTCATGGCAAGCGCGGATGCCCCCCGGCCCAGCGATGCCCAGTGAGCTGCGATCAGGCTTCCGGTCCTGGGGTTCACCTTTCGGCTGCAGAGAATTGGACGGCGACGCGCCTTGCCGCGACCTGGCCCTGCCCGGATCCGGATCAGGATCGCCGTTGTCTCGCCTGTGCGAGGCCCCGTTTCTCCAGTTGGTTCAAGGAGGGGGGGACGGCACGGTCCCCGACTAGAGCCCCACTTCGGTGGTTTTCGCCCGTGGACGACGAGATGACTTCGCGGGGAGCTGCTTGAGCTGGAGAGGGTGGGACGGGCTGGTTCCTCCGTTGGTGATGAGAAACACGCGTTGGGGTGACGCAGCGCTGCGCCTAAACGGGACCCTAAAGCCAATCGCGAGGTTAACTTTCTTGTGCAACTTGGCGATGCATCAGCCCAGAGAGCTGATGTGGAACTGAGCGGTTCAGCACACGAGGTTCACGGCCCGCTTCGGGATATCATGGAAGATTTTCAGAAGCATCTTGGCGGAACTGCCGAAGCCACCAGGCGTGGGAGGCGCCCATTCAGAAACAACTGGTGGCTGTCAACTCGCATTTGTTTCGCATCTCCGGCCCCTGCTCCTGAGGCGAGTTCCGGAGGCTGAAGAAGGCGGGCATCTGCGTAACGGACATCAAAAATTGGGCGTCGTGTACCCCTGCGTGGAAGGTGGTTGGGGGAGGCGGGTTGACTCCCTCCATTACGTGCTTTATAATTTGAGACATGAGAGCAACAAGTCTTCAATAACCTGGAGTTTGTCGCCGCGAAGTTTGTTGCCGGCGGTTGCAGGTCGAAAATTCGGATCTTCATCCAGGCTGACCCGCCTGCAACGTCGAGCTTGGCTCGGAAACATCACCCCTGAATGATACCACCTGAGCAAGGGTCGCCCCATCCAAAGTGGAAACCGATTCGACAAGGACCCCCGGGGTCGAATCCCTTGCTCGGGACTCGATTCCAATGGGCTTGGAGAATTTGTTTTTTTCCTTCATTTCTTTCTGTCATGCTGTTTTGAGAGGACCTTTTTGTCTGTCAGCCATGGACTTGAAAGATCTCGGATTCCAAAAAACAGAGACTTTCTGGCTTCAGCGGGATTCAGAACCTCGAAGCTGAGACAGGCGCAGGAGATCTCTGTATGAACTGAGACCGCGATCGGACGTTGCACAACAATTGGAAAATGATGCCAAGATGAATCCCCAGTGACACCCAACAAGGAATCCCCGAGACGTTGTGGCGGCTGTTCCTGAAAATTATGGGCCATGGTTGGGTTGGCGCAGCCGCAAACCCTGGTCAAGGTTCAAGGCCCTTTTGACTTGTCTCTGGAGCCTAGCTACCTACCACAGTATGCTCTTGTCCCCTCCAATTTATATAGCGTTTGCCTGCCCCCGGCTGCGCATCCTCGCTCCTCTCTGTCGGTGCCGAGTCTCTCAGGTCGCTCCAGCCGTCCGTTCTTTCCTTAACTATAACCACCGGACCTAGCCTATCACCCCTCCCTGCGGCGCGCGGCACAGCCAGCTTTGGCTTCTTAACGTATATTCGGCAAAGCAGTGGCTATATCGAATCTCCGGTCCATTGTCCACTCTCCTTGCGCCATCCTACCCGGGGATCCGTGTCCCGCACCACCCGGAGCCGGGAACGCGCCTGCATCATTTTGTTGATTGCTTACCCTTTTTTTTTTTCACGCGTCTGCGTCCCATCCTTCTGCCGCTTCTTTCCCTCTTATTTGTTTTTCTTGCTCTGCAAGTCTTACAACAACGCATTATAGAATCTGCCGTGGCAGCACACTCGTTTTTGCATCCACGCCCGGCGCTTCTTGATGACACGCGCATCTTCCGACTGAATGGATCTGATCTGGGCATTGCGGTACTTGAATACCAAACCGTCATCATTCGTCAATACATACCACGTTTAAGCGGTACATTTGCCGTGTTCACTCGTTTTTGCAACCACCACAACGGACATGCACGACTTCCTGGATCCGGCCTCCCCTGAGAGGCCGGAACTCAGCAACAGCCAAGGTTCACATCTTAGGAGGATACGACCCCCTGATCCGCATGCCGAGGCCGCAGAGGCAATCAGAATACCGCTACGGCCCGAAGCTGGGGACAAGGCGCGCAGGCGGGAATCGAGGCTGGGACTGAGGAACATATTTGGCCGGGGCAAAGGCGTGTCTGATGCGGATACAGGACCAGCTTCACCACGAGATGCGCCCCAAAGACTCGGGGGGATACGGGCCTCGTTGGCAGAGATCAATTGGCCTTACGGTTCCCAAAGTGCACCCGGACACCGATCCGAAATTTCGCTCTCGTCCTTCTCTAAGGTTCTACCCGCCGGCCAGGCCTTGAAGCACAAGAAATCGGAAAGCGTTGTCCGCCAGCAGTCGAATCCGGAGGGCATCGCCTCTTGGGACCCTCCTCGGTTGTTTCAAGCGTACCCACAGGCCATCAAGCATGCCCACCTCCCTGCCTGTACCGTCCCCGCCGAAGTCGTTCTCCGGATGCATGCCCACAAAGGCAGCGGCTCACTCGCCGGGTTATTGAGTCCAAGGGCAACTGATGCGCCCGAGGACGCGATTGGAGAGAAACCGAGGAGGGGGCACCGAAGGAATGGGTCCGGTTCGACGTCGAGATTCGAGTGGACGACCAAAATCTACGTCCTCGCCACTTCGGGATATCTGCTGCAGTATGCGGGCGAGGGCGCTTTCGATCGACTCCCGGAACGAATCCTCCAGTTGGGGAAGGATTCGGCAGCATTTGCAAGCGACGCTATTCCTGGCCGTCATTGGGTCATCCAAGTTTCGTCTGTCGCAGAGATGGACCGGGTTCCTGGTACCCCAACTTCTCTCCGTGCACGACTTCCTTTCCGCGTTCAAGAGCGGAGGCAATCATCCGCTTTTCTGATGGTGTTTGAGAACGTCGATGACATGGAAGGCTGGCTTGCAACGCTGCGGCGAGAGATCGAAACGCTCGGCGGACGGAAGATCTTGTCAGAGACAGGGAAACCTAAGACTGGAGACGATCATGCGCGATTGAGAAATCAGTCAAGCCAAAGGACTCTAGTTACGAGAGATCCGGATCGATTCTCCCGAGTCATGACTCCTCCCGATCAATCATGGAACCAGGGCCTACCGATAATGAGTCCCAGCCCCGAAGCCCCCGTCCGCGACCAGTCGTTCGATGGCACATCGACCGCGAGCTTCATCTCACACGAAGGCAGACAACTCGACGCACTGAGAGACAGTTATAATCGCCTTTCATTCATTTCCTCGGGTCAGCGGACTATGATCACATCGGTAGGGTCATCGCCAGCGTGTTCGCCGGTCCGAGATTCCTTTGGAGAGTTCGATCCTATGCCCGAGCTCCCGGAACCCGAGGACCAGTCGCATCCGAGGCTCAGACCGAACGCGAAGGCCATTATTGATCGGAGGCAGTCGCTCCAGACGATCAATCACGTTCTAGAGATGGGCGTTGCCTCGGCTCAATCCCACCGGCCGATATCGACGTTCTCAAACTCCGGGCAACCGGATGCAGGTGTACAGTTGCCACCAGCGCCGCAATCCCCACACAACTTCAACGCGCTTCAGAGTGCCAATAAACGGCATTCTATTGGCAGGAATACCTCGGGAATGCCACCGACACAGGTGACGACATCTTCCCTGCTTGGGCGAACTAGCACCCGGAGGCCACCACCGTCAGCCTTGTCCATCAACCCGCGCCCATTGTCGTTGGTTGAGGATCACCCTTCGCCCGCCCTGTCCGCCCTTAGCCGAGCCGGAACGACAACTGAAGGCACCAGAAGCCCTCTGTCGGCTACCCCGATCACCTCACCGATCACCCTGCTTTCGCCGCACCGAGCCCTAATCGAAGCGGCGAAGCGGATTCGGGACGAGTCGATTCGGGACTCGGGCATTTCAACACACGAAACTCCCTCAGAGGTTGCATTGCCTATGGACCACCGGTCTTCCAATGCTCCATCGGACCGCTACTCGAAAGACTACAGCGTGGTCCCATCGCCCGGGCTGCCGCCCCCCAGTCCCCACGACATACCCAGGTCCAGCACGTCACTTGGTACTTACGGGGAGCCTCAACGAGGACCTCTGGCAGCTGGAAAACCGATAACACGAGGCCGGCGGCTCAGCTCGTCTTCCCAGCAAACCGAAAGGGCCGGCCTTCTCTCTCCTCCTTCCATCCGGCCAGACTTGACACAACGGCCCCACACGCCAACGTTAAGATCGGTGCCGAGATCATCGCAGCACCTCAGGCTCGACCCGCCATCCCATACGGCTTATCAGAGGCGGAGCTTGTCACAACTGGCTGCCGAAGGGCCACCACCTGCTCCCCCTCCGAGCCGCGCTCTTCCTCCCCTCCCGCCAAGGACGAATGGCCCACCGCCAGGGTTCATCTGAGGAACTTTTTACCTCCACGGAAATGTATAGCTTCTTGTGACTCCAGTCCTGAACGAAGCACCCGCCCCCCTTGGGGCGAATCAGGGTACGCCGTACCACAGAACGACGTCTTTCACGATTTTGTATAGAAACTACGACCGGTGGGGGTTTGATTTTGTTTTACTGTCGTCTGCTTGGGTAGTCAGGCGTCTTGGGAAGGGTTGGTGTTAATGTTAAATTGCTGTTGGGTGGAGGGCATCTAATGAGGAAAGCTATACCCAACGGATGACAGTCGACGACGACATTATTTCCTTTTTTTTTTCCCTTTTTTGGATGATATAGTAGTATCTTGAATTATATAGATCCATCAAAACGAACATGGACAGTCTGGCGGCGAGTTATCTACCATCCCCGCTTGTACTAATTAAGCCACCCTCTGTGGATACAACATACTGTGACCGTACACTCACGGAACAAATGTTCTGTCGGCTTGGTTTATGCGTGCTAGGTGGGAGATACAGAACGGCTCCGTTGCCTTGAGAATGCCTTTTCCCTTTTCGACTCATGAGTTCCCCTGACTGAGCATCTGTGGGCATGTGCATTTTGCGATATATAGACAGTGCTAGATGCAGCTTTACACAGTACCCCTGCTTTCAGCACCCGACTTACTGCAACCAAAACTCGAAGTGACGTGTAAGTAAAAGGGGGTAATAGATACGCTGTACGTCATGTAGGAGCAGGCAGAAATTAAATGTAGGTTCCCGTTTAGATAATGGCCAACAGTGCAACATACCGAGAGGAAGGAGAACAAGTTAAAGCACTGTATTTTTATCAACCCAACTTCCACCTTTTCCACCAATTTTCGCCCCACACTGGAATATCCCAAAAATTCGGCGGCCCTGGAACCTCAACTCCCCACCCCCACCAAACCCCCGACCACCAGACAACATCGATCAAGGCGATACCGCGCAGACCCGCCGCATCCCAGATCACACATACCGCAAAGATGGCGACCCAAACAAAGTGAGTACGAAAGGCCCGATATTTCTTTATCCCCGGCTCTGACCTAGGACTTTCCAGGCACGACTGGGCGGACGACGAGGACCTCGAGGAGACAACCACAACGACAGCCCCGACGACGGACCTGCCGCCGCCGCAAAAAATCCAGAACAAGGACGGAACATGGACCATCATTGAGTACCGGATCAACGACCTGGGGCAAAAGGTCAAGGCGACGCGGCGCGTGCGCTACGTGGTCCGGCGCGAGGTGGTCAATCCGCGGGTGGCGGAACGCAAGACGTGGGCCAAGTTCGGCGACTCGGCCAACGACCCCAAGGGCCCCGCGCCCGACACAACGACGGTGGGCGAGAACATCATCTTCCGGCCGTCGGTCAACTGGCGCAAGGAGGCCAAGGACGAGGCCAACGACCCCAACGCCCAGGCCATGAAGGATAAGCTCAAGGACAAGAAGGTCAAGTGCCGTATCTGCAACGGCGAGCATTTCACCGCCCGCTGCCCCTACAAGGACACCATGGCCCCCATCGGCGAGGCCGGTCCCGCCGATGTGGCTGCGGGCATGGGCGACGAGCCAGCCGCTGCGGGGCCCGCGGCCGCTGGCGCGGCTGGTGCTGGCAAGAAGGGCTCGTACGTTCCGCCTGCGATGCGTGCTGGTGCCGGTGGTGCGCAGGGCGAGCGGATGGGTGGCAAATATGGCGAACGGGACGACTTGGCGACGCTTCGTGTTACAAACGTGGGTTTTTTTTTCTCTTGGTGTTATACCGGGGTATCTTGGTGGGACTGCTTACTAACCTCGTCATCTTACCGCAGGTCTCCGAGATGGCAGAGGAGCAAGAACTACGCGACATGTTCGAGCGGTTCGGTCGCGTCACTCGCGTCTTCCTGGCTAAGGATCGCGACACTGGTATGGCTAAGGGCTTTGCGTTTATCAGTTACGCAGACCGCGACGACGCCGTCAAGGCTTGCAACAAGATGGACGGCTTTGGTTTCAGGCATTTGATCTTGAGGGTTGAGTTTGCCAAAAAGGCCCAGTAAGCTTAGTGGCAATGAAACAGGAGGGTGTGTGGCCTGGGAGGATTGGGACTAGACTGGGAATCAAAAGCGGCTTGCTTTGCGGTTTGCGGGCTTCATGAACGAGCTATATCTTCCAATGTGGTTACAGCGATGATTGTTTCCATGACTGGGGCGGTTGGTAATGTCCTCGGGGGGGAGCGAGCGGTATTCAAGCTCCAGGCCAAATGTCCGGTCGTTTAGCCCAGCGCATGAATGAACAGACCTCAGTGTTGTTGAGCCACAACTTGGTTAATTCGACACCATGAGAACACTAATGCCGGGCAAAATGTTTATTATCTTTTTCTTCAAGCATGATTAAATCAAGGGCTTCGCACAAATCCCGCCCCTTCAACCACACCTGCTAATTCTGAACCATATTTCGTCAAGTGACAAACTGTAAATGACAAAGCAGACGGCAAGTCGGGGACTCCTAAACACAGCCAGAACGCTCTTCCCCACCCGATAAACCAGTCTCCCACCCAACTGGGAAGATTCTAGCGGCCGTGATGCCCCCGTTTTATAACCGTATCCATGCCTCATCAAGTCATTAGTACAAGAAGGGTATTACGGCTGACGCCGGCGAAAAGCAAATCAAAAACAGAACGGCTAAGAAAAGTCTGCTGCGCAGAGGCGAGTTGAGAGTGAGTGTCTGGTTTTGACGGCGCATGGTACTTGCCAGCGCCGTCGTACCGGAGTGGAATAACAGCAAACAAACAGATGTAAGCCATAAACAGAAAGGCAGAAAAAGCAAACGAAGTCAGAACGAAGACATAGAAAAAAAGAACGACGGAATGTAGAAGCCGAACGGTAAAGCACCGAAGGGCGTCTGCGCAAGTGTGTGTGTGTGCCTCTCCCTCCCTCTTCATCTCCCTTTTCATCCTTCTCTCCATCCCCGTCTTCATCTCCCTCTTGCCCATTTTGGGAAACCCCACACCTCTTCAACCTCCCCCCCCCCCACCACCTCTTCAAACAACCTTCACCTCCTCCCCTTCCTCCCTCGCGCCCCCATCTCCCTCCCCCAACTTCTCATCCAGCCTCCTCTTCATTTCCAACACCTTCCGGCGCTTCTCCTCCTCCCCCTTCAGCCGGCGCGCCTCGCGCTTCTCGCGCAGCACGTACGGCCACCCCTTGACGACGGCCGTCAGCAGCCGCAGGCCGAGCCCAAAGTGCTCACGCCCCTGCTTGAAGTGCTCCTTGGCGTCGGCATAGTTGGCCCGCGTCGCCGCCGACCGCTTCTTGGCTCGGTACGCGCGCTCCGCGCGCTCCGCCTGCCGGAACTTTTCCGACGCCTGGCGCCGCGTGACTTTGAGCGCCGCTTCGGTGCCGGAGGTGCCGGGGCGTTGGGGCTTGTCGGTAGAGGGGTCGGGGAGGGGCTTGGAGTCGCCGTCTTCTGTGGCGGGGAGGGAGGGGGTCCGGGGACGGGGTGGGTTGGTTTGGCGGGGCATGGTAGTGGTGGTGGTGGTTGTAGTGGTGGCTTTGGGCGTGCGGAACATTTGATAAAGAGTGGACAGGCTGTGGTGAGGCCTTGTTTTTTGTTTTGTTTTGTTTTGTTTTATGAACGAGTGACTGAGTAAGTGAGGAGGGATTCTAGAACCAGAGCCGAGGAAACGAAGAAAAGAAAGAGGGAAACATCAAGGGAGACCAGCTTCTGATTTTATTTCCCCGCCCTTCCCTCCCTCTGTGACTCCCTACCATTTCCTCGCCTGCCCTACCTTGTCGGGTCTATGAAAAGAATTCTCGTCATTGGAGAGACCACAAACTCCCTTGTTGGGTCCGGAGAATACCAGTGTCCATCAAGTTCATGCGATGTTGAAGACCCCTGGAGCCAAGGAAAGATCAAGGTCACTGACGGCCTATGGCAGCTGGCTGACAAGTGCGCAACGGCCGATGGTTCTCGAAGCATGACAACCTCATCAAACCCAATGAGACGCCAGCACATATGCACGTCGGCGGCGTGGACAGTTGAATGGTCGCACATGCCCTGCTGCACCCAGGCTCTTGGATCCAGGTCGATGCAACTCCGAAACATATTTTTTTCAGGAACCGTTGATGGACATCCAAGGAGCCAAGATCAAGGACGGGATGTCTTGCGCAACGACCGAGCACGAACCGCCAGGGACCAATGCGCTGGAATGCCCTGGAAACTGGCCGAGAGAAGATGCGGGTCTCTCTGTTCACGCCCCGCAAGCCATCCGACTGGCTAGATCGAGGGCCCCATGGGCAACCCACAAAAGTGCTCCACGGGGAGAGCATGTGAAAAAAAGCAGGATCCCCGGTCAACGAACAAGCCTTGCCAATTGCCAACTGTCACCCGGTGAATTGGACCTCTACCCAGGACAACTGTACAACTGCCGGCAATTTACAACAACCGCCCTGTTTTTGTGACGTCGTTTTCGAATCCTGTCAGCGGCAAACCCGGCTTGTTAAAATATTCATTACCCAAGTCGACCAAAGCGCACTCACTCCCACCCACGCTTTCGTGGCGGCACGGCAAGCTTAAATTGTCTTGGCGTTACGAGACCTGTTGGTCTGTCTGGGGGTCAGGTGTCACACGAGCGAACTCGACATTGCCCCTCGGGCATTCCCACATTCCTATCGTTTTCCTAAACATCGCAAAACATCACTGCTTCCCCGGTGATGCTACTAAAGCTCAACGCTTATCTCTGCTAATCGGTCTTCAACACCGAATCTTGAGAATGAGCACATCGACAGCCGAGCCCTCTGGGCTCGACAATGTCCGCCATCGAGCAAGAGCCGCATCGTCAATTTCAACTGATACCGCGCCCGAGGCTGTGACAGAAAAGGAGAGGGAGGCTCGTCCTAATAAGACGTATGGCCGCACTCCGGATGGAACAGGTATGCAAACCTCCAATTCCACGAGGTTGGACGGCCATGGTTGGGGGCGCAATGCTGACCGAGTTTTGCCTGTGTGCACCTCCAGTTTTCGTCGTACCCGAAACTCACGATATGGTGTCACAACTCCTCGACCCCCGCGAACCTAAAAACCTCTCCGACGTTCTGGTTCTGGCAATCCTAGCCCTACATATCTGGGCCGCATACGCGCTCCCCTCAAGCCTTAAGCGCCCCATCTTTGCTCTTATCTTCCTCTTCTGGCGGGCTTCGTACAATGTGGGGATAGGTTATCTCTTGACCGTCCAATCCAACTATAAGCTTATGGTTATCTGGGCCAAGCGGATGCAGCTCTTTGAGAACCCGTCTACCGGCAAGAACCCACGCCCGTGGCTCTACCAGCTACTCCAAAATGAGCTCGAGGCCAAGATCCCCAAGGATTACAAGATGGCCGAGGCACCCCTCGAGTACAACACCTGGCTTGTCTTCCGCCGCGTCGTGGATCTCATTCTCATGTGCGACTTTGTCTCATACTGCCTGTTCGCCATCGTATGCGCCCACAAGCCGGTAAGCGAGGGCTTTGCCATTGCTGCCGCCCGTTGGGTCATCGGCATCGCTCTCGTTGGCTTCAACCTGTGGGTCAAGCTGGATGCGCACCGAGTCGTCAAGGACTACGCCTGGTACTGGGGCGGTAAGTGACAAATTATCCCGTTGAGACTTTGTTGCAGTGATGCTGACTCTTACAGACTTCTTCTACCTCATTGAGCAGGAGCTTACGTTTGACGGTGTGTTCGAGATGGCCCCGCACCCCATGTACTCCATTGGTTACGCCGGGTACTATGGTATCTCCATGATGGCAGCGAGCTACGACGTGCTCTTCATTTCTATCCTTGCGCACGCCGCCCAGTTTGCCTTCCTGGCCATTGTCGAGAACCCTCATATCGAGAAGACGTACAATCCGCCCCCGCCTCGCCAGCGTGCCGAGTCCGAGGTTAGCAGCTCCGAAGCCACCGCCGAGTCTTTCAGGAAATCAACCAAGACCCCGTCGACTCCCTTGCCCGTCCACAACATGGTTGGCGTCCACAACTTTGACCCTTTCCGCATCACCGATTACACCTCTGTACTCCTCGTCGGTTGCTTCGCGGCTCTTGCCCTCGTCACTCCGTCCACCCCGATCTACCAGGCCCTTTTCGTGGTCAACGCCATCGTTTGGCGCCTGTGGTACTCGGTCGGTCTTGGCGTCATCTTGACCAAGCAGTCCAACGAGAAGATGTTCACCAGGCACTTCCTCAAGTTTGGCGAAACTGCGGCGGAGGCTTGGCGTCAGTGGAAGGGCATGTACCACTTGAGCATGACTCTGTGCTACGTCTCATTCCTCGCTGCGTGCTGGAAGATGTACAACTATCCGGCGGACTGGGGCTACGGCTGGGTCCTCCTGAAGCACGTGGTTGGCATCAGCTTGGTGGCACTTCAGATCTGGACCGCCACCAGCATCTACGAGTCCCTTGGCGAGTTCGGCTGGTTCTACGGTGATTTCTTTTTCGATAGCACCGGAAAGCTCACTTATAAGTCCATCTACCGCTTCCTGAACAACCCGGAGCGCGTCATCGGCACTGCTGGTTTATGGGGTATGGCCCTCATCACCTGGAGCAGCCCCATCTTTCTGATTGCGCTCATCGGGCATATCCTGACCCTCGGCTTCATCTCATATGTCGAGAAGCCGCACATGCAAAAGATCTACGGCGAGAACCTGCGCCAAGAGGCCGGCCTGACAAAGTTCATCAAGCGCTCGCTTCCCGAGCCCGTAAAGGGCCTGCAGATGAGCGTGGACAAGGTTTGGGAGGACTCCAAGCACTTCTTCGACGACTTCGTCGATGTCGCTCGTACAAAGCTGGGCGCCGGATCTTCAACCATCGCCAGGGACACGTCGGCCTTGTTCAACAAGTATCCTGCTCGCCTCACCCTCAGCCGCATCTCGCCTGACCTTGCCGGCTATGACCCTAAGCACTACAGCATCTCTATGGAGGGCACACCTTTAGTGGGTGCCGACGAGAAGGCCACCGGCAAGGAGAGCGCCAACGCCCGTGTGTCCAAAGCGGTCAAGACAAAGGTGTTTGAGTACGGCGCGCCGATCCGCGTCAAGTGGACCGCGCCCGCCAACCACAGCAAGAAAGATTGGGTCGGCCTCTACATGGTCACGGACAACCGGTCGCGCGAGGTCACCGAGGTCCCCACCCTTGGCCGCTGGGTGCCGGCCCGCCCCAGCCAGTACGACACCACCACCGACGAAGGCATTGTCTCGTGGGATCAACCGGCCAAGTCTCCGTGCCCGGAAGTCGACTTTGTCCAGGGCGAGATGGTCTTCGAGGGTGATAAGCTGTGGTGGACGCAGGGCGTCTTCGAGTTCCGCTACCACCACAACAGTGGCCACAATGTTATGGCCATCTCAGAACCCTTCGAGGTGCGCTTGGCCAAGGTGGACGACGAGGACACTGAGGTAACCGGTCCTCGGGAGGTCGAGGCTGCTCTTCTGCCCATCGTCCGCAACTGCCTGGACCGCGATCCCGATATTGCTCCTGCTACTGTCGAGGAGCGGTTCGGTGCACATGTCGAGCGGGACAGCAAGTATGCCAAGAGGGTCGTTTACGCCATTCATCATATGTTTGGTGTTGAGTTTGCGCCGGCCGTCGTGCCGGCTGACGGAGACGTCCGGAAACTAGCTTGGCGGATATGCAGCGCGAAGGAAGTGCTTGTAAGTCTTCTTCTCTCTTCTGATCCTACCGAGGTTGATACTGACACACAACACAGGCTCCCTATAGCATGTCTCAGAGACTACAGAGTCCGTCGACCCCTGTCCGGGACAAGTTTCCAGACTCATTGTAAAGGAGATCCGCAAGGAAGATGTATAGACGATGATGGCCTATGTTTACGTGTTTATGCATGACTCGACTGCAGAGCGTGGCGCTGGGGTTGTGGATGAGATACCATTGTCAATAGATGTGGGCGGTTGTTGGCGGAGCGTGCCGTTTTGTCTCCGTGGTTGGTGTTGGTTGCATGCGGCTCAGGATAGACCCGTTTGGTGGACTTTGGAAAGACGGAGTGCTGATAGCAATATGTCAACAGTGTTCCGAACCAAGCGTGTGGTGTCCATTGTTTCTAATTCTCAGCCCCTCACCACGGAGAATACGACAACCAATGCAACAGACACCCTTGGTCGCTCCGACTTCCTCATGTAAATCAGTTAATATGCCAGACAAGGCGTTGGCTGATACAATAAACAACTAAAAGTTAAAGATAGTAATAGCGGGTACCTTCAAGGCACTTCGTCAATCGTAAGGAGCGTGTCTCGTAATCCCAACAATACCAACATCCATCCCCCTTTCCCACTCTTCCCCTCTTCCACCCTTTTACACCATCACCCGTAAACTGTACAATCTTCCTCTCCCTCGACTACCCCACCCCACCGCCCGCGCTCCCCCCACCTCGCAGGTTGCCTGCTTGCATCACTCACTCACTCGCAGTCCTCAAGCACCTCAGCCAGGACATCCGGATCGCCGAGGTCCTCAGCCAGCGCGACGGCCCGGTTCCGCAGGCGGGCGAGCTTGGCCTCGGACTCGCGGACGCGCCTCGCCAGCGCGCGCCGCGCGTTCTTGGCCCGGGTCGACGCGTTGGCGGCTGCGTCTCCACCAGCACCGGTGCCGGCGCCGGTGCCGGCGTCAGCGGTTCCATTCCCGGCGGCCCCGTTTCCGGCTCCAGCGCCAGCGTTGTCGTTCACCATCTGCACAGGCACGACGCCGCCAAAGGGGCCCGCGCGCGCCGAGTTCTGGCAGCGCACCAGGCAGACGTCTTCCTGGCCCGCGACTGTTCCGGTGCAGGTCTGGGTGGCGGGGATGGAGGCGACGAGGGGGAAGTCCGTTGCCGAGCCATCCTGTTTCGGTGGTGGAGAGGTTAGTGTCGGTTGAATGGGCCGATTGGGAGTAGGGGGTTGGAGTGAAGGATGGGAGGGAGTAGGAAATGCTTACGCGGTTGCGAGAATTGCGGCCTGGGACGTTCTGGGTGACCTGGATATTGGTCCTAAGTAATTGTTAGTTATGGAGTCTGGTGTAAGGTGCGGGATAGAGAAGTCTTACCAAGTCTGCGCCGTGCCATCGGCGTTGATCATGCAAGTGTAGGGGCCCGCGCCGTCGCCGTTCACCTGGTGCAGCGTCATCTGCAGCTCGCCGCCGGCCGTGACCTGCGGCAGCGAGTCGCCCGTCTCGGCCATGATGGCCGTGGTGCCGGCCTCGAGTTGGTTGTCGCCGGCGCCGATGGTTTCGCCCACGGTATCGGCTGCGTCGCCCCGGAAGCGGGTCGAGTCCTGCTGAAACGGCCTGCGACGAGTGCCATCACGGGGGGTGCTGGTGTCGACACCGAGGCCCATGCCGGTACCTCCAGCGTCGCCAACGGCTGCGATGATGGCGCCATGGCCCGCAACAAGTTGGGCTGTTGCCAAGAAGGCGAGAGTCAGAAGAGTCTTGGTTGAAGCCATCGTGAGTTTATGGTGTGATTATTGAGCAAGGTGTAGTATCAAAGACCTGTCCTGCAGGAGAAAGAAGAGAAGTTGTCGAGGGTCTGTGGCTAGCTTGTCTCCTGGACTGTGAGTGATGCTGGTTGAAAAGAGGTTGTATGAAGTGCCGATCAAGCCCATTATATAGACATCTCCGAGGTCGAGTCCGCGGTGTCGACTGCCGTAACTCATCCTACATCTTGGCCATAACCCAACTTGAGGGTAACTATCCTCACACCTTGGCAAAACCCAGCCACCTCCGCGAAGGTGCCCGACCGCGGTATCAAGATGTGATTGGGATGGGGTTGTCTCAAGATCTCGAATTGCGCGCCCCCTGCCCCTTCCCCATAAGCTTGTCCGTGCCCTTGTTCATAACATACGATACATCCCAGACTTTCAGCCTCGATCAAACCCGGGTATGCTGCGGGTCCTTAGCTACCTTGATTGTGGATCCTGAAGATCGCGATCTGTGTTGCGAATCACAAGCTTAGAATAGATCAGCACCTCAGCATTGAAGTTGGCTGATCTTCTCTCTATACGATAGGGCTGAACAGAATAATGAGATCAGCACAACCTCCAAGCCACCGCCAGCTGTGAGCCATCTGGAGAAGAGAGGCGTGCGAACTGAACTTCTTCGCATGTTCCGAATCAGTCCCGGCTCAGCCCCAACAAGGTTTCGCGTTGGAACAAGCTCAAACAGAACAAACTCAAGCAGACGCCCAAGGTAACATCGAGAGCGGGACTCGAGTGCCGGGAAGCCGGCCGTCCGCTGCAACCAAGGGGTTTGCCTCATCACTGCTTGGCTTGAAACTTGATGCCCCCGGATGCACGGACGTTGGCTCCTCTCGGCGATTGTTTCGACTCGACTGATCCAATGATTGACTTGGGATTGACGCTATGGACACACGAAAAGATCCTGAGGCTCTTATTCCCGGTCGCCGACGATATGACTTGCTCGACCACAAGTCCTCGGCGTGTTTTTGACAGTTCGTACGAAGCAGAGCGTCGTGATCCCCTCGTCTTGTGAGTCTGTGCAGACCCAGTTCAGACTGTTGCCCCACCAACCAAAATATTCCCACTGTGCCAGGGGAAAGGTTGCCATCGATAATCGATTGTTGGAGATACTAGTCGTTGGGGTCACGACCACCATCGTTTGCAAGTCCGCTTGATTCATGTGCGTTTCTGTTTCTCGTTCTTGGTCTGGAATTAGTGCGCGGTGATCAGAACAAGTGTATCTCGAAACATTGATTCTCACTCAGTAGCCTCGTCGATCAAACAACCTCCCTCGCGCAGAACGGGGAGAATGTTGTTGGCGAAGCCAATTGCATGAAAAACATACGAAATAGGAGCTTTCACGTAGCAGCGCATCGAAACATCCCGAGTGGGCCTCAAGCGGAGAGAACGGCTTCGGCGGGAGCTCTCGCAAGCTTTGCAAGGAGCCCGGCATTTGAAAAGCGGGTCTCTGAGGCTCAAGCGCATCCCCTCCTCTGTGGGCCAGGTTTGGCCAGAGCTCTTTTGAGATGGGCGCAGTGAGTGTCAGAATGGTCTGCCAACCCGGATATCGTGGATGCCGAAGATGATAGTACCGCGCCCCTTCGACCTGGGCGGCCTCCGCCTTTCAGTATCGCTTCGGCTGTCTAAACGAAACATTGGCGCTGAAACAAAGTGCCAATCGAGTCAAGGGCGGCGAAATATCGGGCCTGGAAGTTCAAACTGTTGTGATGTTCGTCTCGCCGTCGACTGCGGAGAGCCACGGGGTACGACTGAAACTGCTGGTTCTAGTGAGCTTCAAAAAATGCGCGGGGATCTGGTAACACGAACCGCCTGCTCTCCCTACGGGAGGCCTGCCCGTGGAAATGTCCGGAGCACGCCCACCAAGCGGGCGACTCTCAGCAGCAACATCTAATTGGGCTTCTGATAACCCTCTTGGACCGTCTGTGACATCACCGTGAACAGCGTTCGCCGTCTGATGAAACCGGCCTGACCTTGGGACGGATAATGCGGCATCCACCCCCGCTCTCGGCGTAGACACAAACGCTAAGGACCTCGGGTTTCTGACGGGCAAGTTACTAGATGGTGTAGCGGGCACCGCTATCTCTGTGTGATCAGCTGCTTATTCTCAAGTACGGCGTAGTGGAAGACCCTTACAACGAGAAGACGCTGATTGATTCCAGTCCAGTAGAGACGCCGAGTTCTGGGGTTTTGAATACCCAGGGCTGGCCGGGAAGTAGTTTGTGGCCCCCGTTCTAGCGCCAACGGGCAATATAGAGCGTGGTAACTGTGACTGGGCCTGTCCTGCGTCTCCTGTGGCGGCTGGCTGGATGGGGGTGCGAGATCTCGAAACACTGGGCGGCGTATCCTGAGCTTGTCCGAGTAAAACCCTTCGCTTCAGTTTGCTGTAGAGCTCTTGCGATTGTGACAACTCCCTGGTTCGGTTCTCCAATGTGAGGCGAAGGTCTTCACACTGGCGCCTCAGGGTGTGTTCCTCGCGTTCCATGTCTAAGCTGCGTTAATAATGGAGGCAAGACTCCTTGATGGGTATGGACAAACCTCGGATCTTGGAAGTCAATGTGGTAATCCTTTGATTGGCCTGACCCCATATATTCTCGATCTCTCCCTGAAGTTCAGCGCAGTAGTCTTTCAGCTTGCCGTTTCTCCGCGCTTGGGATGAGCTTCTACCAGTAAGCCGCAGCCCAACAAGGCTCGGAGTGAAAAAAGAACAGACATTTGATTCGTCATCTGATATGACCAGAAGCTTAGGGCTCTCCCGGCGCACTCCATGACGACAGTAGGGCCAAGGCCGCTCAAGGCTACGGATTTCCACTCTTCCGAGGGCTGGAGAAGCTGCTCGCATACTTCAGACGCGTTCAGAGGTTGGTTGCAGATCGGACAAGTGTAAGGTGCTTTATCGGAAAACCCGTGGCTGTTTGCGCATCGTAGACAAATAACATGACTCCAGACGGGGTTAGTTGTTTGCCGGTAGGGCATCGGCGGTTGGGGGTTGCAACGAAGAGAGCAGCGACTCACCTGCACACCGTCACGACTGCCTGCTCTGTGAGCTGCGCACCACAATCTTGCACATTGCAACTTAGGCTTTGCTCCATTCCGTCTCGTCGGATTATCCGCCCAAGCAATTGTTCACCGGGCTTCAGCGGAAGCTGGTCGATCCTCAGCGAGTGTCACCTCGAAGGCATCGGGAAGGTGCAATGGCAACGAAAGAAAATGGAAAATTGTGACGCTGATGGAGATTTTTGCGTCCTTTCCTTCCAGGTTAGGTAGCTCAGTGCTGACACCCCATAGTAACTACAAAAGAAGGAAGTTGCAACTCATCCATTGATGACGTTGCTCCTTCCCAATTACAGATTTACAAGGGTTTGATGCCAGGAACTCAGGCTTAAAGAATGAGGTCTCTTTGGGAGGAACATTTTCTTCATATTGTAAGCTGTATAATGGGAGGAAAAGTGAAAAAAAAAAAAAAAAAAAAAAATAAAAAGGCTTTTCATCCCGATGTTCATACTGATACACAGTTTGTTGATAGTCAATGACAGAACTCAATTGAAGTCGTTGTTCGGGCGTGCCCCACACCGTCCGCAACACTCACCTCTTACTGTGCGCTGCAACCCGACAGGCATCAGCTGTCGCTCAGCAATCAGCCAACCGCCATGATCCACAGCATCGAACCCCACGAAGCAGCACAACCCCATGCTCACGACTTCGACATCCGAGAACTTCGACACAACAGTGGACTGTTTCTTCGGTACTCACAACAGCATGACAGAAATCATCATGAGCCAGACTCCTCCGATTCTTCACGGGCCCTCAGAAAAGGAACGGAAATATGATCGACAACTCCGTTTGTGGGCTGCGAGCGGCCAGGCAGCGCTAGAGTCGGCGAACATACTCCTAGTGAACTCAGGGGCGGGGACCGTCGGTGCAGAGACTCTGAAGAATCTCGTATTGCCAGGTACTGTGAGAATCCCCTCACTTGGCATGAGCTCGGTGCTAATACCCCGCTCCAGGCATCGGCCGCTTCGCCATCTACGATGAGTCTCGAGTCAGTGAGGCCGACCTGGGTGTCAACTTCTTCCTGGACGACAGCTGCCTAGGCACGTCTCGGGCCCAGAGCCTGACCGAGCTCATCCTGGAGCTCAACCCGGATGTCCAAGGCAGCTGGTATCCCAATGAGGTAGGTCAATGACAGAACTGGTCTCGACTCTCTGCGGGAGACCACATGCTCACGTGGTCAATATAGGACACAAAGACCCTGGACTCACTATTGAATGACTCCCCGGTGTTCACCGTCATCATGTACACGCACCCGATTCGCCCAGAGCAGCTCTCACGGCTCGAGGCCTATGGCCAGCAGCACAAGACCCCGCTCGTGGCGATTCACTCTGCTGGGTTCTACTCCTATTTCCAGATTAACCTCCCAGGGGCCTTCCCAATTGTCGACACCCACCCAGACGAGACGGCAACCACTGACCTGCGGCTGCTGAACCCCTGGCCGGAGCTGGTGGCCTTTGCCGAGGAGTTGACCAAGGATATCGACGGCCTAGACAACTTCGAGCACGGTCACCTGCCATATGTGGTGATCCTTCTCCACTACCTCGAGTCAGTGGAAAGCGGCACACGACGGCAATTACCCCACAGCATTTAAGGAATAAGGCCGAATTCCGCAAGATCGTGCAGGCTGCAGCGAGGACCAATAACCCGGAAGGTGGCGAGGAGAATTTCGAGGAAGCGGCTGCTGCCGTTGTCAAAACGGTGGTCCGGCCGTCTCTGCCGTCCGGGTTGAAGGAGGTATTCGAGTACGAGCATACGGACCCAGTAAAGTCCCCCATCCGAGTACCCCAGCCGAGGATTCGCCTATGCTGACGCGAGACGCTAGATCGAGCAGAGGTCGGGGTTCTGGCTCATCGCGGACGCCGTCAAGAAGTTCTACGAGGAGCATCAATGCCTACCCCTTCCTGGCAAGCTGCCCGACATGAAGGCGCAGTCTAAGGTGTACATTCAGCTACAAGGCATCTACAAGGCCAAGGCACGCAAGGACGCCGCCAAGATACTGGAAATAGTACAGGCCTCGCCGGGTGGCGAGCACGTCAATCCCGCAGAAGTGGATCTCTTCTGCAAGAATGCAGCCTTTGTCAAGCTAATCAATGCGACGGGGTGGAGGGGCAAGCAGCAGCGGTGCGAAGATCAGCAGAGCAGATCGTTTGAAGGCAGCGGCGGGTAAGCACTCAGACCCCCCCCTCCCCTCCCCCGAGCCCCCCCCTCATCCACACCACCCTGGGATGGTGTCGGCTTTGCTCTGTGGGCAAGACGAGTCATCCATCTCCACACGTATCGGCCCCGTCAACACGAAGAAGGCGGGGAAGCGAACAAGAAGCGAGAAGGAAGCGAGAGCAAGGAGTCAAAGACTAACGAAAGGGTGGCATCGCCACCGCTGACTTACCAGACCGCGAGTTCGCCAACGACGAGACCGCCGCTTTCTCGCTCTCCCCGCTCTCCCTGCTACCAATCTACCTCGCCCTCCAAGCGACAGCCCACGTGGGTCTATCCACCGCCACCACTACCACCACCACCACCACCACCACCACCACCACAAACCCGAAGGCGGAGGCAGAAGCGAAGCAACGGGAAGCAGCAGCTGACAACAAAAACAACAACGACAACAGCGGGGGCTTCAGCGCCGACGCCATCCTCGCGGCGGTCGCCCAGGCGGTGCCCGGCGCGGAGAAGCGGGAGGGCGTGGTGCAGGCCGCGCACGAGGTGGCGCGGGCCGCCGGGGGCGAGCTGCACAACGTCGCCGCGCTGACGGGCGGCATGGTGGCGCAGGAGACCATCAAGATCGTGACCAAGCAGTACATCCCCGCCGACAACACGTGCGTGTATGATGGCATTGGGGGCAGGGTGCAGGTGCTGAGGCTGTGAGAGGGGAGAGAGGACTTGGGAGGGGAAAAGCGAGAAAGAGAGTGAGAGTGAGTCTGAGAGGGAAGGGGGAGGGTGGGTTTGGCATGGCATCGCATGGTGGAGAGGGAGTGAGAAGTGGGTAGTTTGGGTTGCTTGCACTTGCTTGCACTTGCTTGCTTGCCTGCGTTGCTGGCGAGGTGCGTTTGCGTATCTCGCCGAGTGCTGGGCTCGCTCGCGCCGGCCGAATGGCGCCTGCAAGGTCCATGCTGAAGCGAACTGCGCTTTTCTACCTCGCCTACTTGTCCTCGCCTAGGCGGATGACTGGGGACAAGCCTGCTCGGACTAAGCGGCTTGGGCTTTTTGAGGCTTTTGTTGAGCGTTCTCCTCGGGAATCCAGGGGCAGTCAGCCGGGTATCAAGACCGAGGCGCCAGGACAAGGCACACGTAGCAAAGCAAAGCAAGCATGCCAGGCAAGCAGGCAGGCAGGCAGACAAGCGCCCTGGTATCCATCCATCCATCCATAGAGAGCACAGCATATGTGTGGATTTGACGGCAGCAAAACGGGCCGACCACAAGCGCCCGGCCGGTGCTGGCGGGAATGAATGATTGAATGAATGAATACAGGCTGCATGGGCCAAGGTTGTCTTCCTGGCGTTTCTGTGGCCTCTGAGCCTATCTTTCTGCTTTTACCCACCATATCTCGGGCTGAGGGTATTTCGGCATTAGGGGTTTGCAGATCCGGGTTTTAACCCAACCCTTTTGGCCCCTTGGCGGCAGTCACAGCCAGCCAGCATCAGCGAGCATCAGCGAGCATCAGTGAGCATCAGTGTTGGGGATATATTTGTTGGGGGGGGTTGATCACTCGCGATGCGCGCCGGCAGTGAGGCGAGTGAGGCTTTTGCTACCTAAACGAGGCCCTCATCTTTTTTCTGCAATGCCTTGGTCGTAGTGGCAATGCGCTTTTACGCTGGGCCATGGAAATGACGTCCTGGGCAAGGAGATGAAGTTCCTGGCCAAGGGATGAAATTCCCGCTGCCATCGTCATCGGCTAGAAGTCACCGGCGCAGTCGTGCGCAATCCGCCGCCAGCGCTGTCCCCAAGGTACCATCGCGCGCCGCTTCCGCCGCGCGGTTGTGCCGTCGGTCGGCCCACTCCTCAGCCTCCCGTCTGTGCCATGGCAGATGAGTGGGTGGAAAAACAAAGAAGAGGAAAAGAGGTGACGTTTAGCTGTGTGTGGTGCACAGCCATGAAGAGGACCACCTCTTTTCTCCAAGGCAACTTGACGCCTACCTGACTTGCCAGCCCGCCAACCACCTGCCACCTTCCACCCCCCCCCCCCCTTCCCCCCACCCTGGCTTTTGCTTGCGACCCCGAAAGCAGAGATTTACACGCTTCGGACCGCAGGGCCTGGATGGAACCCTTCGTGCTTTGCGTTGTCGCACGCAGCTCATTCAGCGCCTTTTTTTTCTCTGCCAGGGACCGCTAGGCCAGCGGCTACCAATGCGACTGCCACGTCCCAACGTTACTGCTGCTACGCGGTCCGGCGGCAAAAAGTTATGTTACGTTTGAGGGACGGGTGCAAAAAAGAAAAAAAATGCAGGACATGTGGTTTGAACCTGGTTTGGGTGAACTATGGTGAGGATATCGTGTCCTTTGGGCGTTTTGCTGCGGAGTATTCCGTGGGTGGTCGTGGGTGCAGACATCCAGAGGTACGAAGGACATGCCCACATACAGACAGACGTACATCCATTCGGTCGGGCAGTGCGGAGTGGTGTTGGTGTATGTGTGCAACCTCTTTTGAGCTAGCCTGCCTCATGAACGGAGCATGGAGTGAGTGAGAGAGCCTCCCCGCCTTTCCCTCTTGAGTGCATCTCTCGATGGAGGTCAGCAGGCCCGGCAAAAGCACCCGACGTCAGATCTTGGCTTCGATCAGCCTGCAAGCCACGAGGGGAAACAAGTGACTCCTGCCTCATGTTGTGTTAGTCTGGGGAAGTGTTGGGGAAGGTGTGTGTGGGGGAAGCGGGGGAGACTCAATCGAAGCCACATGAAAAGGCTGGCTGTGACGATCGCTGCCGGTTTCTGGTTTCCAACGGATGAGTGGCGACTGTTCCGACGTCTCGTCCGGAAAGCTGGGTGGTTCGGCCGATAGGCAAATACGCTTGACCTTCTTGCATATGCAGCTAAAAGTCAGCTAAGGTACCTTCGGGCAGAAAGCCACAGAGTACATACGTATGTGGCCGTTACTTCAAGTCCGTGCCACTGTGCCTTGGCCAGGTACCGCCAGCCAAGAGAGAACAGGAACAGGAACAGGTAACAAAAGCCGCAGCAAGGACGGGAGACGGGACAGGCTCGGGAATTGGAGGAAGCCACAAGATGCGGCGTCGGACTACACTTGCGTGTGGCCCGATCACATGTTCCAGCTCGGAGGATTTGTGTGTTGGTGAGACGCGCGATAATATCTGATGTCCTGCGGGGTCTGGGAATGCCTGACAGGGAAGAGAGGTGGGCAACGTCAAATAAAAATAAAACGGGAAGGAGAATGATCAGGACGGTCGGTGGGGGCTCGGAGGGATAGAGCTGGAGATGCTCCCATCCCGTGCAGCCCGCTTAGCTGTCAAATCTACCAGTTCAAGGAATGCATGTTTCGGATCGCCTCCGGGGGTGGGTTGTTGGCTCCAGAATAGGGCAGACCCGAAATGCGAAGGGGAGCAGGATCTCAACGTGGGACACGGAGGGTACCGAGTTCAGAGGATCTCCCGTCCCAAGTGTGGAGCAGACGCATTGTAGTCTGCAGAAACTCGAGGTTTGGAGTTTCCAGAAGTGTTCTTCAACGGTGGTCTGCTCGTATCACTCTAATCTCTCCTGCCGAGAAGTGGATGTTGTGGTGGGTTGGACCGTGGAACAGGTATGGAGATTGATTTCAACTCCAATTTTCAGGGCAATGGAGCACGGCCACGTCGCTCAGGTCCGTGACACTCGTCATTGGGCGCCGTGGTCGCTGGAAATCGCAGGTCCCTGTCTCATTGCCAGGCTATCCAGCCACGGTCAACCGGCTCCACGGCGATGGCATCCCGCCCTCCCGGCGCCGAGTGGCACGTCGTGGCCACGGGTTGGCTAGAGCGTGAGGTTGATGCCGACCCCAGCCGAGGTTTTTCAGCGCTCAGGTCTCCTGGTATCAGCTCATGTCGACGCCGATCAATGCGATGTCGCGCTAGTCTCACGCACAAGGCTACACACCACACACCCTCTCGAGATGCGGCTCGCTCTCCATGGCAGTTCGTCAGATGAGCAAAAGGGTGGGGAGATATAACGAGAAGCGAGGGCAATGTGGTGGGATTTCCGAGAAAGGGGAATTCCAGGCTACGGGCAACTTGCGGTTAGGAGCTGGAGCTTGGGAGGGAAACCCGGTTAAAGGGCTTATGATGGCTTGCCCAAAATTAAAATCTCGGAAAGGCCGGACCTGTGATTGGGCATACTGATGGTGCTGTGTGGTGTGTGTAGGTTGTGAACCGAAGAGATTTCCAGTGTGACGGCCTCCCCTCGACTCCTGCTTCTTTAGCCGCGTCAAGTGAGAAATTGGGAGGGTTTCTCGAAGCATGAAAAGTGTGAGCAGGTGTGGGCAAGCGTCGTCAATCACGTCTGTGCGTTTGCTGTCCCATGGTCGAAATGGGCAGGGAAAATCAGTGCTAGTCGTGCTGGGCTTTGCTGAGGCTTGGCGTTTAATCTGCGTGAACCTCTCGAAGTTTTGGCTGGTCGGTGCGGTTGGTGGCGTCGAATGCCCATTCGATCTTCGATTCTGCCTGTGGGGAAATGGCTGGGGTGGATGCCGAAGGCCGCAAGCGTTAAGCCCGGTTTGGTATGGCTGCCTTCTTCCCACAAGCTTAAAACGTCAAGAGTTGAATGTGGAAGCTTCTTGTGAGTTTGGCATTATGAGCAGGGTTCGCAAGACCCACTTGATGAGGCTATTCGGCCGAGCAAGCCACCGCTACGCGCAGTGACTGCAGCCCACCACACACCATTCACCATACACAACAAGCCCCATCTGTGACACCACCATCACCACCACCGCCACCACTACGACTGCGCGCCTGACTGCATTTGGTATGGGTTCGCGACGAGTGAGGAGCTGGAGGTTAAAGTACCCAGCCGAGATGGAAACCCAACATTCCCGTCTAATGACAGTCAGTGTATACACAGCAGACGGAAGGCAGGAAGCTGGGGGCCAAATGATCAATGCTTTCCCCAGACTTCTGAGGCCGTGAGACAACGCACGAAATCTCACGGCTGTAACCTCAAGATGCTACCAGTCTCGACCAGGAATAGAGCCGGGTGAAAGTCAGCGCAACGCTGGAGATCGGCATCGACAGCTTACCTAACGAGTCGATGGATGTTCAGGTCGAGGCAGGGGCAGCGCAGCCGACCGACGCTAGGCTCGCTTGCCGTGATTCCAGGCGGCGCTGCAGCTCTGATTGGGCCGTAGGAGTGTGGGGAAAGAACAACAACTCGAAAAGGAGCCGAAATGGCAGGGGCTTTCCATCGCGCTTTTGCAAAACACTTGCGAGTGGGAACGGTGTGCGCGCAACCAGGATCTTGCGACTCCCCACTCCGCGCCTTCCACTCTTTTCTTTCGGCTTGCCTGACCGTCTTGACGGTGCCCGAGCGGCGGTGTAGGGGGGCGTGTGAGACTTTTGTTGAGCGTTCAAGAGCATAAGCTCACAGGATGACGGCATGGGGAACATCCAGACGAACCGAGCTATGAAGTTGATTCACCACCGCATAGTTCGCACCGCATGGTCCTGATGGCGGGGTGCAGCGCGGAACGGAGGGGAGCACGTGGGGTTCCTCGTGAGTCGGCTAGGCGCCACACGCCGTTTCAGCGTGTGGAGGTGCAGGCCGTCTATCCGAACCTTCCACTGAGCAGCTTTGAGCCACTCGCCAGCCACGAGCGGTTTCTGCATTTCCAGGCAAGCCCTGACGTCGTCGTTCCCGCCTCCCGTCTCTGTACCACCGCAAATGCGAGGGATGCCTTTGCCGTGGAGCCACTGCCAGGACCGAACAACCCACCCGAGCCCGCTACCCCCATATTCTCCATGACTCTTCCCAATCCCTACCCTAGGTACTTGGTGTCTACGCTATCCTCTCGTTATGCAAGCCACCAGCACAGACAGCCAAGACAATGCGCAATTTCATATTTGCAGAGCTATTCACACCTGCGTTTTTTTCTAGAAGGCGAAGATCGTAGAAGCTGACAGACTTGATGTCGCCCTGACCCTGCGCTTTCGGCGACGCCTTGCCAGGATTGTTGCCCCCAAAAACAGGGCCCCCGGTCACCGTGGGGTCTGTTCACCAGTGTTGTCGAATTGGTCACCCCCCTCCCCCTCGATTCCGGCTGCTCGGCCACGGCACAGCCGGTAATGTCGCTTTGATCTCGCACAAGGTCAGGGTCCCAGGGAAGCCGTGCGACGTAGGGCGCAGGTTGATCTCCCAAACGCCGATAACGGTCGCATTGTCCACACCCTTGTCCGGCAGACGAACGAAACCAGGGGAAACAAGAACGGAAATCAAAAACATCGATGATATCTCGACTTTTCTCCTCCGGCTCGGGCAAGGTCCTGAGAAAGGGTCCTGAGGGGACCCGCGGCTGGTGGCAGACAAACTGCGTCACGAAACGACGCGGATGCGCCGAAATGACAGGACGCAAGACGGCATAGAACGAGAGCCGAGCCGCGTCCTTCGTGGGTCCAGATTTCCACCAGCGTTCGAGGCCCAGCGAGAAGAGCCAACCTTATTGATGAATACATTTCCATAGCGGGGTCGCCAGGATTACGGAGCGGCCGGACCAAAAAACCTAAACCCCCTTCCGTTCGTGACGAACGCTTGGTGGGTGCTGCTCGGTGCCCTGCCGCGCGGAATTGGGGCGCTGGAAACAGTGGAGAGGCGGCTCGGAAAGCTTCCACAAGCAACAAACGCCGTGGCGACCTCTCCCAGATCACGCAGGCGCTGTCCAAAATGGGACATCAACACCGTTCGGGTAGATTAACGCGCAGTCATGTGCCCTCGACGACAGCTGAGCTCGCCACTGGTCTCTCTATACCGCCGCTCTTTTCTCCCCAGCCCCCGCAGCAGCAAGAGAGGCGAGAGAGGCGAACAACCTGGAAGCAGCCTAGAACAGGTTCTTGCCTGGCCCCGGCCTTGATTGCCTCGAACCCGTCATCTGGTACGATCCAAGTGAAGTCTATCGGAAAGGGTACTGATAGGTGACCATCTCTGGGAACGTCGCATGCACCTACCATATGAGTTGGCAACGGAGCGGGCTGGAGTGCTGCCCGCCCCGCCCCATTAGGCGCGCCACATCCGTTTTCGTCGACCGCCATGCCGCCAGTTTGCCCAATCTTGCCCAGGTCCCAAAAGGAGTGCTCGAGCCTTCAGCATGCTTAACGGTAGAGACGGTGAAGCTGGGAACACCAGACCCACACCACCACCACCCCGGACTCTTACCCCTGTCTGCCCTGATCGGAGGGGCCAGCGGGCAGATCCCTGGGCGCTGGCCGTTGAGGAGAGCCGGATGCCAATCAGACGACGAACACGAAACCATCTCCCCACAATCGGCTGGCCGTCCCTCGTTCCAGCTCTCTCCAACGCGCGCTCCACTATTCTCCAATTCTTCTCCTTACGCCCCTGGCCAAAACTCCAACACAGAAACAGTGGTGCGCGATGTCCTTGCGCGGCGCATCCCCTCTCATCTCGCTATCTTTACTTGACTCCCAACATTTCAGGGACAGGGCAGAGCGAGGTGACAACATCTGCCAGCCGTGCTGGGCCTACGTCAGGAGGAGGAGCTTTTGCTCGGAGACGATGCCGAATGCTGCAGCCACCGCTCTCTCGTCTGGTCCCCAATCGCCTCGGCAGCCGATACTTCACTGCAACATCATCAGGATATTCGGCTAGTACTTCGATTGCTTTCCGCAGTACGACCAAGTACAACGTCGCCGCCCCACGTGCGGTATGGCGGGGACATCCCTGGCTGACGTGCAGCCAGAGAGCCAGGAACGTCTTGTGGTACGAAGTACCTCTGAGCGCTCCCCCCCTCCATCCTTCATGCACCCCGGCCCTGCGCTGAAACCTCAGGGCAAGGAGGCCGCTCACTGGCTGGCCGATGACCGCTCATGCTCCCCAGACTGCTGCGTTTTTTTTTTTTCTCCAAACGAGCCGCCCTCTCCGCGTCAAGCTGCCATTCGGGACGCCGGCTGGGCGTGACCTCAACTGAAGCTGATATTAATATGTGAGCTCAGGTACCAGCGGCTCGATCATGCCTGATTGGCCATGCGCCCCAGTGAGTTCGTGAGTGAGCGAGCAGCCTTGTCCCCTGTCAATCACAGGTACCTGATGGTTTTCAATGCCAGTTCACCAATACGGACGGCATTGACCATCATACGCGAGCTTAGCAGGACGCTGGACATTACCTCACACACTCTATCTCAACCTTACTCGGGCAAGTTATACCGGGTCCCATACCAGCGTAGATTGCGTTGGCAATGGAACGGTCCCAGTCCCGCTCAAGCGCCCACTCCGCTAGTTAGTTGCTACGCTGGGAGACGAGGGGGGTGGAAGCAGTCCCGCAACGGACTTTTTCTCCACAGAATGGCGGCCTGGGCAGCCGACCATCTTTTCCAAATCTCGCTCTCCCCACACTTCCCGGGAGCCCCATCCCCAACTCCTAGCTGCATCCATCAATGTAGATATATAAGTCTGCATCTGCTCCCCACGTTCTCGCCTCGCCCCGTCATTGCCCGTGCCTATCTTTATCATCGTGGCTGCCGACGAGAGGTCTAATCCCAGTCCATTGTCACCATCGTCCATGTACAACAAGCTTCTGTAAAATCAACTACCTCATCACGACTCTTACGACCCGGTGTCACTCCTCGGGCCGGTCCCTAGCATTCCGGAGATACCCTTGATTCCCTTCACCTCAGATTCTTCCACCATGGCACCAACCATCCCAGTGCCCACACAGGGCGGCATGTTCCACACCTTCCAAGGCGTCACACCACGCAAAGCATCAACAGATTCCCAAGACAGCACCAAGACCAGCGGATCGGGGACCGCTAAGAGGATAACCACACCACACGCCTGTGCCGAGTGCAAGAGACGCAAGATGTAAGTTGGACCTTGGTCCTTTGGACCCGAATCGGCAGACCTAACAAGAGGTCTCTTTACATTCGTTTGACGGCCAGCAACCCTGCGGCCAATGTCTCTCCAGTAGGGCACCCAAGATGTGCTTTTATGACAAGCACCGGCAGCGGGTGATTCCCTCACGCAAGACCCTCGAAGCCCTCTCACAGTCACTCGAAGAATGCCGCTCCATCCTGAAGCGGTTGTATCCCAACCAGGAGGTCCAGGCTTTGCTGCCCCTATCACGACAGGAGCTGCTTAACCTCCTGGACCGGCCCGTAATAGACACCTCGGTCGGCGGTCTCCCATCACCGCCCATCAACACCTCGCCCATCTCGGACATCGGCTCGCCAATGATGACCAAGTCGGAAAACATCCTGGAGCAGCTTCCGTCGAGAGACACCGAATGGGACGAGGAACGGAGGGGGAGAGACCCAATCCCCGCCGAGGCTGACGACATCAACGCTCTCTCGCTCTCCGTGGACCGGCAAGCATCCTACCTCGGCGCCTCCTCCATCAAGGCTGCCTTGATGGTCATGCTCAAGGTGCAGCCCAGCTTGAGGAACACCCTCGCCGCGCCTCTGAGCGGCGTCGAGATGTCACACAACTTCCCCGCCGTGAGGCAAAAGTCTTCGGCCGCGCCAAAAGACCCTCAGCGGATTCCGTGGTCCTGGAAGGGCCAAACCTTGATCGACGCCTACTTCAAGCGCATCCACGTCTTCGTCCCCATGCTTGACGAAAGCGCCTTCCGGGCCGACTATCTTGAAGGACAGCGAACCGACGCTCCCTGGCTGGCACTACTCAACATGGTGTTTGCCATGGGAAGCATCGCTGCCATGAAATCCGATGACTACAACCACATCAACTACTACAACCGCGCCATGGAGCACTTGCCCATGGACGCCTTTGGCAGCAGCCACATCGAGATGGTTCAAGCCCTCGCCCTCATCGGCGGCTACTACCTACACTACATTAACCGCCCTAACATGGCTAACGCCGTCCTCGGCGCCGCCATTCGCATGGCCAGCGCTCTCGGCCTGCACCGCGAGTCTCTCGCCCAGTCCAGCAGCGACATCATCGCGGCCGAGACTCGCCGGCGCACTTGGTGGTCTCTCTTCTGCCTCGACACGTGGGCGACCACTACCATGGGTCGCCCCTCCTTCGGCCGCTGGGGACCGGCCATCAACATCCGGCCGCCCGAGTTTGGCATCAACGCCAACCGTGACTCGTCGCAGCACGCCGGCATCCTACCGCTGATCGAGAACATCAAGTTCTGCAAGATCGCGACCCAGATTCAAGATATGCTCGCCATCACACCGCTCCTCAACACCGAAGACCGCTGCAACCTCGACTCGCAGCTCGTCGCCTGGTACACGTCACTGCCCTGGCTGCTGCGCACCACAGACCCCTGCGCGGAGCCGCTCTACATGGCCCGCTGCATCATGAAGTGGCGCTACCAGAACCTACGCATGCTGCTGCACCGACCGGTGCTGCTCTCGCTCGCCTCGTCGGGCTTGAACCCGCACACACAGGCTTGCGACGCCGACCTGGCCGCCATCGAGACGTGCCGCGACCTCGCCGCGCAGACTATCGATGATATCGCGCGCGAGTGGGCGCGGAACCAGATGAGCGGCTGGAACGCGGTCTGGTTTCTGTACCAAGCCGCCATGGTGCCGCTCGTCAGCGTCTTCTGGCAGTGGGGGTCGCCGCGCGTGCCCGAGTGGCTCAAGCAGATCGAGGCCGTCCTGGACCTGCTCGAGGTCATGGAGGAGTGGTCGCTAGCCGCTCGCCGATCGCGCGAGGTCGTCTGGCGTATGTACGAGGCTGCCCGCCAGCTCGTCGCCCAGCAGCGCGCCAGCGCCAGCCCTTCCATCCAGGTGCTCACGGGCGGCGGCGCCGCTGGCGCTGAAGGTATGCTGATGGCCAGCCCGGGCTCCGCCGAAGCTGCCGGTATGCACATGAGCCCCATCGGCCTCGAGCCCGTCGATGGCCTTGGCCTCATGGGCCTCCTCGATCAGGGCGGCCTGTGGGGAGACCTCGACGGCATGTACTGGGGCAGCCAGCACAGCCATTCCGGGAGCATGAGCCTGGGTAGCCCCGTCGACGAGTCGGCCATGGCCGCCGCCGCCGCTCACGAGTTTGCCGCTGCCGCGGCTTACCACCCGGGTGCGCCTACTACTGCCGGCCCGCACGAGGGCATGGTGCACGCCGTTGACTACGGCGGCCTCATGGGCCATCACGCACACCCCCATCACGGAGGCCACCACCATCACCAGGCGGCCGCAATGGAGTTTGGATACGTCCAATAATCTATCTACCCATCTTTTTTCTTCTTTACTCTCAACCTCCTCACCTTTACACCACTCCCCTCCCCTCCTTCTTGCCCCCTTCATCTCTCCTTCTCCTGCCGGCGTTGTCAGTCTTGGCAGGGAGGCCTTTTCGGCCCGGGGCGGACGGCAGAAAGGGGGTGTGGGTGGGAGTCTGTGGCTTGTTCCCCCAGGAAAATGTGGGGTACAGGGGTTGGGAGTCTTTTTTTGGGTGGTGGTGTGGTGTGTGTGGGTGAGGGAGGGGGTGTGTTTGATGCACTGCACCCCCCCCCCCCCTCTCTCATGGGCGTCTTTTTCTCTCTTTTTCCCTTTCTCAAATTGTTCATGACGACGGGAAATGTGTCTTGATGTGTGTGGATGACGGATATACCAGGAACGTTGCTGTTTTTATGACCCCATGTGTACATGCGATTCGCTACTCAAATTGGGAAGGGTGGGCGGCGGCATGGGAAAATCACGGACTGTACAAAGTACTCTCAGGAAGAGGGGGGGGGAACGGATGGCAAGGCAGGGCAAGGCATGGTGCACTGGGATGGGGAGTCGGTTTACAAGCCTATACTTCTTCTGTCTATACTTAGCTTTCAAATTCACATTTGGCTGCCTCACAGCTTTTCACCTGCTCCTACTCTTCCTTCTGCTCTTGATCCTTGTGATGCGCTGCAAAATTCGGGGAAATGGCCCGACTTAGATTGGGCAGGGCAAAATGGCGCGCGGCCCTTGGTTGAATACCCGGAATGAGAGGGCAGCGAGAAGATAATGAGTGAGGGTATAGCAGATGGCTTGTCACCCTCCCTCGGCTCACCGCCCGAGTTCACTGGTCGTGCTTCTGAAAAGTACATAGCCATTGACTATACCCAACCTCTCTCCCCGCATTCTGACCTGCAGCATTTGCTTCCTTGCCGGCATCTTTGGTGTTGTGATCGTCTGCTACCCCGGATATTGATGGAAGCCTTCGAAAGGTTCTAGCGTGCTGCCGACGCCCAATGAGAGGCACGTACCGGCTTGGGCAGGTTGGAGCCGGCTTTCCACTCGCGATCGTCTCTGCCGTGGTGACGGACCACGTCGCATGGCATATTTTTTTGCTGCTGGACTTTGCAACGCGGGGGGCGGTGCGGTGGGCAAAAAGCTGAGTGCCCCTCTGATTTCTTGAGATCAGCCGGCGTAGGGCCTCTTTGGGCGCGCTAGCCCGTGGAAAGGCGGGAAAGACCGTGAGGGTCGCTCATGTGAAAATGCGACCTTTCACTTTTCGAAAAAAACCTGGGTGGGCCGCTAATCACTGATGGCAGGATGGATGTCAGGGCCGATGCGCCAGAGCGCCAAGCTGTGCTTGGACCTTGAACTTGACTCTTCGAGGCTGTGATCTGCGAAGCGACTTCCCCATGATTCTTCTCGGGTTGTTCTCAGGTTTTACGAACGAAGAGGGAGGAGAAGATCGGCATTCAGCTGCTGGGGGAGTTTCCCCAGCTCTGCTAAAGTCCCAGGGTGATGCCCGTCGACTAGCGCCGTCACAAAGGGAGGAGACGGGTTTTCGGAATCGGGATTTTGTCCAGGCCAGCCCCGTCATTGAAGCCCGCGCGCGCGAAGTTCCTTCATGGATCATCATCCCTCAATCCGTTCGGCGGCTAGTTCGCAGTGTTCGTGGCCGCGGTAAGCTGCGAGACTCGGAAATTCCGAGGGGAGTCTCCTGATACACGCCGACCATGTCCATCCATCCCTTGCTTTTGCATACCGAGCCCACTTGGGCGACAACACGACACGGCGTCCAAGAGTCCACTCAGGGCCGTGGCATCCGATGAAACTGGGCAAGGCGTTTGGGCGCGCGCGCTTGGCTGTTGAGCAGAGAGAAAAACGGTTTCCTGAAGCGGAGCCGAGAGCCGAAACGGCGGGACATGATTGGGTGGCTGAATGCTTCGGGACTTCGCATCGAAACCGCTTGGCAATCTGGATTTGCGGCCCGTTGCGCGGGGTCGTGTCTGGCCTGGTACCTGTCGGACCAGGGGAGATGCCAGTTCGTTGCACCAAGCTGCCAAGGTACCGAGTACCTTCGGGTGGGGACCATTGGAAGCTGCAAGGCCTGCAAGTGATGTGGATGTTGGAGAGTGCGGGGTATGCACCCCAGCTCTCTGAGACCTGGGACAGAAAATTGAAGATGCGGGGATGAACTCCATCCCAACCGCTGGAGCTTGAGGACTTGGGGCAACCACCTGCCTTTTCAGGTCGACGTGACGACGAAATAACCAGGTGGAATGGAGTATATGCCTCTGGTGATAATGCTTCTTTAACAACGGTGCGTCTCCCGACAACACCCAGCCAGACCGATCCCCAGGATGGACTTCTCTGGTCGGGAAAAGTATCAAGAATGCGGGGTAAGGCAGGTGTGACAAGAGATCGCCAGGTGCTTCTTTTCACTCTCTTTCCCCTTTTCGGCCCCGCCAACCGTCGACAAGAAAGCTTGGCGCCTGGCGGTGTCCAGTGCCGCCAGAGATCTCCACCTCGAACCCACGTTCGGCGTCTTCTCCTTCATTGCCGGTGGTATGTGGGGATTGGCGGGCTCACGGGCGACAGTATGTGCCGTGAAGGATGCGAGGTGGATAATGGCTCGGTCTTCCAACTGATGCAAGTCCTCGGTCACCCGAATGACTTGGCCCTGGCGCAATGTTTGTTGTCCGTCTGCAACTGCCGATGTGCCGAGAGGTCCGGCGACCGCCCCTCGGAGGTCGGTGTTGGGCGGGTCTGGGAGACGGCCACATCGGCCAGACGAGCCCGGGTCGGGATCCGCGCCGAAACCGGACCTAGCTTGTTCGGGAAGAGAAGAGTCCGACAGTGGCCGCAAAATCAACGAGTTTGGTTCCAAGGGCCGTGTCTATTTGTTGGGCTGTCGTAGCATTGTCGTCAGTGAGCCAATGTCGATTCAAGTCTGGTGCCGATTCTTCCTCTCCGAAGTATCGACTTTGTCGTCGCTTGGACCTTTGAAAGTATCCTCTGTCTACCTCCGGCTATTAGAGTTGATGGGCAACAAGCTCAGTTGCTATGTCCCGAGGTTGCACTAGCCAATTGCGCTCTGAGATCGGCTCTGGGACACATCGAAGCATTGTTGACCGATTGTGGAAGTAAAGGGTTGCAGTACCGACTAACGGAGCCAACATCGGGTGGCACTGCATGGTAAGTCAAAGATAGATCGCAAAGAGCCCCAGGATGGCCATTTAACTGAGACCCGATGTTCGTCAAGTTTGGTGTTCCTGAGAAAACTTTTCAGTCGCTGCGCGTCGGATTGGCTGAACTGAGGTTTGGTAACGTGGTTGATGGGCAGGAGAAACCCACTACCACCCACTACCTCCATACCTCAGACAGCTTGGGGCCCGTCCTTCTCAGTGGAATTCGAGACTGCCATCAACGCAACCGGTGTCAGAAACCGTGACCGATGAGGTACATGTACCAGTTCTCAAGAATAAATAGCACCGATGATGGGCAGACGAGCTTGAAGTTGCATGGGGAGGCAATACGGAAACGGCGAGACGATCGTGCCTCCTCAGGAGATGCGAAAAAAAAAAAAAAAAAAAAAAAGAAAGAAAGAAAGAAAGAAAGAAAGAAAGAAAGAAAGAAAGAAAGAAAGAAAGAAAGAAAGAAAGAAAGAAAGAAAGAAAGAAAGGAAAAAGGAGAAGAAGAAAAGAAAGAGGGAGAAAACGAGACAAGAGAGCTGACAAAACTCCTTTCACCGCTATAATCGATGCGTGCTTTGTTATATGTCAGATTCACAGGAAGCAGCACACCTAGTCAGCGGCTTAGGCGCTTGCTATTTCATATTCGGAATTTGAAGGAAGCAATTCAGTTGCATCAAAACAAATGTATCGTATAGTTATGTGTCTACGCTACAGCAAGCTATAGACAGTGGCTGGGTTAGAATATCAAGTCAATTGAAGCGTGGCCAGTGAGACAATTGTAGACAACACCTAAATGTGCATCGTACTCCTAATCTCGTTGTTGTATATCTTAAATGGCAATCTTTGCGCTCCACGTGCTATCATACAAGCCTGATGGCAGATTCTTTATTCTATATTCGTTGATTGAAAAGAAGTTTGTCCTTCCATACCACACTTAAACACGGTGCTCCAGATCCTTATTCATATCCCGTGCTTCAGAAACCATCCCTGAGGCTGCGATCTTTAACGCTGGCGTTACTTCCGGCTTCTAACGTTGAGTACCACCATGGGCGTCGTTTCGGACAGACCTTACATGTTGCCACTCTCGCCGGCTATACCAATGAAGAAGACTACAATGACAAGTACCGGTCGAGATAGAATGATTCGGTTATTATTGAGATGTTCGCTTTGCTGGTGATGTTCGGGATTAAGAGCCTACCTACCTAATAAGTCTGTTTATACGAACATTTTCAATTGATTGCGATGTTATTCAACCAGGAATCATTTAGAGGAGTGGCGGAAACGGATAGATACAGTAAGTATTTGAACGTAGAGGACTGGCCGTGGTGAGGGATATGCTCTCGAGGTAGGCATCAGAATACTTTGGTGAAGGCGAGAGCATAGCGTTGGACCGATTGATGTGAGGCCATTTACAAACAGTGTTGCTAGGGTTCACCGAAATAATTGCCGTGGTAAGGGGTTTTAATGTATAGCATGAACAATGACGTATTATCGACAACAGAGTGTCAGCACAGCTGGTGCCTCCTCGTGTTGGACTGCTAGGCTTACCAGTTTCTTCTTATACTCTGTTCTGTAATATCTTCAATCCTATGTATGTTCCTATAGTATGTTGTGATTCGTGACTGCGGTCAGAGATATGGCATATGTCGGTCCTTGGTCGGCCACATCTATTCTGCATCTAGCACGTATCACTAAGGGTCGGTTGGGTTGGAAGTATATGGTTTTGGTTGTGGGTAAGAAAATGGATAGCTTAACGAACGTATATACAATTCTAGACACATCGTATAGGAAGCAACCTACCGTAAGCTTGGGCCTTTGCTATAAAGAACCTTTCTACATTATGGTCCTCTGATACTGTCGCCGAGGGTTGACCTAAAAAGCAGGTTCCGCATGGTCTGGATCTGAGACCCCGATATACATGCAGCTCCGTTCCAAACTCGAAGTCATGGTGAGGTAAAGCTGCAATGACTGCCTGGGCAACACACAACTCTGTCAACGATTCAAGTTTTGATGGAAGATGTGGTTCCCACTCAATCCCTGTTGCATCCAGCCTTCAGCTCAGCCTTCCGCTCAGCGACCAGTGAGCAGAGCACCTTGTTCTCGGCTGCCGTTGCAAGCAAGTCAAAGGCGCAGCAACGGCCAAAAAGACAGGTCAGTCCGCGCGGCCCGTTCAGGTTGTTCAAAGGTAACTAGAAGGCATGTCAGGGCTGCAGAGTGGCGATAGATTAAAAGTATGCCGTGCATACAGCTAGGCTGACAACCCACAGTTACCTTGCCTAGGTAGCCAACCAATGAACTGACTACCACTGCCCATATGGTTGATGGTTTGTCTCTTAATCTCAACGGTGTTTGATACTATTTTATAACGCTCTGTACGAAGTAGGTACCCCCCCCCCCCCCAGAATGATGACATGATGCCAGTCCATGTCCAATAAATATATCAGCGTTTACGCCGCTACTCTTTTTTTATAATATATATATAAAACAAAAAAAAAAAATTCTTATGCGAGCTCTCGCTTGCTCAAAGATAAGATGATCCCGAGAAGGTTGTGTGACCACTTCGGGCTGTCTGTTTGGGTCTGTTTGGGGGCTGCAAGGAGGCGTCACACCGTGCTCACACGGTACCTAAGGAAGACACTCAAAACTCTTTAAAACTCCACCAAGAACAAGACATCATTACATCATAAATTTCACCCGACCGGGTTTATGCCACCTGTCTTATGATGCTTTGGTGTACTGCTACCGTTTGAGAGACAAGTGAGCCAGCCTGTCGGGCTCGGGTCGCGGCACACGGCAGACAACAAACAGTCGAGAAAGGCGGTGGGCGTTGGCGTTTTTCGGCTGTGGCCATGCAAGGTTCTTTTTTTCTGCTGTCAAAAAGCGTCAAATGGAGGCTCAACAAAACCAATATCTCGGTTAACTAGTTATGGCCCGAGTTGATTAGCTGATCACTGCTGATGCAGGCATTCAAGCGTCGCAAGAGCCGAACTAACTCCACGGGTCGCAGAGCTTGAAAACGGACGCCACCCAATCAGAGACTCGAGACAGCCGAGTTGAGGATTTGCTTAGGGCTGAAAACAGAACGCTTTAAGCGAGTGCGAGTGCGAATGGTCAGAACTGATCCGTGGCGTCTGACCTGCATCCAACAAGCATCACAACGGCCCAACAACAACTCCGAAAGGGGGAGGTGGTATGAGAGGCCGTCTCGCGTGCATGGCCCTGATGGGGAAAGGCATCGCTTATGGTTTTGAAGATGGATTCTGGATGGATCATGGATGGGAATTCCCTCGCTGGATTCGCTTTCTTGACCCAATTGCGCATTAATACCCGCTCTCATTGCTCAGGGGCAGCTGGCATAACAGTCGTAATATGACTGATCGTTCATCATTACCTCACACCTTCGTTTGCTCTGTCCGAGTGCGAGTCAATTCCCATTGACTCGGGTCATCAAGAAGGGAGGTATCGTGGTTCTGCCTATGACCCAATCGTAGTCCTGGTGCTTCGAGGTTTAAAGGGATCGTGAAGAGGGTTCTTATACCTGCCCGTCACCCTCCATCTCGAAAACAGCAAAGAGGGCGCCGATAAATAAGAACCGCCTCACCCCCCCAGATCCATCCTCGCCCATATTCACCACTACCCTATTCCGGACCGAACTTTGGTCTCGCCGCTCCGGCCTCAACCAACATGGAGAAGAACTCCCCGTCACGGGACTCGCCCCTTGAGGCGGCGGACAAACTCGACCACGACGAAAAACAGCCCTCTAACCCGACACAAACACCCATCAACCCACCCGAAGAAACCCCAGCCGGCGCCCTCTCAGACAGCACCACCGACGAAAAGCACCTCGGGCCACAATCCATCCCCCGACTCCGTTTCATCGCCCTATCAACCGGGTAGACGCCCCCACCCAAGCCCACAGACCAGACAGACAGAAACAAACAGACAAACAGACTAACTAACCACCCCCGGCCCCCCCCAACAGCGTCGCGCTCGGCCTCTTCCTTTCCATGCTCGACTCCTCCATCGTCGCCACCTCGCTCTTCACCATCGCCGCCGAGTTCGGCGACGTCGATTCCATCAACTGGGTCGCCCTGGCCTACACGCTGACCTACCTGAGCTGTGCCGTGCTCTTTGCCCGCGTGTCGGACGTCGTCGGCCGCCACGCCGCTTTCGCCGCCGCCTATGTGGTGTTTATTGTTTTCTCGATTGCGTGTGGGTTTGCGAGCGGGATGGGGCAGTTGATTGCGTTTAGGGCGTTGCAGGGTGTGGGGGGGAGTGGTGAGTCTTTTTTTTTTGTATTCTTTTAGCCGTCTGTTTGTTAGATGGTCGGGTGGGGGAGTGAGTGGAAAAGGGGGGATGATATGGGAACTAACTGGAGATACAGGGCTGTATAGCGTGTCGATGATCATTCTGCCCGAAGTGACACCAGACCGGGCAAAAAAGCACATCGCCGCGGTGGTGGGGTGCGTGCTGGCGACGTCGGGGGTGCTCCTCACGGTTTTGGGTGGTGTCCTGACCCAGTACACAAGCTGGCG